ATTCTATCAAAGTCCGATCCAGCACTTTTTCACAGCCTATCCTCGATCGCGTCTCTTGCCGCCCTACTCGATGAATCAAAAATACATGCCGCATTCAAGTCTTATTTTCCGCACCTGGTTTGAGAACGAAGCCAACAGATGGAAAGCAGTTTGGATTGGAGATGGAGGTGATAAGCCTATCTACCTCAGAAAATCGTTCCAATTGCCTCGGCTGCCAACTCGGGCTGTTCTGTTCGCTTCTGGGTTGGGTCACTTCAATATGAGTTTGAACGGGCAACCAGCTTCTGATCATCGACTCGATCCTGGTTGGACCGGATACCACCAACGTGTTCAGTTCACTTCTTACGATGTCACTGCTCATCTCTCTGCTGGAGAAAATGTTATGGGTGCTCATGTTGGCAATGGATTTTATGCAGGAGACAAGGGAGGCGATGATCGATTCTTCTGGCCAATGTATGAGGACAACACATATGTCAGATATGGAAACGAGCTCTGTTTCTTTTGCGAGTTGCATATTTTCTACGATGATGGGTCCCATGAAACCCTCATCTCAGACCCTACGTGGTCCGTCCGAAAGAGTGCCACCACGTTGGCCAACATATATGCTTCGGAAACCCATGACCGGAGACTTTACCCTGACAACTGGGATACAGTCGGGTTTTCTGGCGAGGGCTGGAACTCTGCTAAGCCATTGACTGGTCCTCGTGGTCATGTTTATTACCAGACGCAGCCTCCGGTTGTGCTACATGAGACCTTCAGTCCTGTGAGAAGATATAGCCCTCGCAAAGGTGTGGTGTGCTTTGATCTTGGTCAGAATGCCTCTACTATGGTTCAAATCATTGCCGAAGGCTCCTCTGGTTCAGAAATTATCGTTCGGTATTCCGAAACTGTCAAAGAAGACGGCACCGTTCTGATGCCAGATCCACTTTTCAAGGAGTTTGAGACAGGGGTTTTCTCTAAAGTCTACCTTGCCGGCACAGGAAAGCCAGAAACCTGGGAACCAGACTTCAGCTTCACAAGTGCCCGATACATCCAAGTGGAAGGCGTGGGGCTTGATGGAGAAGAGGGTCTCCCCATAATCCACTCCGCTGTTGGCCGCCATATTTCATCTGCCGCTCGAAGACTCGGCACCATGAAAACAGATAAGGAAGATGTAAATGACTTGCTTAACGCCCTTTACTGGACATTCAACAGTAACTTATTCAGCTATCACACTGACTGTCCACAAATTGAGAAGTTTGGTTGGCTTGAGGTGACGCATTTGCTTGCACCCGCTACGCAGTATATTCGAGACATGGAATCGTTATATACCAAAATCCTGGATGATATTTTGGATGCACAAGAATCCAGTGGGCTTGTTCCAACAATGGCACCAGAGATTCGATACATGTGCGGCCCACTTCACGACACAATTACCTGGGGTTGTGCCATTTGTCTCTTGCCGGATATACTGCTGCGATATTATGGATCTACGCATGTCATTCCAAAGGTTTACCCTGCCGCAGTGCGATACATGGAATACATGCGCACGAAAGAACGAAAGGGCGGCCTGATCGAACATGGCCTGGGAGACTGGGGCCGGGATATTGCTTTTGGCAACCACCAAGCCAACATCGAGACAGCCATCTACTACAAATGCCTTCAATGTGTTGAGATGATGGCCCGTGAGCTTGGGAAACCAGAAGATGCCACAAAATACAAAGAATGGTCTTCGCGTATCTACAAGGCTTATAACCGTCATCTTCTCGTCAAAGATGATCCTTCGCATCCGCAGGTATATTACACATCCCTGGATGATTTCCCTCGTCGTGACCATACATCAATCGCTCAGGCTATGGCTCTTCAGTTCGACCTATGTCCTCCTGAATACAAGAACGATGTCATGGCCACTTTTATTGATGACACGTCGGATGGACGGATTCGAGCCGGCGAGATAGGTCTACGCTTTCTTTTCAACACTCTCGCCGATGCCAAACGCCCAGATCTGGTATTGAAGATGGCGCGACAAGAGGAGCATCCTTCCTACATGCGGTTCCTACGTCGCGGCGAGACCACCCTCTTAGAATTCTGGCAGGATGAATGCCGTAGCAAGTGCCACGACATGCTTGGTACGATTTATGAATGGCTCTACGCTGCGGTTCTTGGCCTGAAGTCAACTGACAATGCCTATCGAACCTTCGAGGTTGACCCCCCTTATGAGTCTGAATTTTCCCATGTTCAGGGATCCTTCGACTCGCCTTACGGGCTGATCAAGATAGAATTCCAACGCAGTGCAACTGGCGAGGTGAATCTTGATGTGAGGGTGCCATTTGGAACATCTGCAGTGGTCAAGATTCCTTCATCAAAGCAAGCCGAGGTCAGGCGTGAAGATGAGCCCATGGAAATTTGGAACTGTGGCGATGTAAAAGTCGAGCATGGATCTTACAGAATTACTGTGCGGTCGTGATATTTATCAATAGTTGAATTTTACATAGAAATATTTTTGCCACTAATCCCACCTGTGCAGTGCTCCCAACAATTCCCCGAAACAACCAAATCGTAAGCTCCCAGTGGCTGCTACTAGTAACTAGTAGTGTTTGTGGCAACCCCTGAATTGTCCCATACTAGTATTGTGTATGCCTAGGTAGAGAGATCTGGTAAGGAAATGTGATCTGGTTCATAATTCTGTTGGCTTTAATTCCTAGTTCGCTGCTATTCATTCGGGTTCCTGTCCTGGGATGTCGGCCATCTTCTAGCAAACTCTACCAGAAACCGAACAAACTCCGACAGAAACCGAACCCGAAATATCGGCATATAACTAGCCGAAAACTTTAAGCCTCGGAAAGTCCGGAGTGACACCTAATGTATCACGAGTTTGTTGGATGAGGAGAAAGGTTTCTCATTGGAAGAAATTGGGTGGCTTGCTCTAGTCTATTTTTCCAACCCCACGGGGATCGGTTCCCAGGTACTCATTAATTTACCTTACCGCCACTGCGCGTCCAGTTCGGGCGTCTTTACGCCGAAAACTTTATGGGGTGTTTTCCTAATTGTAACTAGTATGATTTTACTTTCGATTTTCGGAAGACCAGTATAGTCGGGTCGTCTTGCCGGCTGTTCTAGAGAGCAGGGATCTTGCCTTCCCGATTATTCCCTGTCTGAAACGTCGGCGCTCGCATATTTAATAAACCTCCCAGAACGACGTTAAAAAGGCTACTATATCCCAAAAAAAAATTGCACCCGTCATTCTCGAGCTAAGATGACGAAGATCACCACTTTGCTCTCCGCCGTTTTCCTGGCCATTGGAGGTAGTACAACCAAAACCCCGTCTACCGCAACAAAAATTCTGACCAGTTGGTTTTTAAAATAGGCTTCCTCTTCGGATATGATAGTGGTATCGTCACTTCCACTATTGGCCAGACTGAGTTCATCAAATATTTCTCCAATCCAAATGACACTGTAACTGGCGGTGTTGTCTCGGCCTTCCAAGGCGGTGCTATTCTTGGAACCATAATCAATGCCTTCACTGGTGATCGGCTCGGTCGAAAGCTTTCCGTTTTCACTGGTGCTTGTATCTCCTGTTTTGGATGCGCGCTGCAGGCTGGCGCAGTCAACATGGTCATGCTAATTATTGGTCGATTCATCGCCGGTGTGGCCGTTGGTATGCTCACCTCGGTTATTCCGATGTATGCTGGTGAGATGGCGGAAGCCAAGAGTCGCGGCATGATGTCTGGTCTATTACAATGGATGTTGAGTTGGGGATATCTCATCGCTCAATGGCTTGGATACGGTTGCTCTTTTGTGGACAGCGCTTTTCAATGTACGTTTCTTCGATAAATTTGACTGCGGGACTTAGAAGCTGACTTTCATGCTTTCAAAAAAGGGCGTTTTCCTCTTGCATTCCAGTGCATTCCCGGCCTGATCCTTGCCGGTGGAATTTGGTTCCTGAATGAGTCTCCCCGGTGGCTCATGGAGAAAGATCGTCATGACGAAGCTCTGGCCACTCTACACAGGCTTCATGGAGACGGCACTCCTGAAAAGCAAGAATACATTGAGATGGAATTCCAGGAAATTCGAGACGTGATCGATGCCGAACGGGCATCAACAAAGATCACTTGGACTACCATCATTACCAAGCCCTCTTGGCGTCGCCGTTTGATTCTTGGTTGCGGTGTACAAGCATTTGGTCCTCTTTCTGGAATCAACGTCATCAATTACTACGGCACTCGTATCTATGCGTCCTTAGGAATTGATACACAAACTTCGCTTATGATCATCGGTATCTCCGGTGCCCTTTCCATCGTTTGGTGCACAGGTGGCCTTTGGGCACTTGAGCGTGTCGGTCGTATCAAGCCTCTCATCATTGGATCCGTCGGTATGGCGTTAGCCCTAGTTGCCAATGCCGCCATGTCTCAACATTATGATGAAAGTAATAACAACCAGCTCCGTGCGATGGTTGCGATGAACTTCGTATTCAGCTTCTTCTACACCTTTGTCGGAATTATCTCCTGGGTGTACCCCGCTGAGATTTTCCCAGTGGATATTCGCAACCAAGGAAATTCGGTCACGACTTTCACCAATTGGACCTTCAACTTGGTTTTCGCGCAATTCTCTCCTTCTGCACTGACAAATATTGGCTTCCGCTACTTCTATGTCTTCTTCGTCTTCAACATCATTGCGATGCTCTGCTATTCCTTCTTTTACCCGGAGACTAAGGGCAAGACATTGGAGCAGATGGATTTGCTTTTCGGAGATAGTAATGACGTCCCTGCTGAGGACGAAAAGATGGGTCAGCAGGGTGTTGTCGAGCATGTCAACTAATACCTCACTACTCTGGGGTATTTCCCTTCAAGTTGCTTGTACTTCGCCATGTTAGGATCTCTATGACTTGTTATGCTGTATGATTCATTGCACAAATGTGAGCGAATTATATTTTCCTCCCAATTTGTAATACTCCAAGGCTTCGTAAACAACACTTACTCCCTATTCATCGAAAATTCAACATGACGTCTATTATTTAACTTCTAGACTGCTCCCTCTTTATGAGGCATGTCCTCACTAGACCAGTTCTTGAACTGTCTGCAAGGTATTTTGGCTTCAAACATCGCGTCGATATCCAAAGCCGAGCGACCTTTCATCTCCGGAATAATTAACCATGTGATCACAAATGTCATGAAGCACAGCCCGGCATACACAAATCCAGTTTTGCCTTTAAGGTCTCCAGCATCGGTGTTGTAAATATATGGCAAGACGAGGTTGAAAACCACGTTAGACAACATGTAGCAAAAAACGCCAATGCCTTGAGTCTTAGCACGAAGTCGCAGGAAGAAGCTTCGCCGGCCACTGAATATGAAGCTGGCCAAGCGCCCATACCGCATACAACAACCACTGCCATCATACAAGCTGCGGTATACCTGATATGTCTGTTAGTATCTTTTTTGTTTTGAGCCAGCGAGAAAATAGGAGGTGAAAGACATACCAGATCACAACATTTCCTGACCAGCAACCAGAAATTCCCATACTTAACCATATGGCCGTAGTGATGGCTAGTGTAATGAGCATGAGGCGGCGCCTTCCCATGAGACTCATAAACCAGATACCGACCGCGTTGGCTAACAATCCCAAGACAATGCCGAGAATCAGAACAATGATACTGAGACTAGAGTCCATACCAACCACTTGCATGAAATAGCTTGCGCTAGCTAACAGTGGAACTCCAAAAAAGCTAGGAACCATGAATGCGAATCCCACAACAGCCGTTCGGCGTCTATTGATTCCTTTAAAGCAATCAAGATACGATAGCTCTTGAGAAACTTCCTGCTCGTGGGCAATGGATATTTGCATTTGATTCAACAAGGGAGTGACATCGATTCCTGTCGTGTGCAGGGACTTCATCGCCTGGTATGCCTTGTCGTAGTTGCCGGTCCGGATGAGATAAGATGGACTTTCCGGCATGACGATTGCCAAGGCGAATGGCAGAATGGTAAAAATCCATTGGGTACCAAATGGAATCAGATATGCGGCTGCAGAGTCTTTCTTTTCACAGGCAAAAATAACGGCCGCGCCGATGAGCTCCCCTAAGAGCATGAAAGTTGGCGAAAGTGCCATTGCAGATCCTCTCAGACTGGTGGGAACCGACTCTGAGAGATATGTCTGGGCTCCAGCCATAGCACCTCCAACTCCCCACCCTTGAATGAGACGTCCGACGAGAAATGCACCTCTCCTACACTCCATGCCATCGGGGAGATTCGAGCAAAACGCGATGGCGATCCCGATTGCGCATATCACAGAGCTCAGGGCCAGCGACATGCGACGACCGAGCCGATCCTGGAGCCATCCAGCTGCAGCTGCACCCAGCATTGACCCTATCGGTGCCATTGCACTCCATACCGATAGCCATGCTGCCGGGATGATATATGCGTCGTCGTACACCTGGCCGAATTCACGTTTGAAGTATGGGACAGCGGTGATCGTGCCGAGAATAACAGTATCGTACCCAGTGAGAAGGAAATTCAGGGCGAGACCGAAGGAATACGCGACAATCTTGGGGTAGCAACGGATTTCGTGAAGGAGTCCATGTGTAATCTCGGGCTGATCAGGGGCAAGGTTCGACTCGTGTTCGTGATTGTTTCCTGATGCGACAGGATTTTGTGCTGACATTTCAAATCAAACAAAATTAAATAATTATCAAAAATAACGAAAGCAGCTAAAGATAGGAGAAAGTTGTCAGTTTTGAATGGATACCAGACAGCGGGCGCCTATTTATGCTGGTTGATCCGGGGTCGTCCACATGGGAGAGTCTGGGGCAAAGTATAAGTTGTGGCAAAAGTCGCATTGGGAATCGCCAAAGATAACAAAATATCGGAGATTCCCCCTTGGCCTTTCAATGACTCGTCAGCTTTAACAAAATTTATGCAATTCTGGAGCCATCAGTGGTCAAAACCCGGGGGAGAATCTGAGGAGCAAACGGACTAAATCGATCCCTGCCGATAGAACCAATCAGAATGAGAGAATCCGGGGTTTCATCTGCCCTGATTGGTCGTGTCGGCAAACAAGCCTATCTCCACACTGGTTCAATGCCTATGCGAGGTCGGATTGTGCTGCTTGAATACGCGAGCCTAGTCGTAAAAAGAATCAAGAATTAGTCTTTGAACCAGATGGTCTAACCGAGGTCACTTTGCGACCGGGTTCGGCGTGGCTGGTTGACTTCAAATAGCTGGCTGCGCACACTTGAATGCCCTCTATTCCCCAGGAATAATTTCAACCGTAAGTTGCTCTCAGAAAACAGACACTTGTCTAGCTGCCTGGTTTCCCGACGAATTGCTGACATCTATTTCCACTCCCAGACCATTTTCGAAGTATCCAACTGAAATCCTCGCCGCCATGGACCTCACTCGAGTTATCAAGCCCTGGAAACTTCAACCACAGAAAACGCGCGTGCTTGTGAACGCGACAATCATCGATCCCGTCAAAGGAGAACTCATTCCGAATGCATCCGTGAAGATCTCAGGCAGTCAAATCGTTGGTATTTCTACCGATGGATCGTCCGCGCTCAGAGAAGATGTACCTGAGGAGAATATCGTGGATCTGGAAGGAAAATACCTCTGCCCAGGGCTAATCGACTGCCATGTACACATCGCAGTAGTGCCTGGCGAAGCGGACCTGCGCGCCTACAAAGATATGACGGAACGCATTAGTCTTCTCCGTCAGCCTCACGTTTTGAAGACCATGCTCAGTCGCGGTTTCACATCAATTCGAGACTGTGGAGGTGCCAGCGGGGCGATGAAGGAAGCAGTCGAGGAAGGCGTTCTACCGGGCCCACGAATGTTTATTGCAGGCTTTGCCCTCTCACAGACTGGTGGTCATGGTGATATGCGGGGGCCACACGATGAGCAACTCTGCTGTGGCGGTTCTGTTTCCGGTATTAGTCGGATTGTGGATGGACCGGCAGAGTGCTACAGGTATGCACGCGACGAGCTTCGAAAGGGAGCCGATTTTATTAAGATTATGGGAGGTGGAGGTGTCGCAAGCCCGACGGATCGCATCGAACATGTGCAGTTCTCGGATGAGGAGATCAAGGCTATTGTCACGGTCGCGAAGAATGCCGGTACATACGTCACAAGCCACAGCTATACGCCTCAAGCTATTCAACAAGCCATCAACCTAGGTGTTCGAGGCATTGAACATGGCAACCTTATCGATTTGGAGACTGCCAAGTTGATGGCGGAGAAGGGTGTTTTCCTTACCCCGACTCTGATTGCCCACGTTATGTCGAAGCAGATGAATTTCCTGCCAGCTGAGGGGGCCGCGAAAAACGACGAGGTCCTTGAGAAGGGGCTAAGGGCGATGAAAATGGCTGTCGACTGCGGTGTCACGGTTTGCTTCGGCAGCGACCTTCTCGGGCCAATGCACTTTGCACAGAGCAAGGAGTTCTCCGTTCGCAGCAAAGTCCTCACCCCACTTCAAATCCTGCAAAGCGCGACTATTAATGCCGCTCGTCTTGTGATGCAGGAGGATCGTCTTGGCCAAATTCGCGAGGGATTCGCGGCGGATGTATTGGTGCTCAGCCGGAATCCGTTGGAAGATATCACAGTCCTCGACAGGGCGGATGAAACTATTCTGAGTGTTATCAAGGATGGAAGAGTCTTCGAATCACGAGTGGATGGTCTAGAGAGAGATATCTAATTAATCGCCATCTCCTCATTAATAAATCACAAATACTATTATTTCGGCCTGGGTCATGGCGTAATACCACACTGATAATCGAAAACAAGCTCGGCCACGTAGCTTCAATCAATGCGACTGTTCAAAGAAAAAAATATCATTAAATACCATCTCGATCACTAGCAGACTATCACTCAGTCTTTTGATAAGAGACATACCCGAAGGCCGAAGCAATGGGCCCCGCCGTCGAGTCTGTCTGTTCAACAATGCTCATCGATGTGACTGTCTCACATTGGACTGGAAACTGAGTTTCTGGGCGTCTTTGCCACAGATGTAAAAGCCCTGGCCCACTTGACGTGTTTTGAAGGATTTCCATATTACATAGTGAGATCTGGGAAAACCCTGTGATGGTTGGTCCAAACCTCCCCGGTTTGGTCGGGGGCTGCCGATCTCGATCCTTCGTGGGGTCTAAAGTTATCTGATCGATCCATGCCCCCAGTGTTGCATCCTTCGGGAACAGCACAGCCTCGCCGAAACAAAGCTATGTGAAAGTCGGATGACTCGTAGCTTTGATCTCGCTTGGTTCAAGTTGGGGTTCACTCAGCCATGGAGTTGAAAATAGTGTTTCGGATATCGGGCATCATCAGATCCCCGCTGATGTATAAATAGCCCAATTGCTTGACATGTTGTTATACTCTCCTTACGCACGCAAACCTGACTTTTTCTATCATCTTTTCCCTACTCCGTACATCCAACTTGTTAAAAAGTACAATCCTCATTTTACAATGAAGTTTTTCGCTGTTATTGCTGTCGCCTTGATGGCCGCGGTTGCCCAAGCCGATACCTGTGCTGGTAGTAAGTATACATGTTCTCTATCTATGTTCTTGTTCACTGACTGAATTCGAATAGTCGGAGGTGGTTGTTCAACCATGGCTTGCTGCGATGGCCGGCCCTGCGCGTATGACATGCAAACCCACAACCTGATCTGCAAATAAGCGCCATGACGAGGCTTCCTTCATTTTTAATTGGATCAAACCGGGCCTGCGAGCCTGGGATTAGTGTGAAATGGAACGTGCCATAGACACAAAATGTATCAATAGGCAGCTTTTGCCATGTGTCGTCGACTTAATAACCTCAAACGCAATTATGAATGACATACCTCCCCGTATCATACTAGGCTATAACTACCCTGTACCTAGGCTCATGTATCTTCATCATTCAAATTTATTGTGTGTCGGTAGAGAGCAAGTTCATACTCTATTTCATTGAGATCCTATGAGCTATACAGACCTAGCCAACATCCCACCCTCCCACAACCAACGCCACGCCTGAAAAAGTCAAAAAGAAGCGAAACCCCCCCACTTAAATAAAGAAGATACACCAAATATGATATGGCATGTCCAGAACGCCGAAATGCTATCATACAAGGATCATACAAGAGGCGAATACATAAAGACAAGGTTGAAGATACAGACGGATTATGGTAATGATGATACATAGTCCTAGATGGAAGACGTATACATCATCCACCGCGACTTTGCCGTTTCAGCCGCCGCATCTGCCGCCGTGATGAGTATATGGCCTCTTCTGTCAGAATTTCGGGCGGTGGCTGGAAATCTTGCTCCTCGGCTTCTGGAATTGGGTGACCGAATGCGAGAATTGTTTGGTTGTGACTGTGGGGTGTGCCATTTATTACGGCGACGGCGGTGTTGCGAGTGCTTCGTTCTTCGAAGAAGGATGTGAAAGGCTTGTCGGGGGGGGGGAGGTAATGGGGGAAGGGCGGGGGCGGGAGTTGAGGAGGATATAAAATTCATGTCGAGGAGAGTTTTCTGACGCTTGACCGGATCTTTTGTGTTTGTGGTAGTGTTTGGTGTGTCTTTGCTTTTGCTGGCAGGTTTTGTATGGTCATCTCCAGGCCTGTTGCCCGGTTTGCGATTTTCTGAGATAGATTTGCGGTGCTTGGCTACTGACGCTGAGCGCGCTTCCTGGTGCAGTTGCCGGGCTGCCAGTGCATCCACATCGTGGGGATCTGGCGGAGTGCTAGGCGTGTCCGTTAATGGTGAGCCTTCCTCGCTGACTTCTTCGGGGGCTTGAGGTCGTTTTTGTGATCGTGGGCGGGGGCGTGGTTGGGAATCCGTTTCCTCAGCAAGCAGCAGTGGCTTGTCTTTAGACATCTTCCGACGTTTTTCCTCGTCCTTCCAAATTTGAAATTTGTTGACTAGCGCGACAAGTTCCTGGATGAGTATTTGGCGCTTTGGTTCATATAGACTCTTCTCGTTCTCGTGGATACCAGTCAACCCCATTACACGCAGCCAGTCTTGACCGCGTAGATCTTCGAGCAGCCGATCAAGCTGTTGTTTCTCATGTTGGGCGCGATCTCGCTCGATATTTCGCAATTGTTTCTCCTGGCGTTCGAATTTACGATGCGCGCGGAAGTATAGTTCTTCATTCAAGGGGTCGACCGCAGGCGCACGTAATGCGGAGTTTGGAAGATCGATCACTTTGCAACGATAAAGGTTTTGTAGTGGGTTTCCGAATGGAGAGGGATTCGGGGTAGAAGGCAAGGGTAGAGGCTCCGAGAGATCGTGTATCAAAGCAACAGTTGTACTAGCAGCTAGTGACTCCACTAGACCCCTAGTTAGCTTCTTAATGCGCAGTTTCGGAGACAATCCAGACTTACCAGGCTTCGGGTCGTCGAGGCTGATTATCTGCTCATAATTATAGAAGTATTGGGCGAGTTCACTCTTGGAGCGAGAGCCCGTGTCGGTAGAGCGCAGCGAACGCCTTTCTGTCCCAGTTCGCGCCGACGCGTCTTGCTCTTGTTCAACCCCGAGTTCACTTTGCTGCTTCGGTTGGAGCCCCCCTACGTCTGCGATATTCCTCGTTGATTGTGACGCGTCCTTGCTCTCCGCGACATTATCCGGTTCCCCCGCGTTCGGATCGGGATTGTTCCGTCGGGTGGTACGACTGGTGGCGGGCGAACTCAGAGAATCTGCCTCTAACTCTCGTATATCACTTGAGGGTTTGGGGGTCGGCCTGGTGGGTTTATTGGCCGGGAGGGGTGAGATGGTGTCCAATGGGTCCGGCGATTCTCGCGCATCCGAGAGGAAGAGGGAGATGCCCCCAGAAGGTCCATCTCGGTCGGCGAGCGCACGGGGGGGTCTTGGCTATGCCATTACCATTTACGCGAGGATTTCCCGCGGTGTGAAAATGGGAGGATGAGGCAATGCTATCGGCCGAGGAGTTGGACATGCGGCGGGCGCGACGTGTGGCGGTCCACGGGCGCGCGACCTTCGGGGAGGGATTGGGTCTGAGTTTGCCGTGGGGGGGATTTGTGGTCGGGGGTAGTCGTATCTAGGCAGTCAGGGGAGCTCTGGCGACGACGCCGGCCAACCTCTTGCTGGAGGCGCTGTCTCTTCATGGGTGGTGCCCCGTTGTCATCGGAGTGGTCGTCGGGAGTCCGTCGCACAGTACCGCGAAGAGAGCACGACAGAAGGGCCATTGCTCGACGAAGGGAGGGGAGAAGCCAATTAGCCCAAAGTCATAGTGTGGTCGCCTTCTATTGTAGGCTGCTTTAGATTGGAGCCGAGTCCGTCGCAGGGTGGTGGTCGGCGCGGGAGGAGAGGAGAAGATGTTGCGAGGAGGTTCTTGGCGGGTCGGGGAGGGATGTGAGTATACTCCAGTATAGTATAGTATAGTATAGTTACTACCACTCCGTATACTCTACGCAATTAATACATCTAGATCTATTTATTGACTGTTTCAAATTTGAATGTATAGGTACTGGTACATCCCAGTGTTAATATTTACACTTCCTTGGAGCTTCGCATTATCACTACTAGTTAACTAGTAGCCAAGGAGTAATATTATATTTTACTTCCACCTTCAATAGCCACGGCACTTGCTATGTCTACTACCTAGGTAGTAGTAGTAGTAGTAGTAGTAGTAGTAGTAGTAGACACTTGAATACTATCTAGTACTGGTACTTTCATGGATATTGGTACATCTGGACATTCCAAGGTTGCTAGTAAACCAGACATACCCGCGTGAAGCCACCTTTATTGAGCTAGTAACGGTATTCCTCCAAGACTTTCACCTGGATGTTGTTCAAGCCATCTCCTGTCTGTCCTATAAAGTTGTCACGCTTCATTTCAACATTCCTCTCGGTAGTCTCATAGAGTTCAAGACTATAGCGACGTAGTAAAGTACCCAAAACGAGATGCATCATCGCCCAGGCCATACTAGATTTTGTCAGTCATAATGGTCCACTTGAGTTTCAAATCATGAATGAAGTCATACTTTTGTCCTACGCATCCGAGTGTCCCTTTCGAGGCGGGAACAAGATACTTTTCTTGTTTGCGCAAATCATCCGGATTCAAAAGCCAACGTTCAGGCTGAAATTTCAAAGGCTCCGGGAATAGGTTTGGGTCTCGAAGGATAAAATACGTCGACATGCTCACATATGTCTATTCTTCATCATCAGCATACTCATTGTCAACTTGAAGGGACAAAATCACTAACTCCAGCTGGAATCAGCCAGTCTTGGTATTGTAGAATCTCATCAGGTGCTGAACGAGGAAGACGAGTTGTCACGACGGACGAAAGACGGAGACCTTCTCTTATGGTTGCAGTCTGCTCTTAGTTAGGCTGAGGAAATATCTTGCAATGAATAGAAAGTTACTCACAAGATACGGGAGGCGCTGGAATTGTTCGAGGGTGGACACCGTATCCGGATCTGAAATAGTAAAAAGCTCCTCCTTAAGCCTTGCATAGACATTGGGGTTATTAAGTATGTGGAACAGCGTAATTGCAAGAGCTTGTGCAGGTGCATCCGTGCCAGCCATCATCAGGAAAATAGCATCATCTTCCAAACGTGTCAGTTCTTTCTCACTCTGAGGTATCTCCGAGTCTGCCAGAATGTTGGGATACATAGACCTCGCCGGACCAATTTGGGGTATTTTGGCTTGTGCCAAAACCTTGTCGCTGTGTTGAATTTGCCAGTTATTATCAATTGCGACTCTAACCATTTTTCTGACGTCCTATACAAATTAGCTACCGGCCTTACCGAGCTCAAGACTATCAAATGGAAGCAAAGGGAGCTTGTAGCTTACACTTTCAAAGTCAAGGATATACCCGAATGCCGGAACAACCCATGCAGCCAGAGAGGGAAACATGTGAGCAAGTGGATTCAATAACGGAAAGTGCCTATTTATCAGACAAAACGAAAACATGGAAGTCAGTCGGATCTTCCAAGTTGAGCTTGGCTCCGACTCGTTGAGAGAGTGAAGACCAGCTTGGCGACCGAACGCATGCTGAGACACAGTATCACTTGTAAAGGAATAAAATGGCGCATGAACCTCTAATGGTCTCATGGTCACGGCCGATATAGAGAAGTATTGGCAAAGTGCTTCCACGTTGGCGCGTATTATCGGTTCAAATTCTTGGATCGCGTGCTTCTTGAAGAACTGACCCATGACCTTTCTCCGGGCACGATGAAGCTCATAGCCATCCGTCGAGAATATCGCACCAGGGAACCCAATAAAACTGAAATCAGGATCCTTGTTACGATGTTTGCCTGGGCCCGCGTAAACAGTACTATAGTAGTCCGGGTCCTTAATGTGGATCTCAAAGGGGGTTATACGAACAACAGGGCCGTATTGTTCATGGAGGCGATCGATGTGCCAAGTAAAAGTACCACCTTTGATAATTTGATGATAGATCTCATAGAGTCCTGTTGCAGCTGCTAGGCGAGGGCCAGGGAATTTTGCCAATGGACTGAGACAAAGTCGGTAGAAGACGAGGCCTGCAGCATAGAGCAAGATGATAAAGGCCAGAACAGAAGCATTTGCCAGGTAGCCGGAGCTATAAGACATGATGGAACGAATAGCGTGGAAGTTATAAGCCAAATTCAAGGATGGGTCTTTCTAAGGTTATGAATAGAGCTCAAAGAAAACTTTGGGATCCCCTGTCGTGGAGCAGGAAGTAAACAGAGTCGATCTGATCTTGGACTTGTGCAAGGTTTTGATAGGAGCACAGTATTCTCCTTGTATTATAAATTACTACTCCATATCATATGCATAGCCAGTGATGCACAGCCCTGTACTAACTTCGAACCTGTACCAATTGACAGTCACCACCAATGGTGATTTCCAACCACATGTAGAGATCGCCCTGCTCGTACCTTCAGTCAAACTCAAGCATCAATTCAGTCACTAATACTCCGTACGTTACACATAATCACAGTGATCTTCCAATAGATTCATCTGCGATAGTGCTAAGCGAAAAATACAGAATTTAATGCGATATCGGAGCACGTACTTCTGATGATCTTTCAATAATGTGACGTGTGATGCTACTCAAAAAAAGCATATAAAAAGTAACGCGACGTCGCCACAATTCAGCCTTTTACTACGTATCTGCTGCAGGTTCCAAGGAAGACTTCTGTATGTATATTCCGCACTCCGTAAGCTAATGGGCAATAATAGTATTATCCACTGGGATCGGCCTTCTGGTTTAACTTTTGTTATTTGCTACTGGCAGAGTGTGTAGTATGTCAAGCTGGAAATGTTGAGGCCCTCAGGCCTCAAGCAAACAGGATTCCATGCCTTTCCATGTTTATATAGGTCGTTCGCTCTCTCTCTCTCTCTCTCTCATTTTCGCCCGCCACTTTTGTCCTTGACCTTCAATCGCATAGCTCCAGCACTCTCGTCCGTCATGGCTGTCGTATCTCATTATGTTCAAGAGACGACCAGTCGATTACCAAATATTGGCGCATACGGCCATGTCGATCACTGGGAAGAGAAGTGGGAGAGGCATTCCACTAAGGCCACGCTATCGCAAGCTGTGGCATAATTTATTTTTTTCTTCTTCCTTTGTCCCGTGTCTTGTGCACAGACTCCATGTAACCTGTTCCTCCTATACTCCGTACCTCTGTTCGTATTATTTGGGAGTACCTATTCGCGTATAAAGCCAAGGAACTCGCAACTAGCACTCTCCTTGCGTTGCACCCGGACATTTTTCGATACAATTCTTATTTCCCAGACGATTCACATCCACCTCAACCTACTATATACAGGTCAAAAGCCATGGGTTCTATCGGAGTTGAAGTATCCCATGATGGCGATACCAACCGCGACTTCTTTGAAGTTGACGCGGAAAACGCCCATCTCTCCGAAATTCCGGCCAAGGCAACATTGGAACCAACGGCAATTATGGGGTCTCGCAGCAATGGCAATTCAAGCCAAAATAGCGCGATAGATGACTCTGTAAATACAGTACCGATTGCCATCGTGGGAATGGCCATGAGACTTCCAGGAAATGTACGCTCGGGAGAAGACTTCTGGGATCTCCTATGCAGCAAGAGGGATGTGGGCAAGGATATCCCCGAAGATCGTTTCAACATTGACGCCTTTCATAGCTCTTCGAATAGTCGCGGGATTAAGACTAGGCGTGGTTTCTTTCTAGACCAGACCTTAGCTGATACGGACCCTTCTGCTTTTGGTATGGCAAAGACCGAAGCGATGCAGATGGACCCTCAACAAAGGCTGCTCTTGGAAGTTGTGTTCGAAGCATTTGAGAATGCCGGTGCAACTGACTTGCATGGAAAGGATATCGGCTGTTTTGTTGGAACTTTTGGGGAGGATCATTTGGAACTTTCACTTCGAGATCCTCTATCAATTGATAGATATCACGTTTTCGGCTCAGAAGACTTTGCCCTCTCAAATCGGATTTCTCATGAATATGACCTCCGTGGTCCTAGGTATGTCAGCTGCTGCACACCAAAAGCGTGAAAAGCTAACCAGGGGCGATTAGTGTAACAATTCGAACCGCTTGTTCGGCATCCATGACTTCCTTACACGAGGCCTGCAATTCAGTCTCTTCAGGAGAAAGCTCGGCGGCTATTGTTGCGGGCTCGAACATGATAATGGCACCCACCATGACCGAAGGCATGTCTGCAAATATGGTGCTCTCCCCAGACGGAGAATGCAGAACTTTTGATGCGGATGCAAATGGGTACGCTCGCGCTGAAGCTGTGAATGCAGTTTACATCAAGAAGCTAGATGATGCTATTCGAGACGGCGATCATGTCCGTGCCGTCATCCGCTCAACCATGGCAAATAACAATGGAAAAACGAAGAAATTAGCTGTCCCAAGTTCAATGGCTCAGGAAAGATTGATTCGAAGGACTTACCAAAGGGCTGGAATTGCCGATCCTTCCAGGACAGGCCTGTTTGAGTGCCACGGGACTGGTACTCAGGCTGGTGATCTTGCGGAGGCAGAAGCCATCGCAAGGATCTTTGGCACAAAAGGGGTTCATATGGGCGCTGTTCGTCATGTTGCCTTTTTTTCTCATATAGCTCAATGGCTTATCGTGTCACTAGGTCAAGTCAAACATAGGCCATTCCGAAGGCGCGTCTGGACTTACCAGCATCATCAAGTCTGTTCTTTGCTTAGAACATAAAGCAATTGCTCCAAACATGCGCTTCCAAACCCCAAACCCAAGAAGTGAGCCTCACTCTCTAAAACTGCATCTTGGAGTTGCCTAATTTGCGTTATCTAGTCCCTTGGAAGGAGGCCAATCTACAGGTGGCAGAAGATGTGATTCCTTGGCCCGAGAGCCGCGAGGAAAGAGTGAGCGTAAACAGCTTTGGGATTGGAGGGTCAAATGCTCATGTTATCTTGGAATCTACGTCGCTTCATCAAACGGCAGCACGTGGTAATACCGAATCCCTGAAACATGATTCTCCAAAGCTATTGGCTCTATCCGCAATGAATCCAAATTCTTTGCAATCCAGGACGCGACTTCTGCAAAATTACCTTCAGAGCCGAGAGGTAAATACTCAGGACTTGGTTCATACCCTTGGAACTCGGCGCCAGCACTTGCGACACCGTGCATTTGCAACCTTTCAAGGAACACAGATCGATTCCAATGCTCTGAAGTACCAGATTGCTCATGCGCCCGGTGCACCAGTGGAATCTCTTACCTTTGTCTTCCCGGGTCAGGGGTCCCAGTGGCCAGGTATGGGGAAGGAACTCTTCGCCTCATTCGATGTGTTCCGAGAAAGCATTCGACGCCTGGACCAAGTCCTAAAAGGTTTAACCCAGCCACCCATTTGGTCCATAGAAGGTAAGAAATCCTGCTAACTCTAAAAGCTGATCCTATCCTGATGCTGATGCCTATTACTAGAAAAAATCACCACAGTTGGTGACCCATCCTGCTTTTCCAGGGCTGAATTTGCACAACCACTGTGCGCTGCAGTTCAGATTGGACTTATCAATCTGCTTTCTTCGTGGGGTGTCAAACCAAAAGCTGTAATTGGACATTCCAGTGGCGAAATAGCTGCAGCATACGCGGCAAGCGCCATTACTCAAGATGCAGCTATACTGATTGCGTATTGCCGAGGCCAAGCTACAAAAGCCTATCTGCAGCCTGGTAGCATGGTGGCTATTGGGCTAAAGAAGGAGGTCGTTCAACACTTTCTTGAGCTTGGTGTTTGTGTTGCATGCGAAAATAGCCCGCAAAACGTTGTCATATCTGGCGATCAGGATGCTATCGCCCACACTGTGGATCTGATCAAAAGTGAGCATCCGGATGCATTCATTGGCTATCTCAATGTAGAAACAGCCTACCACTCTCGTGAGTATTTCCATGCCTAGGCAGAGCTTTTTTAAAAACCAAAAATAGCTAATGAATACATAGATCATATGGCAGAAGTGGGCCCCGAATTGGAGAAAATGCTTCAATCTCAGTTCCGCTTCGACACTCCCAAAATTCCAATGTATTCTACTGTTCTTGGTAGAGCATTGACTAAAGAGGATCAGTTGAATGCGCACTACTGGAAGCAAAATCTAGAGTCCCCAGTCCTCTTTTCAACCGCTGTTTCGGAGGCCCTTCAGGCCATGAGCCACGGAGTCTCTTGCTTTGTCGAGGTTGGACCTAACTGTACCCTTTTGGCTCCTATCAAACAGACTGTCCGGGCCCAAGGCCTCAAATCTCAGCCGCGCTATGTGCATACCCTACAGAAGGATCAAGACCAAGCAATCAATATCCTCGAGGCCGCTGGTAATTTGTTTTTAAATGGGGTTCCCATCTCATTTGAAACTATAAATGGCACCGGAAATTGTTTAACGGATCTTCCACCATATCCTTGGGATTACAGTATTCAACAATGGAAAGAGAGCCGCGTCTCTAAAGAGTGGCGTCTCCGAAAGTTTCCGCATCATGAACTTCTCGGGTCTCGGGAGATGGGGTCAAATGACCTTGAGCCCTCTTGGAGAAACATACTTTCGCTTGAAAACAGCCGCTGGCTCTGTGACCATAAATTTTCCGGCGCAATTGTGTTCCCTAGCGCTGCGTATATCGCTGCAGTTGCTGAAGCCGTCCGTCAGATTTCAAGCAAAACCGCGTACTCATTTCGTGATATTTTTATCAAGAACGCACTATTTCTAGATGAAGATCATGACGTGGAGGTTATAACTGTTCTCAGACCAGTTAAGTTGACAGACATTTTGGACTCGGAGTGGTTTGAATTCTCCGTCAGTACATATAATGGAAAGGGCTGGACTAAGCACTGCACTGGACAAGTCATAGGAGTTGAAGGCCCTGTGCGCTCTGAAATCCAACATGAAACATATCATCGACAAGTTAACTCTCCTACCTACTACGAATCATTGAGAAAATCTGGCCTTGACTATGGACCGCACTTCCAAGGTCTGGAGAACATTACGGCCGACCCAAATAATCGAAGAGCCACAGGGAATCTCACCAGCGGAGTGGATATCGATGAGCTGGAAACATATGCCATTCATCCAACAATAATTGATAAAGCTCTGCAACTGATCGGAGTAGCGGGTACTCGGGGTCTTGCTCGTGCGGCCGACAAGATAGCTGTCCCAATCTCCTTTGAAAGGATATACCTGGCATCCGCTGGTTTGCACGAAACTTTTGCGACTGCGATTTGTACCAGTGCAACGGACGGGAATGTTTTCGGCGACACATTTGCACACTCCAACAATGAATCATTACTCGAGATCCAGGGTGTAAGGTTCTTCGTAGTGGAGGACACAGAATCTGTGCTTAGTGGTTCATCTAATGCCATCTGGTCCGCTCATACGGACTGGAAGCCCGATATCGAGTTCCTTCCGATGTCCACACTCTTGCCCCCGCCAATTCGCTTCGACCCAAAGCTTTCCAGATATTAGAAGAATTGGTGGCATTACATCTAATTAAGATGTGGCACTCCATTGGAAATACCGCTCCAGCGGAAGCCCACTTGAAAAAATGGAAGCAATGGGTAGAGAATCAAATAACGACCTTTCACGCGGGTGAGCATAAGTTGATACCTGCTAGTGAAACCCAAGAATGGATGACGCTGTCAGTAGGCCGCATCTCGTCTCTAATCGAAGAGAAAGAAACACGCGCTGCCATGGAAGTATTGCCAAGTCACACTTTTTTGGCCGGATTCTTGCACAGGCTTGATGACTCGATCCTAGAAATTCTCCAAGGACGACAGGCTGTGCTGGATGTTTTGATGAAGGATTCAGGTCTTGTGAATTATTACAATTGTCTATCGGAACTCACAGATTGCGGAGAATTTTTGTCTCTGCTGGGGCATTCAAACCCCAATATGCGAATCCTCGAAATTGGCGCAGGCACAGGAGCATTTACATCAATTATTCTGGAAGGCTTGAAAGCCCCGGCAGGTGGTATGATGTACTCTGAATATGTGTTCACTGATATATCCGCTGGTTTCTTTTCCCGGCCAAAGAAAGGTTTGACAAGTTTCCTGGGGTTACATTCAAGACGCTCGACATCACCAAGGATCCTCTAGAGCAGGGGCTTGGGTGCTTTGATTTAGTCGTGGCATCTAACGTATGTTTAAATTAAATAAATCGCCCTTGCTGAAATGGCTTTTAACCGTGTCCCAGGTTCTCCATGCGACACCAACACTTCACCAAACACTCCTTAACACTAGAAAGCTTCTCAAACCAGGGGGTTATCTTTTCCTCCAGGAACTTTGTCCAGGTGCGCCGCTATTATTGCGACTTCTCCTACCCAGCTAATTAATTTCTAGAAATCTCGATAACCGATTCGATCATGGTGAGTTTAAAATATCAATACACATGAAGTCAAAGTGCTAAAAGAAATAAGGGCCTTCTTCCGGGATGGTGGGTTGGGCATGATGATAATCGCCCAGACAGACCCTACGTACTACCAGAACGGTGGGACAAAGAGCTTCTAGCAGCAGGCTTCAATGGTGTCGAGGCACTTTCTTACGACAATGTGAAGCCATATCATCAAACCGCCAATATGATATCTCGGTCTCCTATAGCTTCCATTCCGGAACGCGAGGTGGGATTTCTTTACAGTGGAGTCAAAGACATCGAAGCCTGTATAATTGAGAAGGCCTTTACGGACGATGGATTCAAGATCACATGGTTCACTCTTGGGGAGCCCCTCGCTTCCAATCAGAATATCGTCTCTCTGTTGGATCTAGGAGACTCTCCGTTTCTCGCCGACATCTCTGAGCAATCTTTCACATCACTCCGTAACATACTATCAGAATCATCGCCCAGCAGCATTCTCTGGATCACTCGAGAGGCTCAACTACGGAATGATGACCCACGCCGGGGTCTAATCCTTGGTTTCGCGCGATCGATTCGGTTGGAATTTTCTCTTCGATTTGCCACCTTCGAGATACAAACATTGGATTCAAATATCCTTAAGTCGCTCATCAAAGTTGAGCAACGAATGCAGGACGCAAACTCAGAGGATTCGGAGCCAGATTATGAATATGCAGTTCGAGGCGAGAACGTTTCTGTTTGCCGGTACTATCCTCAAGATATCACGACGGTTGATGTGGCAGAGTCGGAATCCAATCGATCCAAGAAACTCAAAATTGGCACATGTGGTCTGATGAATACCCTTGAATGGGTGCAAGAAGATATTAGCATACCAGGCCAGGGTGAGGTTCAAGTCGACATCAAGTACATTGGTCTCAACTTCAAGGTATGTTTGGTATTGCCTTTGAGCCATGAGTAAAATACTGATTTGGACGCAGGATATCATGAATGCCATGGGCTTTGTAGGCCAGAAAGGCGACATTGGATATGAAGCGACCGGCATAATCAGGAGCGTTGGTCCCGGCGTACACCACCAGGATTTCAAGCAGGGAGATCCTGTTTGTGTTCTCGGTTCGTCACTTCTACGAACATCTGCTGTTGTTAAGAGCGTCAGATGCTATAAACTTCCCACTGGAATCTCTCTTGAAGATGCAGCGACCGTCCCATGTGTCTATTCTACGGTGGTATATTCATTGCTTACTCTGGGTCGCTTGGAAAAAGGGCAGAGTGTATTGATTCATTCAGCCTGCGGTGGTGTGGGACTGGCCGCAATCCAGATTTGCCGTATGGTTGGCGCAGAGGTAAGTTAATAGAACGTCACTGCGAAAGAGTATTGGTTAGCTGATAAACCTTGGAATTAGGTATTTGCAACTGTCGGAAGTGAGCTCAAGGCAGATTATCTCGTCGAGAATCATAGCATCCCCCGAGAGAATATCTTCAACTCGAGAGACTCTGGTTTCAAAGAAAGTACTCTACAGAGAACCGGCGGGAGGGGAGTGGACATCGTCTTAAACTCCCTCTCTGGAGAACTTCTCCACGCTTCATGGGAAACCGTTGCAGAATTTGGTACAATGATAGACATTGGGAAGCGAGACATGATGGGTCATGGGATGCTTCGTATGCGCACTTTTCTCGCTAATCGTTCATTCTTTGGCGTCGATCTTGATGCACTGGGTATCAATCGGCCCCTGGAGTTTGTAAGGTACGTTGAAATTCCGTGGCTGAAATAAAATAAATCACATTGCTAACATAATATTCTGCTTTAGAATCTTGAAGCAGGCCATGTCATACATCGAAGAAAAGAAAGTTCGGCCAATTCATCCCAGGACAATATTTGATGCCGCTGATGCGCAAGCTGCCTTCAGGCATATGCAAACTGGCCAACACATGGGGAAGATCATTATCAAAATTCCAGACGACACCTCTCAACTTGCCGCCTTTAAATATGAAACCCCACTGTCGCTTTCGCCGGATGTTTCGTACCTTATTGTCGGCGGACTTGGAGGCCTGGGCCGAGCTACGTCAAGATGGATGGTTGAAGAGGGCGCAAAAAGCCTAGTGTTTCTTTCACGGTCGGTAGAGCTGACTCCGGCACGCAAAAATTTCATTGAGGAGCTCCAGATCATGGGATGCACCATACATACTGTGGCTGGGAGTGTTGCAAATGTCGAAGATGTACAGAAAGCCATCGATCTCTGTCCAAAGCCACTTGCTGGCATCATCCAACTGGCTATGACTCTGAGGGTAAGAAGAATAAGACGAAAAATTGGATAATGTCTGAAGCTGATAATAATCGCTAGGACCACACATTCGCAACTATGACCCACGAAGCCTGGCAGGATTCTCTCGCTCCGAAAGTCACCGGAACATGGAATCTGTATCAAGCTACTCGGGAAAGTAAGTTGGATTTCTGCGTGACGTTTGGCTCGATTGTCTCCGTATCTGGAAATGTTGGACAGAGTAATTATGCTGCAGCAAATTCCTTCCTTGGCTCGTTTACGAAGTATGCACGATCAACCGGCTACCCAACCGCTGTTATTCAACTTGGAGCGATGGAAGACATTGGGTTTGTGAGTGAGAGCCCAGAGCTGCTGAAAAGATGTCGCGATCTTTCTCTTCAAACACTGAGGGAAAGGGATCTTATTCAAGGACTGCATGTTGCAATCAGACAGGCACGACTTGTTCGAACGGTCGACGAGCAGCAGAACATGGGCTCACTCATCATTGGATTACAGCCCATGTTTGGTAAAAGGCAAATCTCTGCGTATAAGAGCGACCGTCGATTTGCCCTTTATAATCGTTCTGACATGGACCTCGATCAGAAAGCGCCTTCTGAACTAGGCCGAATCCATCAATTCATTTCTGAAGTAGCGAGAGACCCTTCTATATTGGATCTTCAATCCTCGTTGGATCTGCTCGTTGAAGAGATTGCTCGCCTGGTGCATCCAGAAGAAGACCAAGACGAGTCACTTCAAGAAGCCGCGGAAATTACCATTGACTCTCTGATGACAATTGAGATTCGAAGTTGGTTACGGAAGACAATTGGTGCTGACGTCCCCACCTTGCAAATTACCAAGTCCAGGAACGTGGGAGGGCTCGCGTCGCTCGTGATCAAAGTTATGAAGGAGAAGCATAGCAAGGAGGAGGGTACAACCGAGAAGCAGTAAATCAGTCAAGCTTTTGTCTCTTTTTACCATTGGAAGGTGCTTGATTTGAATTTTGAATTGATACTGCTTGCGAAAGCTTCAAGTTTGCCCAGGTTTTCAACGAGATCCCTCTTTCCATCCAAACATAGACATCAACCAATCGAAGTATAGTGATACTTGGAGTATACGCGTGGCGAAGCAATCATGAACTCGGATACTGGCACTACTAGGTACTAAATTCAACTTGAACCTTGGAAGTCTTGAGTCTATAGCCTTCCTTTCATATTATTCCATTATTCCCAAGTATAGCATTAATTACAACCAGTAGTAGGATACTGAAGGGGTCGTCTGTTCCAATAACCGAAATGGTACGCGGGGAGTATTTTCATTATCCGACTCGGACCCTCACTAACCCTCAGCAACCCCCACACCTCAACGTGGGGTGACTCTATTCGTGAGACATCCACTTCAACTTGCCACCGTAGTCATGCGCCCAGAGACTTGAAATGGTGCATCTCAGATTCATTTCTACCAAGGTAAGACTAATATGTACCAGGACTCGACACGGACTTCCTTCCGATGGACAGCGATGAACAGCTTGGCCTGATATGACCAGCATGCAACCAGGAGACAACACCGAATCAACCCCGCATGGAAACGTGGGGGAAAGGCGATCAGGGATCAGGATGGAATGTGGATGAGGGGAGAACAGCGACTCGTCCGGGCTCTCCACTCCCTCCCCACGCGCCCGGCGTCAATGACTGTTTGGATGACCTTCAGGCGGAACATGAACGGCTAATCAGATCAGCGCTGGTGGGGGACGTGGGGGTTGAGCAATCCAACTGAGGTTATTTAGCTAGCCGGACGACCCCATGTTTCTTTTTCTGTTTCTGTTTCTGTTCCATTTTCCCCTCCATTATTCCCGGTAAGGCGCATCGCATCGACCCCCTGTCGTGTACAATGGAAATATCCCAAATTTTGCTGACTTCAAGTTGACTGCAGATCACATTCATCATGACGGCCAACGGTACTATCAAGCGGAATCCCCTCCCCCACGGTTTCTACGTGCCTACCGTAGCATTCTTCGAAGCCGACGAAGAAGTCGACCTTGCGACAGTCGAGAAGCACGCCGTCTATCTCGCCCGCAGCGGTGTCACTGGTCTCGTGACCCAGGGCAGCAATGGTGAAGCCGTCCACCTGGACCGCGACGAGCGCAATGCCATCACTGCCGCGACTCGCCGCGCCGTCGATGCCGCTGGCTACACCTCCATGCCAGTGATCGCGGGCTGCGGAGCTGCCTCCACACGCGAGACTATCCAGCTGTGCAAGGATTCAGGAGCAGCAGGTGCCGACGCGGTCCTGGTGCTACCGCCCAGCTACTACAAGGCGCTGGTGAACACCGAGTCGATGCACGCCCACTTCCGCGCTGTGGCCGATGCCTCCCCCATCCCCGTCCTCATCTATAACTTCCCCGGTGCCTCGTCCGGATTGGATCTCTCCTCAGACGATATCCTGACCTTGGCCAAGCACCCCAACATTATTGGTTGCAAACTCACCTGCGGTAACACGGGCAAGTTGGCGCGGATCGCCGCGGGCGCGAAGTCTGATTTCTTGACATTTGGCGGTTCCGCCGACTTCACACTGCAGACTCTTGTTGCTGGTGGTGCGGGTATCATCGGTGGCACTGCCAATCTTATTCCACGATCATGCGTCCGGGTGATGGAGCTGTATCGCGCTGGCAAGGTTGAGGAAGCACAAAAGCTGCAGGCCATTGTCGCCCGGGCGGACTGGGCTGCTATCCACGGTGGCTTTGTTGCGGTCAAGAGTGGGCTGCAGTCATATCACGGATACGGTGGTCTACCTCGACGTCCCTGTGTGGTGCCCTCTGCAACGGCGGCCGCGGCCATTCAGGAGGAATTCCGTGAGGGTATCGAGCTCGAGCGGAGTCTGGAGAAGTTAGTCTAGACATCACGGGAGATAATAGTACTAGCCTATAGTGATTAGCAGTCGCTAGAATGAATCATGATACCTTGACCTGACCTTGACCTGACCTTGACCTGACCTTGACCTGATCTTGACCTGATCTTAACCTTGACCCCGCAATTTCTAGAGGTACTGTAGCTTGAAAACAAGCCACTAGGGGGGGGCACGGGGCTCTTGATATATAGTGCTAGTATAGTACTAGTATGGAGGATGCGAATGCGAAGTTGAGAGAAGCGAGATGTCACTGTGGTATTCAAGTTCTTCTACTACTTCCCCTCTACTACCTAGCTAGGTACGAGTATCTCCCACTCCCTCCCGCTGTACCTTCACCTCCACACCTCCATACCTCCATACCTCCACACCTCCTTCTAATATGCCCAGGCCCAGCCGATGTCGCATGTGGAGGTGGATATGCCAGGTCGCACCTGACGATTGGGTCTGATTAGTCGGATGTAACCTGACAAACACCGCAAGACTGCCAGTGCCACTCTGAAACATCCAGGGATTTGTTTATCGAGAGAGATCCCACTCAGCCTGCATGCCGATCGGTGATCGGCATGTTCACTGCCCCCATAAATATTCCCTGTCGAGAACCTCCTGCTGGCCTCTCCTGTCTGTCTTCACCCTCATCATCCTTGTCGCCATAATCGCCATGAAGTTCTCCCTGTTCGGCGTGCTCGGTCTTCTCACCGCGGCCACTGCCGTCAAGGTGAATCCACTTCCCGCTCCCCGCAACATCACCTGGGGATCCAGTGGACCCATTGCCGTGAAACAACTCTCTTTGCACAGCTCGAGCAATGTTGTCTCCCACGATGACCTCAACAGTGCCTGGGAGCGCGCCTGGTCCGCCATCACCACCCTTCATTGGGTCCCGGCCGCGACAGAGGCACCCATTCCTCACTTCGACCCCTTTCCGACCCCGTCCGCGAATGCCAAACGCGATGCCTCCGCCGCAATTCACTCAGTACACCTCTCGGTCGCTAACGGCGATGCCGATCTGCAGCATGGCGTCGACGAGTCATACACCTTGGAAGTGACAAAGACATCTGGTCGTGTTAATATCAAGGCCAAGACTGTCTGGGGCGCGATGCACGCGTTCACGACCTTGCAACAGTTGATCATCTCCGACGGCCACGGCGGTTTGATCCTGGAGCAGCCGGTCAAGATCACGGATGCACCACTCTACCCGTACCGTGGTATCATGCTAGACAGTGGTCGCAACTTCATCTCCCTCCCCAAGATCTTGGAGCAGATCGATGGCATGGCCCTGTCCAAGCTCAACGTGCTGCACTGGCACATCGATGACGCCCAGTCATGGCCAATTCAAATGCAGACCTATCCCGAGATGGTGAAGGACGCCTACTCCCCTCGCGAAGTCTACACCAAAGCCGATATCCGACGCGTTATCGCCTACGCCCGCGCCCGTGCGGTCCGTGTCATTCCCGAAGTCGATATGCCCGGTCACTCCTCTTCTGGCTGGCAGCAGATTGACCCTGAGATCGTGGCCTGCAGTAACTCATGGTGGTCGAACGACAACTGGCCGCTTCACACGGCCGTTGAGCCGAACCCGGGTCAACTGGATATCATCTACAACAAGACCTACGATGTTGTGCGCAATGTGTACAACGAGCTGTCCGGTATCTTTACCGACAACTGGTTCCACGTTGGCGCGGACGAGCTTCAACCCGGCTGTTACAACTTTAGTACACATGTCACAGAGTGGTTCGCGGAAGACCCGTCGCGTACATACAACGACCTGGCCCAGGTCTGGGTTGACAAGGCTATCCCAATCTTCCGCGATGCAGGCAAGCACCGCCGCATCATGATGTGGGAAGACATCTTCCTCTCGACCGAAGCCGCCCACGACGTTCCCAAGGACATCGTCCTCCAGAGCTGGAACAACGGTCTCGGCAACATCGACAACCTCACAGCCCACGGCTACGACGTCGTCGTCTCTTCGTCCGACTTCCTATATCTGGATTGCGGCAAGGGCGGCTTCGTCACGAACGACCCTCGCTACGACGTGATGTCGAACCCGGACGCCAACACCCCGAACTTCAACTACCAAGGACCCGGCGGCTCCTGGTGCGCCCCTTACAAGACCTGGCAACGTATCTACGACTACGACTTCACGACCAACCTCACCGACGCCCAAGCAAAGCACGTCCTCGGCGCCGAAGCCCCCCTCTGGTCCGAACAGGTCGACGACGTAACCATCTCGAGCTCTTTCTGGCCGCGCGCCTCGGCACTCGGTGAGCTTGTTTGGTCTGGAAACCGCAATGCGGCGGGTCAGAAGCGCACGACTGAGCTCACCCAGCGTCTGCTGAATTTCCGGGAGTACCTCGTTGCGAACGGCGTTATGGCTACTGCGCTTGTGCCGAAGTATTGTCTCCAGCACCCGCATGCTTGTGACTTCTACTATAACCAGACTGCTATCGTTTGAGAGTAGATTGCAGGATCTGGATTAGGGCTGTTTTCTTTTCTTCTTATCTTCACTTGCCTCGTCTCTTATTTGATGGGCTGAGCTTGTGTTTTTTTATTGCATACTTTTAGCTTTTCTCCGATACCCAATTACATTGGTACTTTCTCTCATAACTTTCCACGCTCGTGGCTACTGGGCATTCTTTTATCTATCAGGACTCTTGGAACTTCATGCCACATTCTTTGGACATGTAGTTATATCTGCCTCGGCAGTTACCATAGGAAACTCAGTGCAGTAAAGAGCCTTTGAGGTTGGAAGCATGTCTACATCCATAGATCGTGGACGCACGATCCGCAACGAAGTGATCATTTGCGATTTAAACATATTATACTATTCAAAATATCTCAAACAATACCCAGAGCTTTAGATGGCAACCTGGGACAGTCTTTGTGGGCTTCAATTTCATTTGGACTGATGCATGGCCGGTAAAACCTCGTATACTTGCAACGAGGTAAGAAGTAAAGCTCTCTCATTCCCAGTATTCAATCTAATTCTCATTCCAATTGACACCCTAACCAACCTTGGAAGACCCAGGGCTTGGGGTAAAGCAAGTCTCGTTATCGACTACCTAGACACGCTAATGTAGTGCAACATCCCCAGACACGAAAGGGAAAAAAAGACACCATCCACAAACGGACATATACCTTCCTTTTTCACTATGTTCCTGTTCTCACCACCGGAGAACTCCAATAAGGTCCATCGCCGAGCGAGGTCATGCAGGTGAGATAGAAGGCACGCCCGCATGTGGCGCGGCGTGGCGTGCCCTCTGATCTTTCTTTCGGGTTTTGTCTGTCGGTGACACCGGTGGTTAAGTTTTGTGTTTGGTTTTGTTTGACTATACTATTCCTGTTAGGGGTATGGGGTTGCTTGCCAAGTGCTCACATCAGAAACCTGGGTACTGGTAAATACAGCGGGGAGGTGATGTGAAGTGAATTTCTCCAAGGATTGGATTATCCGGAGAATGCTCGCTAAACATCATGACAGAAGTACCGGCGTACCGGCGCGATGGCTGGGTTAGGTCAGATTCGACTGAATCGGGGTTCTGTGAAACTTTCCAATTTGTCCGTGGAGTGTGGGATTCGGAATAAGGCTGGGATATCGCGGGTTTAGATAAGATTTCGCTTGGAGATCCTTGTTATGGACTGACTTGGTGGCTTGGAATTTCAAGGTTGGTACGTACTTTTCTTTGGTTTCTACGGGCCCTCCGGGTACCCGTGTACATATACTCCAGGGCTAATATCTTCAAGGCACAATCCATGGATGCTGCCGGTTGACTTGTTCACAGCATGTGGCTCTATGCCTTCTTTGGTCTATAGTGAAATCATAGGAACCATTTATCACTCGGCTCGACTCGACTAGACTTCGTGCGACCGGTTCGGTTCCGGTTCTTTTGCCCGTTGCACGACGATGCAGGGAGGCTCGATTCGTCGGGTGTTTGGGATCGCATCTGCGCGTGTACCCGGGCACGAGGCCTTTTGTGAAACTTTTCTGTTTGTGGTGATTGACTGTATCGGTTTGAGGATGGAAGTTGTGTCGAGGGAAGGGGTGTTGGTGTTGGTGTTGGTGTTGGTCTTGCTGTTGGTGCCTTGTTTGATGAGACTTTTCTGGTCGTCTTGTATGACCATCTGTTTCATTTTGATGACAAGCTTGTTTCATGGTCGTTAATGTCTTGGTTCCTGTAAGAAGGGCAGGGTGGTAAGCAGTTTCGTCTTTCCAGAAGGGAAATTTCACACTTCAAATCATCATCAATCAAGTATATCCAGTTGTAATCCGTCAGTAGTTACCTTGGAAAGATCTGGTAGAGTATGTCATGTTCTCGTGATCTTGTTACACCCCATTGGACTTAGAACTAAGGTCTTACCGATTGTCTGATCCCCCGGTCTGCGACTAGATGCGCACGTTAGATTTGGTGGGGATCAAAATCACATAAGGACGTGTTCTTATAATGCCAGTGATATCCTTCCTAGTATCCTGTCAACCGAAACTAGTCATAAGACATATGATGTCAATTCACTCGGACTTTGCTGCTGTATACCTAGTATGCTTATTGGGGTTGCACAATACTATATCCTAGTCATATCGAAGAAGTCCTGGCAAGGCATTCAAATCGCGCGACAGCATCCAAAACTATACATCAGCAAATAAAAGCTTTCGAATTACGAGTTTGTATGGGACGCTTTGAACACTGGCATTCTTAATTACTCTTTTGCACCTGGACTGGAGTTGAACTGTATTCGGAGATATGTCCCAAACTGGATCCATATACTGCACATCTGACTGGACATTCATTTAGGGCGTGAAGTATGCTGCTAGTACAAGGAACACCTTAGTTGATACAATGCTTGCAATAGCAGTATGCAGGCTGATAGATAATATTGTCGTCAAGGGGTATATCGCGGACTTAATGATGCTAAACATGACCCCATGGTGTGTTGTGTTTAGATTTGATAGTAACTCGATCGTCCTTTGACGACAAGGAAAGAAAGCCACAGACACTAACGAGGAACGAGGAACTCGTTTCAAAGCCACAGTGGCTGATCTTGATACGAAGATCCTATGTGCAAACGAACTTAGCGATGAGCGATCAGACCCTGCATGAATTCGATCCTGTGTAACCTGCAGAATTGACACTTGATCGTCAAGCTAGAGAAGTCAAAGCAGGCCGAAAAGCAAGGAAACACCGATCCAATACCAAGAAAGACTTCGCAATCACATACACTGACGGTGTACGACGTAATGAAATTTTGTGGGTGCCGTCTGTCTATCCTATCCGATCCTATCACATCTACCCCACTGAGAAGAAAAATTTTCATGACTCGTAAAAGATATTTCCGCGGTGTGATCCATTGCGTCGGGTTCACTTGGTCAAATCCCAAATCCAGAGCCCGGGGATTCCGAGATCGCTTTCCCCCAACAAAAAGGCTCCACCGAGAAGGGGAAAAAGAAAGAAAAAAACCAGGGCAAACAGGAAATGAAAATCATGATGCAGTGTGACCGCAAAGTCCATAAAAATCATAAACAAGAAATCCTAGAATAGGTCAATCTCTCCACACTGTCTCGGGTGCCCCCCCTCTTAGGTGAGAGAGAAAAAAAGCAAGGAGAAGAAAAGCTCTCCTAGTGGATCCGCACCGCCTCAGAAAGTGGACACGATCGAGAAGCCAAGGACACCGCCGGATCTCGGGGTCAGCGAGGTAAATTTCTCATAGGGCCGATCGGCGTAGGCCTTAACAATTTCTTCCCGGGATGGACAAACCAGGCAATTGATTCACCCCTATGGAACAGATCCCCGTACTGCGTGCTCCGTACGGAGTATAGTGGAGGACGTTACTGAAAAATGAGGCACTTGTGGCTGATCATCGACACGAAGATTTCCAGAACAGCGATTAGTTTTATGGAGACAGGCGCCCACTGGGGCAGGTCCCAAAAGGTAAGCACTACTAGTAGTACTAGTAAGTTAGTATACTCCTCTCGTAGTACTCCGTACATTGTAGAAGAATATACCGGATATATCAAGTTGCCAAGGAATCTGTTTACCAGGTTACGCAACCCGAACGAAGGAAACAAGAATTATACTTTAATAGTGGAGGGAGCTCCCCACATGCCACACGGGATGTCAGAATTTAATTCTTCGGATAGCAGCAGGGCGAGGAGCTATCGCACCCGATGGATCTTTGGGCGTATCCACTGCAGGTAGTAGGATACAGAGCCTGCGGAAAACATCTCCGCAAGCCAAATTTCAAGCCAAATTTCAAGTTGAACGATAGTAGTGTTCTCGATGAGGTGCGGGTAGGAGCTTAGATCTATGTTTATTTATTTTATTTTTCCACTATGTACTCCGTATCTAGTCCCACTTCCCTTATTTTCGTTTCCGGACGGAAATCGATATGTACCTCCGAAAAGCTCGTGTAAGGTATTTTATTTCCGAAATTTGCCGAAGCACGCGCCTGTCTACTCCGTACGGAGACTTATTATGCGGTGAAGCAATACTGAGAGGTGACAGATCGAAATGACTAGTGGTCGACCCGTCACAGGAGCGCCGATCTTCTTCGAAGTGGGCAGTTCAAGGTATTGAAATTACTGGCAGAGGACGCAACGTCCGTGGATTTATGCAGCACTGTAAGGAAGAAAAGGCGCAAGATTACCGTACATGTACAGACAGGGAGGCGATGCGAGGTGAAGTTTAAGTGACGTGAGGGGAGGAGGGAGGGGAAGGAAGGTCTGGAGGGCGAGAGGTGCCTGGATGAGGTAAAATTGCATGCGCGCTTATGCAAATCTGGTTCCCGATCCCGCGTCTGGAGGCGATGAAGATCACAAATGTGATAGGTATATACCGCGGGAGATAAATTAATATAATCTAGATGCGGCGATAGGGCGCACACCACGACACACATATTAGAGGATCGAGCGAGTCACTAGTTTTGCGGTCGTGTGCAGATCCCCCCTCTTTTTTTCTCGTACTGGGGCTATTGGTGGAAGTGTGATCTGCCTGTGCATCTGTGGGAGTAAGAGTGACAGCAGTGACAGCGATAGCGTGCTTGATGTACATACGGAGTACGGAGTATGCACGTCTGATATGTGGGAGGTCCTGTACTATGCGAGCTACAGTAACCTTGGAAGCTGTGGCTTCTTCCAGGACATATGCCGAGTCTCTCTTCCCCTCTCTCCACCCTAATTTGATGCAAGATTGACAACTGCTATCTGCATGCATGCTTCGAGCTAAACGGGAAAGAGTCTCTATCACGTAGACAGGGGGAACCGAGTGTTTTCTTCCGGGGACCATCGGTCTACTCGATTTGTTCTCAATTATGGCTATCATTGTAAACTAGTATTTAGGGTAAATCCGCCCGAGACTGCCAGGATTGTATCTTGCGAACCAAAACTATTGCCTAGGATCGTGTGATGGCTGTACGACGCCATGAAACTCTGGGCCAATCGCCAGAGATTTCTCTTACCCCTTCGGTTGCGCTTACACGTTACGAAAGGGCTCTGGGGTTGGGTTGAGTTCGGTTCGGCTGGGTTAGTCGGAGGCAACTGGGGTTGGGGCGTCATTACGAGCCACACAAACCTGCCTTGTCTCTGGAGTCTAGATGATGTTTAGTCAAAGATTCTCGGCAAGGGCAGGATTGTTTGCTCTGGCGAACGGCACATCCATGTATGGAGTACATACATACGCCACTCACCCGGGCGCTGTAGATCCTCGTCGATCGGGCATGATGTAATTCGCTATTCAGTAGTTGAACCGTATACATACGTCTATACAAGGAGCGGACGTGCTCCGGAAACGAGGCGATCCTTTTTTCGTCGTACCTCGCACCAATAATAATGTTCAGGCCGAGTCATGTTCCTTGCTGGGTTCGGAGGGTGAATGAATCGATCTTGGCCCCTCCTCTTGTCTCTTTCTCTTACCCTCACCTTCACGCTAAAGCTTATCTTGCGTCAATAGTTCGCGGGTGTTCTAGCAGGGCGGGAAGCCATTGGATATGGTTTGTTCAGAAATGGTGATCCTCACCCGAGGATGAAGAAGAATAAGAAAATACGGCGTCCTGGGGGCCGAAAGAGAAAAAGAAATGTGCCCGGGTGAATGGGGACAAACACCGCGATAGGATATACTTCTCCATGTCCAAACGCCCAGCAGCAAGTACAAGTACATCATTCTTGATAGAGGAGAAATTCACCGGCAGACGTAGAAACCAGTGGCCTAGGACCCTCGCAAGCCAAGCAAGCCCAGGCGCCAACAAACTCATTTTCAGGCTTCTCCATTGCGCTGTCCGTCTCTCCCTTCCCCTGTACATACTACAGCGGCCATAACCCAACCTAACCGAACCCTCACCCCCACAGCTCTTCCACATGGTGAAAGGATCGGACCGCCCTCCCTGCCCGTGCCCGTGTCCCCGTTCCCGTGCTCCAAGGGCGAGGCTTGAGGCGCTACACTACTACAACATGACGAATCATGACCCGTACAACGCTATGGAGTCGATGCAGGGGGGTTCCCGTACCATGTGACCCATATTGTAGGGGATGGAGAGGGGGGAGGGAACAGTGCAGGCCTGGATCGACGCCCGTCCAATCCTGCGATCGTGAATTCCTATGTACATATTGTGACTTCTCTTGTGTCTCGCAGTTTCTTAACGAACAAGGCATAAGGATACCGCATCTCAAGTCATGTCGGCTGTCGATCGGCCCCCACAGGTCCCGCCTTTGTTGAGAGATTCCGATCTGGTAAGATTCGTATGCTACGAGTACAGTAGTGTATACGGAACACTCCGTACTCCGTACATATGGCCTGCATTGTCAGTACATACTACATACGCACCAGTAGGATGGTGGTTTGATTATGCCTGCTTGTCTCTGCCTTGCCCCTTTTTTACGCCCCTTGCCTTGCCTGCTGCTTCGTGGGTTGTCACTCACTCACGCATGCACACCTCCATGCGTGCGTGCGTACTTACGTACTTCCTACATACACGCACTCACGTTCGCGGAGAATAACCATCGGGAATATTTCTAAAGTGCTGTCAAAGCTCGCTACCGGTCGGTCAATCGTGGCTGGCTGGCTATCATGGTCAAATTCATGCTCAAGTTCAAGTTGATGATCATGTTTCTCCAACCCAAATGGGCCGTGCTTTGCTGCCCAAATTTGTAGATTCGACGGTCTAGATCTGACTCGGAGGAAACTTTGGCCACGGGACAGCGCATACATTGCTTGGAAACATACTCTGTGGTTCTTGTCGCAGGAAAGAGAGAAAGGATCACAGACAAATCCGTGCAGAGCCCCTCTCCCCCAGACCGGTCGACCGCCAAGTGTCCCGGTCGGATGCATAACCGTGCGCGGAGACAGGGGGGAACCGGTGTGCTGGATTTGTTAATATATTTCTCCTCTGTGAGTCTCCGGGCAGAGCACGGAGTACCGTAAATCAGCCTGCGGGGACTTGGCTGTCCATTCCATCAAGTAAAGAAAAGTGTAGCGGCAGGGGTAGGGGAAGCGGAAATTTAGGATACAATGAATAAATAACAACGAAAATAAAAGAAAAAGGAAAAGAACAAGAAAAACAAGGCAAGGAGCTGCGGTAGAACGGCGCATCGACCGTTTCCCAGAGAGCCAAAAGTACATTGTCAGCTCCGTATCCGGACGGAGCATGTAGCCTGGGCTTGTCAAATGACTCGAGCACTGGCAACGGGCGTCAAAATTTTGGCAAGGAAATAGCGTTGGGGAAGCCATTGCTTGGCGAGGGAGAGATAGTGCTCCACTCTTTTCAGGGGAAGCATGAGAATGAGAGATGAAAAGGTGCCAAATCGAGTAGCTACTCGTACGGTGGGCTACTGTACAGTAGGAGCCCCATATATTATCACACTTAGTGTGGCTAGTTGGTGGGGTGAGGCATTCCCTACCCGACGGAAATCACCGCGCAAGACAGGTGTCATGTCGATCTGCCATATCTTTCCAGCCAGCCATGATTTTATCGTGGATCTGTCAAATTCAATTCGAGAATTTTCTTTCTTTTCCGCTCTGCACAGAGTACGGATACTCGACTATTGATTCAGAATCCTTCAAACACTAGTATTAATCCACTATACTAGAGAGTAGACCATGATAGTTTACTCCGTACGGAGTAGTTTCATTTCATTTAATTTGTGCTACTCCATATTATAATCAGGTACATAGTTAGATCTACCCGTCGTAATCCCTCAAACTCGTCCATGATCGTCGCCAATCTATAGAGTACTAAATGGACCGTCTGTGATGCGCCGGGGTATAGCGGATCGACCGGACTTAACCGTCAAACCAGCAAACCGAGTGGCCTATCTCTCGCCATCCTTGTAAACTGACAAATACTTCGCATGTGTAGATTAAGCTAAGCGCTAACAAGCTAGGGCTTGTTTACTGTTACCAAGAGTGGCCTAGGGAAGTGTGCACCGGCCCTAGGCACACATAACTTAGTGGCGCGCGGTTGTGGGGGGGATGATGGGGACAGGAGGACGGGGAGGAAAAGGCGGATGCGGATCGCTTCTTGAAACGGGGGCGTTGGCTGTCAGCAGTGCGGAACGAAAAGAAACCCAAGAAAAACGGAAAACGGAGATAGAATAAACGACATGCAAAGTTTAACGGGCACCCCGTGCAAGACAATACGGAGTACTCCGTAGGGTAGGAGAATGAAGATTAGATTGGATCCATTTCGGTTCTACAGTATTTGACAATTCGAGTTGGAATTTTGTAAGAGCCGCTAGGGAGTAGAGTTTACCAAGTTCGCAAAAGTCGGGACTGGAAATTCTCCCCTTTTGCCTAGCTTGGATTAGGCGGGTGATGTGATGAGAACTCGCTGCACTTGACCAACTAGAACGCAATAGCGTATCTTGAGAAGTTGGAACTGCATTATTTCCGCAGAGAATTACGATTATTCTTTTCGGGGTACGCATACAGCGCACGACTTGGATACAATAGGTAGGTGGTTACTCTTTTTCGTCCACTAGTGCGCATTGGCATGGCAGAGCAGACAGTAGGGTGGGTTGTACGAGTACTGGGTTATTGGGGCCAGTACGGAGTATGCTGGCCACGTTTTCTGTCAGATCGAGACTGCCACGCGGTGGTGGGGTTACACTCGTCGCTGGCCCCCAATTACTCCTACTCTAGACCGATGTAAGTACAGTACATGCTCAAGGAAATGACTGAGCATATTCGGAAACGCCAGCGGAGAGATGTCCGATAGACCAATAGAGAAAATAAAGAGCCTCGTTCCAGATCCATGTCAGTGGTGTTGCAGATTTGGGGGACCGACTTGTCTTATTCCGTCCTGTTTTGGATTTGCATGCGATCGCCAGGTATGATTCTGAGACACAGCGAGTCTATTTTGCAGAAGGGCCAAAAAAAGGGGGGCGAGACCCAAGGCAGAGTCACCGGGGAGTGTAGCGCATCTCCCGCAGATTCCGAGAAGATTACGAACCCCACAATGCAAAGGTGAAATGAGTCTGGCCCCCACATTCATAGTCAAGGGCTAGCCATGGGTATGGGTGCATTTGTTACTACAAGCAAATGGACAAAGAACAATCAATATCTGGCGCCGGGGCGGGAGAATATGCATACATCAAGAAGAAAACAAAGGGAATACGGTTTCCCGCTTCCTTTCTCGTAATCAGTGCCAATAACAACGTATACTCTGTAGCCACAGTATGTACTAACACAGGGGAATCCCTGGCATAAACCCTGTCAGTGCCCTTATCCTGGTCCTGCCCTGTTCTGCCCTGTCCTGTCCGGCGGCGATCACCCACCATTTTGGTTATCCTTGTACATTTCTGTTTTTAGAACACCTCTCACCACCCGCCATTTGTCGCCGCAACCACATGGAGGACAAGGACAGGCGCCTACAGATATACATACATAGAAGGATCATTGCCATAGGGCTTAGACTTACATAGATCTACTTATTCCAGACGGAGTACATCCAAAGAAGATCACATCCCGACGATAGAAATAGAATCATGGAGAGAACATGATATGGCCCCTACATTGCATGTATTACAAGCGGTACAAGTCAGATACAGACTCGCAAATTGGGATATGTCGTCCCAATCTGGTCAATGCGACAACAAGCCTGTTGAGGCCAGACTCTGGTCCATGCTCGAGACTGGATGATCTGCGGACCCGGGTTACAGGAGAATGGTCCACCCTCCTTTTTTGAATTTCAAATGACCAAGGAGTTTGGCTGGGTTGGGCAAGGCAAACTCGTCTGATTGAACGGAAAGGGAAATTAGCAGCGACTAGTTTCCTTTATTTCTCCGAGAAGCTTTCGTGGGAATTAAACGCTGTTACGTATTAGGGGATGATGAACTTTGGTCTCAGCCTTGTCGAGCCGTGTTGAGAAGAATGTGGGGAAAGGGAGAGATGGGATGGGATGGGATGGGATGAGAGGGAAAATAGGGTCAATCAGGTCAGGAGGATAAAGTAGGGTTGCGAACCGATTACCGACGCGGGAGCCGTTCCATGGGTTGCCTTGGGGCGGTTGTGGTTACCCCGATTGCTGATTTAGGCATTGTGTTTTGTTAGTGCACTGTCTGAGCTGGGGTTAGGCTGGGATGGGAGAGGAGGTTTGGGCAATTGGGGTATTATCTGAGCTCGGAATATCGAACCATGGGATGGGTTATGGCCGGACTTATCCCGGTGATTTATCCAGAGAGATAAGTGTCGATCTATCCTATGGGGAAATTAGTTTATTGATGGCGGAATCAACGGAGATAGGCCGGTGCAACCTTTTGGTTTTTTTTTATTGCTTTCCCCCATCTTCTGGAATCGCTAAAGACTCCCCTAAAGTGAGGTCTCACCTCAAAACACGTGTGATGAATAGGAATACCTAGTCATCTTGCATACTTTGCCTGACTGTGGCTAGGTCATGACCTTGGCCGACCCAACCGTGCGGCACCGGAAATTGATTGAATTACTACTCGTACTAAACTCCGTGCCCCGTACTGTGCCAACAAGTTGGGGCTCCGCCAGATTTCGCAGGCTCGGAGTCGCCGTGGGTGAGAAGCGCAGAGCAAGGGACCGCGCCACAATGAGAATCCACACCCGTTTTGGGCCAGAGCCTATACGGATTACAGTACGGAGTACGGAGAGTAGGGTTGGTGACATCCCGGGGCAGTGGTCCTGGCTTATTTGTGGGGTGGTACCCTAATCATCCTGAGTTTAGCGAGCAGCCCTATCAACGATCAGGGAGGCCGTTCACCTATTCCAAACATTGGGAATTGGTTTGGGGGCTAAAAAGTGGTGCTATCAGGGTGAGCGACCGGAAACCTAGATGGTGGGTAGTACTATGTACTCCATACTCCGTACGAGTAGTTCCAATGGCGTGGGGGCTTATTGGGTCGCTGCCGCCGTCTCATCACAAGGGTTTGTGCAGGGTTTGCAGGGGTTGCAGGACCCGAGATCCCTATTCTCGGTGTTGACTGGCGGGTGGTCAGAGAGTCAAGGTTTTTTCAGACTTGCGTTTCAGAGAAGCGAGATCCGTTATTCGTCGTTACGCCGTTTGGCCTGGCCTGGCCTGGCCCTTTCGGGCTGATTGATGATGATGATTGCATTGCATGAGGGACCTGACAGCGAACTGACAGTTCTGACAGGACCAGTAACTGCCTCCAATTGAGGGTTCAACACTGCCACGGACGATCCATCATTGACGTGGACCCCGTGCAGGCCGTAGGGCGAAGCCAAGCCCAAACCCTCGCGCTCGTACCATCTCCCTATTGGGTGAGTCGGGCAGTAGTGAACCCCTGTACGGAAGGATGCATTTTTATACATGGGTCCGTCCGCTGTAGGGCAGTAATACGCGTGTCGAATGAGGTCATGTCGGGATCGCCGATCCCAGCGGTGAACGCAATCCCTGCTGCGCCTCAATTCTGCTTGGAGGCCCACTGAGGGAGAGACAGAGAACCAATGGGAGATTGGTTCCTCTTGTGCGAGGATGATTCATTGGCCAATTCTGTGGCTAGGGCCAGGATCGTGGCTGTCGCCGAGAGAGTCGGGGCCTCTCGCTCACCGACCGGTGGCAGGGTCGTCTGGTTCGTGACGGCTACTCCGGGCCGTAGTATCTCCTGGTCTCCTCTTAGGGCTGTGAGGGGAGGGCGGGATTGGATGGGCGGTCTTTTCCGGATCAGTGGCTTAGGTACTGTCGGGGAATACTGCAGAATCACGGTTGAAGGCAGGAAACATGACTTGGTGGTTTGTTTCCACCTGGCCCCGTAAGGTGTGTACTGCACAGCCTATGTATGCAGAGCTTTGTTTCCGTTTTCTTGTCTGTATATCACGGAATTAGAGATCCATGATGCCGTCAGACCAGAGTTTGATCGGTTTTACTACCGAGGATTTGGAATACTCGTATCTAAGCTACAAGTAACTACGGAGTACACCACCCACTACATGCTCAGTAGACATACTCGGTAGACATCGAGTATCAGTATCAGTGTCAGTATCAGCATGTGAACGCAAATGGGAATGAATGTCATGCCCATCCTCGTGGCCCCCTTTTTCTCAACCCAACCCAACCCCAATCCCAATCCTAACCCTGGCCATTAGTTGCAACCCTGGGAATACGAGGGACGGCCCAAATGGCAACGAACGCATGCGGCTCTCACCAGGGGAGAGGGAGAGGATCGGATCACACTGCCTGGACCGAGGGATCGTCACTTGAGGGAGGACGAAGGGGAATAGCGGAAAGAGTGGAGGTCCCCGGTGGTATTGAGTGATGCCAATCAATCAACCAAGATGGCGCGATCGTCCGTCCCGAGCGGGTGGACGCAACGCGATTTGACTGCCAGATCGTGAATGGGGGAATCTGAGTGGGTGAACCGGGTACTTCTTGACCCCACTGCGTGTTTCTTGGAGCGATGGCGGTTCGGCGCTGTGATTTGTTTGTGGTTGGAGGAGTCGTCTCTGTACTAGTGGACTTGACGAGTCGACCCGAGGTGACGGGTTTTGCTCACAGCCAACGATTAGGTCAGTACTCGTACGAGTACAGATTTGGTACCCTTTTGTCTGGAGCATGTAACGCTGACGGGTCGACAATGCGTTGTATGAAGTAGAGGATAGAGGATAGAGGATAGAGGACGCAAGTACGCACTCTACCATCTGTACGGAGTATCTGTAATATCTGTAATATCTGTACGAGTGTGTCTGTACGGGTTGTAGCCCTGGAGGAGATCACATATCCACTCTGACAAATCGACGCACTTTAGTCTTGCGCTTAGTTTACGGAGCCATTCACAAAGTACACGGACTCGCCGATGCCTAAAAGATGAGGATTGGACAGGATGATCAAGTCTGTATACTGTATCCGTATACCGTGTGTCCTCTACTACTCCGTAGTATCCTCCTCTCTACACACTACCCCGTACTATGACCGCATGAGTAACTATCCATGGACGCCTAAGGAGGCGGAGCTGGACTTGAGTATGAGTATTTGTCCCCAGTACTAGGACAGATACACTCTAGTTTACTCATACATACATACCTAAAGGATGTAAACTAACTACTGCACGCACTGAGCAACACGAACTGCTGCGCCCGCTCTGGTTCGCGTATTGTCATTTTACACACGTCATACGGCTGATCTTCTATTCGCTTTCCCTTTTTGGTATTTTATTTGTATTTTTATTTTATCTTTTCCTGTTTGGATTATTGCATATATTACGGAGTACTGGAATTTTCTTTTATTTTATTTTATTCCTTTTAATTCTTACTCCATAAAATCATTATTCCCTTTCTGATTATTGCATGAATATTATTATTATTATTATTATTATTATTATTATTATTATTATTATTATTATTATTATTATTATTATTATGATAATTCTATTTTATGATTCTATTATTTCTTTTTATTTTAATTTCCTCAGATCATAGATCCCATCGTTCACTCCGACTTTATAATACTCTACTCTTTCCCTCTTTTCCCCGCCGTCAACATTGAAGATCTCCATGTCATACTTCCCCATCACCACGCAAGGAGTGCCTTTATGAGTCCTTGATCCTGCTCAACATCTCCCCCCCCTCCCCCCCTTCATCATCGCACGTTGCTTTCCTCCGAGTTGGCACGTTGATCTGGCCGGGCCGTAAATCTAACTTTATCCCGGTATTGTCCCATTCCCACTGCCATTCTTGCATTACATTTCCACCTGGGCACCATACTAACCGGTCTGCGATATAGAGTCTCGACTCACCAGAGCTCCGCTCCAATTGCGCTCGCTGAATCAAATTCAAAATCCAAAATGCTCGCCGTTGATTCTCATTCTCGTTCCAAGCCCTCCTACTTTCAGTCGATGCCAATGGACCCCAGCATGGTTGATATGTTCTCATTCCCCATGGACGGCATGCCCTACCAGCACCAGCACCAGCACCAGCATCAACATCAACATCAACATCAACACCACCACCACCAACAAGCCCAGCCTGATTTTCGCCTGGCATATCTCGATGGTCCCATCTATGAGGACCTCCAGAAACACCAGTTCCCTTCGATGCCGACTACACCTCCCTCAATCTCCACTAGCCAGTCTGAGCCCCAAATCCCCACCGGCTCAACTGCCTCAGGACCTTCCATTGCCAGTGCTCCCTCCTCCGTCATCAGTTCTCCATACTCCGGTGCTCAACAAGTCTTCCAAGATAATTGGGTGAACACCAACCACGGCCTGGGCCTGCCTGCTGCTGTCATGGGTGATCTCTTCCCCTCTCACGATTATATGGGACAGGTGGAGATGGATGGATTGTATCAGGAGAAATTCCCCGATCCTTTTGTTGGTATGTGGCGCATATCTTATACTCCTTCAACCATGGGACAACTTGAACGCTGACACACATTCCCGTTCCTCCAGATCCCTCTCTCATCCAACCAGTCCACCCGGGCCCCAACTTCACTCCGACCATCTCCTACCCCGAGGACCCTGCCACCTATTCCAACATCCCCCACAGTTTCCTCCCACACTCGCCCGCAACCTCCCCAATCCCATACAGCGACAATGTCGACCACCAAGGTTCGCCTCTCCAGGGAGCAGGTGCCTCCCTCTCTATGCCAGGTCCCCATTCGCGCCCTGTCTCCGTCTACGACCGCCGCTCCTCCATCTCCTCGATTCACTCCCGTCGCTCCCAACAAAGCCCCGCCCTCAGCAGTGTCGAAGCTGATGACGAGGTCAAGGAAAAGGGCCGCTGCCCCTTCCCCGACTGCGGTCGCGTCTTCAAGGATCTCAAAGCCCACATGCTCACCCACCAATCCGAGCGCCCCGAGAAATGCCCCATCATGACCTGCGAATACCACACCAAGGGCTTCGCGCGCAAATATGACAAGAACCGCCACACTCTCACCCACTACAAGGGCACAATGGTTTGCGGCTTCTGCCCAGGACCCGGCTCCCCCGCTGAAAAGAGTTTCAACCGCGCCGATGTCTTCAAGCGCCACTTGACTTCCGTCCACGGCGTCGAGCAAACTCCCCCCAACTGCCGCAAGCGCAGCCCCAACGGCTCTTCCAAGAAGGGCACAAATTACAGCCCCGACGCCACCGGCAAATGCTCCACCTGTTCCGTATTGTTCAGCAGTGCGCAGGAGTTCTACGAGCATCTGGACGACTGTGTCCTGCGCGTTGTGCAGCAGGAGGAACCCTCCGAGGCAATCAACCAACAACGACTGGCCGAAGTCGCCGCCGACGAAGAGGTTCAGAAGACGATGGAAAAGCATCAATTGCTTGACGCGGCTGGCCCGCTCGAAGATGATAACGACTCTCATGACGAAGATGACCTAAATGACCTTTGGCGCACCCGCCTCTCCTCCAACAACCACAAATCTTCCAAATCCTCTTCCAACTCCTCCCGCCCCATCATCGGCTCCGCCAACGCGGTCTCCAAAAATACCGCCAAGCCCCGCGCCGTCACCCGTCGCCGCAATAACCGCGGCAACTACCCGCAATCCTGGGGCTGCCCGAATAGCAGCATGAAGACAAAGAAGCGGGTCCTCTGCGTCTTCGACGGTCAGCGTCGCCTGTGGAAGGACGAGATGATGTTGAATAATGACTTCGAGGTCCGTCTTCAGCTTCCTGGTGGCGCGGGTGATGGTACCCACCGCGATGCATATGTCACCGATCTCGATGTCGAGACCATGAAGCGCGCGGAGGGTGTCCTCAATGCGACAGATGCCGAGCGTGGCCCCTGGATGGATGGCCCCGCGCCCCATCTAATGGGCCAACCTGCCATGCTCTTACCTGAGCTGGGTAGACAGGATGATGAGATTTCTATCAACGAACTCATGGCCTGAACATGAACCACCTTCATCATCATCTTCTTCTTCCTTCCCCTTCTTTCCCCACCTTCTTGGCTTCGCTCTGTCTAGTCTAGAATAGCAGGGTATAGTCGGCTTGTATTCTTTCCTCCTTTTCATGTTCTATAGCAGTGGCGTCTTGAGTCGTTTTTCAGCATGCTATCATCGAAATACTTCTGTGGTATCTTTGGGTTATGATTGTGATTGTGATTGTGATACCTCACAGGATTGGTCCTGGTTGTTCTTTTGTTTTGTTCCTTTTTCTCTCTTATTGTTGTTATGAGTCTCCTTTGTCTCTCTATCTCTTCTATAGCTTTTCAGCTTGGCTCGGCTCTCAGCTTTCTACTCAGTTTTATCACGGTCTCTACCGCTGGTCGGGGAGCCAAAATACGAAACGATTTAATGGGATCTCTATGAAATTAAAGCATCGATGTAATCAATCTTCCTTTGTGCTCATTAAATATCTCAAGGCGTTGTTTCTATTTCTTTCAAGCGAATTTGGCGAAAGAAATCTCATTTCCCCACTGTCAAATACGGAATTCTACGATTGAAGAGAAAAAGACTATGTTCAAGATTAAAATGAATTCATGCTATATGGCACACTAGAGCACAGTAAAAGATAACTGCTACTACCTACTAACTAGCGCAGTTCCTATCATCCCCACCATGCAACTACTACTACATAGTAGCACCACCACGACGCAGCCTTCTACCACACTGAAGACAATCACACCCATCAACAGCAAGATCAAGCGAATCCCACCTCTCCCCAAGAACGCGATACGCCTCCTCAGCAGCCTGACTCCCCGTCGTACTAGGCCGCACCCAATTAAGCTCCAAGCAAACAGTCCCCTCATCACAATGCCGCGCCGTCTTATCAACCCTATCATCATGAGCATTCAACGTAAGTCTACCAACCTGCGAACTAAGGTACGCCGTCATAAGCACGGCGCGAGAAAGCATTCTATCGGTTTCGGCGACCGCCGCGCTCAGCGCATTCATAACTTCCTTTATAAGCCTGCAGCGCTTCTTGAGGCAGGATGGGACGTCGGCTCCTTCGGTTGCTTGGGCTTTGGCGGCGCGCTCGTCCATGGTGTCTAGTTCTTCTGTGCAATCGATGAGGGATTTGGCTATGCTTTGCCTGTCGCTGTATGGAATTTGCAGGGCGGTGCTGAGGTCTTCTAGGTTTTTGTAAAGTATTAAGCGGGCCTTTACAAATTCGTTGTGGTTATACTTTGAGTCGGACATGGTGGATGGGTGAGTGGATGGCTGGTGGAATGCAATGTAGTAATGTGATGTGGTGTAGCAATATGCGAAACTAACGAAGATTGAATATTTCTGATGCTTGAGAACTCTGTACTAAGACTGTTGTTGGCTGTTCTGGTTCGATTGATGGGGGTATTCTCGAGTATTTATGTCTTGGACTCGAGCTCTGGGGGGTTGTTTCTTCATACTCTGGAGCATTCGAGATTCGAATATAGTTTCAAAACAAAGGTGTTTTGAGATTATGGTGTCGAGGTTAAGCGATTAACTTGAAACTACTTCTTTTCTTTCAAATGGTTCTGGTGAGAATGAAATTTGTCCCTTCAGTGAAACATCACTTCGCCCTTCCCCGAATATAATGTCAATAGTACGGTACTGGTATTAGCCGCAGAGTCTTTGAGTGACATTGTTTACTGCTCAAAGATCAAAGACTTTATTGTGCGTTTTGTATGTGAAGAGCTTAAAATAGGGCCTCATTGTTTGGGCAATATTTCGAATAAAATACATTCGGACACAATGCCAGTACCCCTGAACTCTTTGTCCTGTGCCCGAGGGGTAAAAGAAGTCTGTAACAAGATATGATCTATGGATAGCGACTATTTTCCATGTGAGTTATAACTAAAATTTCTATATCGGTATTCTTTTCGAGTTTGGTACTCGATTACCCCATTGATTGACCCTTGACGTCCTTGGTTCACAGATTAGCGTAGAGATTCGGGGCTTTGCTAGAATGGAAATGTACAACCTTTTCTTTTTTATAAAATAAGGTTATAACACGTTAGAGGCTATGCGCTCAGTGCTTTGTAAGCATTGACGTTGGCAAGTTTGCTTTGGGGAGACCCCTTGTGTAATCCTGTCAAACTGTATATCTACATGTATTCGTCTGCCCTTCTAACTAAAAGAGCCCATCAAGGCGATATAATTATTTTCATACCTTTTTAGGAGATACCTGGACATCCGGTGCAGTCGTTAACTTTGATACTGGAAATAGTACATCCTACTAGTGATCAGCTGCCAGTGATCCTCTTTGCCCGTAGTATGATATATTGACTAATGACCCATTGTAGAACTTGAACGCAATAATTGTTCTTCCTTTTAGCGCTCAGAAAAGTCATTCCATTTAGCGATATACTAGTGGTTGGGTATTGCGGCATCGAGAACCCCGCCCTTGTACCCCGGATTATGGGAAGGCCATCACACGGTCGTGTGAGTGGCCAATATACGCACAGAGATAAGATATATCATGTTTATCTTAACAGTTCGGTTATTGCGGCAATAGAGATCTAACTTCATACATACCATTATTTATCATTTTGCTACTAGTAACACACAATGATAGTTATTACCTCGGGGGCTATGGAGAGGAACCTGCCGGTCCCGCCCCCCTCAATACCCCACGAGGTGAATATCCGAGCGGTGCGCAGCCCCAAAAGTCAGGAAGCCCATGAAAACAAATCGTATTTGATCCATTTATCGTGACTTTACTCTTGCCTTATTTTGAGTCCTCTGCTATTGTTGACTACTATTGATGAACTTCGTTTCCTCACTTCTTTGCCTTATAGCTCTTTCAAGGTTTAATATCCATCAATCGAACCACTTGAAGACAACATGTCAATGTCCAGCGAGTAACCCTGGGCAAAGTCCCCCTTATCGTATCGGCACCCATGGCAAAAGCCGCGACGCCAAAACTCGCAGTCGCTGTTTCAAAAGCTGGAGGTCTGGGATTCATTGCTGCGGGTTATAATAGCGACAACCTCGAAGACCTTCTGGAAGAAGCCGAGAAGCTACTTCTCCAGGAAAGCACGCCAGACTTGAAAATAAAGGCCGAGACCGAGGGCAAAGGCCCCAAGTTCCTGCCTATTGGCGTCGGATTCATAACGTGGAGCGCATCCTTAGGAAAAGCGCTGCCCTGTTTCCCCAGGTACTGTCCGGCAGCAGTGTGGTTATTTGCCCCAGCCAACGGGTTCAAAGACATCATTTCTTGGGCGGACCAGATTAGAAAGGCCACTGCGGGTAAGACCAGGATCTGGGTTCAAGTTGGCTGTGTGGCTGATGCGGTTGACGTTGTCGAGGCTATTGACCCTGATGTCATTGTTGTTCAGGGGGTTGATGCCGGTGGGCATGCTCTAGCCCAGGGGGCTAGTATTATCTCTGTTTTGCCGGAAATTAGTGACAAACTTCGGGAACTGCGCCCAGATCCTTTGAGACAAATCAATATGATTGCTGCGGGGGGTATCAGTGACAGTCGAGGTGTGCTTGCTGCCATGGCACTTGGTGCGCAGGGTTGTGTTCTAGGAACACGCTTTCTTGCGAGCTATGAATGTTCCGTTACGGATGGATATCAAAAAGCGATAATAGATGCTTCGGATGGAGGTATTAGCACGGTTCGAACGACGATCTATGACAAAGTTCGCGATATCCACGGTTGGCCACAAGGCTACGATGGTCGCGGTCTAATTAACAAGACTTATGTTGACCATGTGGCCGGTCTCAGTGAGTTTGACAATGGGAATCTTTATCGTGAGGAGCTTAATAGGGGAGATGCTGGCTACGGGACCGATGGGAGACTAACCACATATGCTGGCACTGGGGTTGGACTTATTAAGAAAGTAATTCCTGCAGGCGATATTGTCAAGTCATTGCACGAGGGGATAAATGCCGCGCTGTATTGGAGGGGAAATGCGTCTAGGCTTTGAATTCAAATTGTCTTTATTCTATTGTTCATGAGAAGAGTTTTGGTAGAGAGCCCCACGGGCTGATCTTGATCACTTATACCGAAGAGTTCAAGTGCATTTCCCTGAGTTCGCCATTTGGCAGGGGTCATAGTGTCATGCCCCAGCTTCCCCGCTTTTCGGGTAATGGAGGGGGTTGTTCGGGAGTAAATGCGAAGAGGGATGAAATGAATGGCTAGGCTTATACGAAGAGGAGGAGAAAGAGGATACAATTGATAGATAATTGACTGTTTATTTGAGTGTGTAGGTGAATCGGGAGAATCATGAGCAACCCTGAGTTATGCATCCGCGCTACACCTGTGGATTTGGCGGACAGGTCACTCTAATCAACGACGCGGGCTCGCGCATGGCTGATATTCTCGTCCAGGCTGTTAAATTAGCGGAAACTATAAGATCAATCAGTATACCAGGCAAATGCATCCTTGGCCGGCTACGTATGGCGCGCGAGAACAGATATCATGAAGTCCTGGGTCTCCCACGGACAAAGGCGACATGCTGTGTGTTTAATACGCATGGAAGAAATCGATGATTCCTCATACGCGAAGAGATAGCCTCGCGATTGTCAAGCTTTCTTCTGCAAAATCGCGAATACCTGCCCAATTCCGATCGGAGTCGCGGTCGTCTCCGGGGTGTTGGTGCTTCATGGATAACCAATCTCCAATTACCTAAGAACAGCCTCGTGACAGACCTCTCTATCCGACACTAGCAGTCCCTGTTCCTAGATGGCTGGTGCTATGGCGGCCAACTGCACCTGTCCAAATAAGGTGTTCACGCCGAGAGTGTGCGGGCGGAAATGAACGAGTACTCGTAGTAGCGACAAGCCCTGATCGACCAAGTTTTGGTGATGAGGAAGGAGGGGACCGTGTGGGATGTGCGCTTTGGTGGATTTTAGTACGAGAAGAGAGATCCGTGCGTGGGTTGATGATCGTTAAAAGTGTTGACGCTGGAAGCGGCCCTGTTTTCGCGTGGGAAAGAGGCTAAGCGGTTTACCGAGTAGATAAAAAGATGTCAGAGGATGGAGTAGTGTTGTCTTGGCCCGGCGAATTGGCTGAGCGTATATCTTAGCGCAGGTGTTAGGGCGTTGTTGACTCGTTGGATCGCAGGGAAGACCGACCAGCGACCGACCAGGTTGGTCTTGGTAATATTCAGTTGGGTGGCGACTTAAATGACACGTAGTGGTGAAGTGAAGTGGTCTATTGCCACTGCTAAGCAAGATCAAGATCCATGTCGTGTGCTGTGTTTGACGTGTTGCTGTTGAGGGTGATGGTGAGAGGATGAGGAGTTGTTGTGGGGTCCAATTTCCCCCGGGGCACCTGACCTCCCCCGCAAGTCTCCAGGTTTCTTTTCCACCCCCGGACAGTCCACATCCCCATGTCGCGCCTACGTCGCCCGGTATGCGATCCCGAACTGGATGGTAAGCCTCTTTTCTTTGCCTGCAGGCGCCTCTACTAACCAGTCCAGCCTGACATGTCGGACTCGGAAGCTTAAATGTATTTTCCCCCTCCCTGTTTTGCCTGCCCGCCTCTCGGCTAACTGAACTCGCAGGCGATGAACAAAAGCCCGAGTGTTCGCAATGTCGCAAAGGTGGGCGTGAGTGTCGCCCGAGTGAGGGAATCATCTTTCGCCATCAACAGAATGCGTCCATGAATACAAATGCCGCCGCCCAGGAAGGACGTGGGGATCTCAAAGGCTTCTTCTCGTACAAGGACTCCTTCGACAAGGATAGCGTCTGGCTGGATATTCCTAAACACGGTGAGTCAATCTGTCGGTCCTTTCTGCACTCATGAGCATTCCTAACACTCTGGCAGTCATCTTTGTTGACAACTCCGACCCATACGCGACCGACCTCGAAACCTCCCTTGCCGAATCGAGTGCCTTGGCGTTGGCACAATCACGAAATCAGAGATGGGGGAGCGGCTCACGAGCCAGCGATGCGGATTCACACGGGTTGGAGGCTCTCTCGGCAGTCGCTAGTCATGAGCGATTCCCTTATTCGCCTCACTCCGTGCCGGACAGCATGTCATATCCATCTCCGAACCGATCGCGAAGTAGCGCGATGCCCCCTCCGACGTCCCCACCCTTGTCGCTCTCGAGTAACAATAACACAAACACAACCATCAACTTCCTTCTAAACCCCGCCAACTCATTATCTCCTCCTGTTGATCCACTTGGACATATTGCCGGACAACGGAGCGCCTCCCTCCCGTCCCGGCCTGCCATGGCCGCGGCCCACAAAGCAGTCGAAATTCGTGTAGATGGGGATGCGGAGACGGATTTCGAGATAGCCTTCCTGATGCGACATTATTCAGAGGGCCCGGGATTATGGTACGTCGGACGCAAAAAGTGGTGAAAATTTCCAGGTCGAGAACTGACATTTGACAGGATGGACTTGTTCGATCTGGGGACGTACTTTGCTTCGTATGTACCAGTACGAGCAAGATCAAACCCTCTTCTCAAATACGCCGCCTGCGCATATGCGGCGAAACAGCTGGGCCGAGTAAAAGGCGCCAAAGCAAAGATGGGCGGAGTTTGCTCACGCCAAGCAATCATGGAGACGTGGCCAGACAAAGATAAAGATTTTATCTGGCATGGGGCCAAGTATTATGAAAAGGCTATACAACTTCTGATGAAGCAGCTGCAGCCTGATGCCGAGAGTTCACCATCTCTAGGTGGAACGGAAAGTCATGAAGATGTAGATAATCCGCGAAAACGCCGACGCATGTCCGATAGCCGGGGCTCGCATGGTGTTTACTCCGATGAAGTGCTTGCCGCGACGGCTATCCTGTCGGTATATGAATTCCTCGATGCAACTGACCCGGCATGGAATCGTCATTTGAGCGGCGTGAAGTCTTTGCTTGACATGGCTGAAGTTGGCATCATGCCTCCAGGTCATCGTCCGTCAAGTGGGGATAATCGCTTTGCGCAGATGAAGAAGTCGGGTCTCTCCAAAGCTCGTCGGGCAACCTTTTGGAACTTTGCGCGACAGGATTATCTGGCAGCTTGTAAGCATTCTAGCTAAATAACCCTTCAGTCTCCCTTACTGACATCCACAGTCATCAACGAGTGCCATACACGGCTTAACACAGATGACATCTTCCTTTGGACAGAAGCAGGCCTGCAAATCGACCACAGAGGTTTCCTCCTTCCTAGTAATAATGGCACAGCAGGATATCCCGAAGGCGACGATGTGATGAAAGAAGATATGATTTGCAATGGTCTTGTATGGATTTTGTCCAAGATCGTCAACCACATCAGTTCCGGGGATAACATAATGAATGATGCCCGGTCTGACAATGGGCCGCTCGGAGTCTCACAACAGTTTCTCATGGAACGGTGGATGCGACTCGAGTCGGAGCTCGATGCGTGGTATAGCGGACTCCCAGACACATTTCAACCTTGTGCGCGGATTGAGCCATCCAAGATTGAACATTATAAGCCGGCCGAAGAAGCGGCCGACCTTGAAACTTTGCAAGAGGTCTGGCATAGCTTGCCCATGTGTGCATCGATCATGCAACATTACCACATGGCACGCATCCTGCTCTTGATCAACAAGCCGCATGAATCAACGGGTCGTCGGAACACCATCGCCCTGCGACTGCAGTCATATCGGTCAATTGAGGCCGAAATTGGGTTCCATAGCCGAGAGATCCTGGGTATTGCCCTCTCCCGACCCGATGGGAGCGTAAGAATCAATTCGTTGCAGCCACTCTTCGTTAGTGGTCAATGTGTGACCGATGCGCGCGAGCGTCGTGTTGCGATTCGCATGTTACGCGCCATCGAGTCAGACCTTGGCTGGGCCACCGAGTATCGCGTCCAGCAACTCTTGAAAGAATGGGGATGGAATGAGAACTCTTTGAGAACCGGCGGATGAAATCGACGCCGAGTTCTAGGCCTAGGATTCAGTTCTTAGGTCTTGCGATCATCCCATTTTCGAAGCGAAATGCGCCTCTGATAAGGAGTGGAGCATGGGACAACGCGCTTCCACGATAGCAGAGGTCCGCGATGACGTCTGGGTGGATGTCGCCGTTGATCGACCCAATCCCGGTTTTGATCTCAGGCATGAGGTCCAACACTCAGCTGCAAGCAAAGGTCAAACAGCGACCAAGCTCAGCCCTACCAGCTTATCCCACTGCGCATCCCACCCAGCCTCGGGCCTCATCGACCGAGATACCCCTATGATGAATCGAGCCCGATCGATTTTCCACCTAAGGTTGGGGCCAGGATCTCCGAGGGGCTTATCGGCATGATGAATTCGACGAGTTCATGAAATCTACTTATCATTAGTTCTCACCAGTAGTCACAATAATTAATTTCGGAATCACAATATACCATTCAGAAGAAGCAGAATTCGAGCAGAGATCAAAGAGATCACAAAGAGATCAAATTTCCAACCCTCAAAACTTAAACCTGTAGACATGAAGATTACTTATGTCACCCAGCTTTACTCCGTACCCAAGACCATATTTGAGTTCTGCAACTCGGTCAAGTTGCCCTACAATCGGGTCGGCGGGGGTGTTGCATCGCGGGCTCGGCAAGCTTCCCAACCCGCAAGTCCCGCAAGTTTCCCGCAATTTTTATCCTTCAGCGGGCCGTCCTTGGCTTGTCGGGGTGCCGGGCCTCTCCAGGGGTAAAAAAACAAAGTTACGAGTACGGAGTAGCCAGGACTACTAAAAGGATTATGGATACCACCAGCCACCTTTAATATTTAAAGAATCACCAACCTCAACCCTTCTTATTTTCTATCTAACACACACCAGTCTCTCTCTACAAAATTTCTGCCATCCCCCCCCATCGCCAATGTCATCACGCCCCACCGATAGGCATTACCCTCCACTAAGGCAGAAGGTTAACCGACTCGGCAATCCTCCGCATTAACTTCTGCAGGCTCAGATTGGGAGGACATTACATAGACTGTCCTGCCGCATGTGTCTTGCCCTGACATCGTTAGGGGCTGGGATCCGCTTTGGTTCCGACTTCTCCCTTGTCTCTTCCAAAGATTTTCGTATTTTTGTGGCTGTAGGGCTAAGGCCCACTAAACGTTTACTGTAAAGAAACTACCCCACGAATCAGGGAATCCCATTCTTCGCCCCCGGATACCTAAACGGGAGAGGCCGGGGAATCAGTATATTCAGCCCTGCTGAACCGAGGATCTTCGTCGGGCTGGAAGCAGGTATAGCGATCTTCAGGCTTGCTAAATTCAAGATTTGGTTATGGGTGATATCTCCGGATTTGTGTGTGCTACCTAATTGTGTCGATTGTGGATTTTGCCTTGTTCTGCCTCTGGCGATGAATCTTGTCAGTTGAGTTAAAACTACCTGAAGTTTCTCGGCAGACTCATATTGACGAAAGAATGCAATCAAGGCCGCTCTTTATTAATCAAAGAGTATGTCAAGACAGGCTTATTTCTGTCCCATTTCTCTGTCGGGTCCCTCCGAGTCTGCCCCGCGGGTGAAGAGTTATGAAGCACTAGCAGCATCATCACAGAATTCTTCAACTTATCCTGGTAAAACTTCTATTTTAGTATTCAGGGCCAACTGCCTGCCCAGGTACTAAATAGAAGCTTCCTTGTCAAGACCTTGTGGTTAGACAGAGGCTCTTAGTATCCGAGGCCTATGGCTTCATATCCTACATAGTGAGATCACAGAGGCTTTGTGTGCGGTCGCCACATAAGCGGTGCCAGCATGCAGTTTATGTAAAGCGTGAAGAAGTGTAAAAATAGGGGTGACCAGCGGTGACTAAGTATCCTGGGGAGATTGATAGATCACATCGCACAGGCTAAGCCTGGGTAATGGATCGGGGCCTGGCCCGTTACAATAAGGAGCAATCAATTAAACACCCACTTCAGGTGGATGGCTCGCCACTAGATGATGTTGAACACGAAGCTCCCCCGGATTCATCCCAGCCCGACCTCAACGCTTTTGTCCTAGCACGGTGGTATATCCCTGCCGTCGAGGGCTAGGTTTGAGAGGAAGTAGAAGATCCGGAGAATGTTTGCACATCCCATAAAAAGTTTGACGCACAAATTGTGATTATCAGTGGGTATTGAGGGGACTGAAGGGCTGCGTGAGAATGCAGAACCGAAGAGGACTATTATTTCGGCTCTTTCCATTTACTTAACAGATAATGAAGGTCATATTCTTCTTTACTCAGGCTTTAGTCAGCTGCTTTGAGACCTCCGAGTCAGATACTTTGGGCTTGTAATGTACTGTACACAGCATGAACGCCGATCCCTTGTAGTGAATATGCTGAAAGAAAATAGGACATAATTTCCAATATAGGCTTGTAACAGAGCTGTTGCCATATGTGGGTCGGCGTTAATGGTGGAAACTCCATGGTTTTGTGAGATTATGCCACAGTTCCTGTCGCCACTCAATCGCCTCAATTTTAAGGATGACTTTTGACGCAGTCTTCTCCAGAAAGGTTTCCGGGGAGAGCTCAGATTGCAGCAGTCGGGAGAATCGGATCCTGATAGATGGGGGGTCGACGAAGCTCTCGAAAACTTGGCCTGGGACGAATACTTTCCAAAGGAAGTTCTGGACAGGCTGGAGGGTGGCAGACCCGACGTAAAGGTTTTCCGTGATGTTCTCATTGAGTATTTGGAGCGAGATTATGCAGGAAAAAATGAGACGAGTCCACCGTTCTCTCATGCAGACTATGTCAAGGCGACGGAAACAGAGCAGTATGAGGAAATAGTGGAGAAAAAAGTACTCGCAGACAGGCATATGAGGGAAAGTTTTGCGAGGCTATCCTGGAGGCCATTACTGATCCGGTTTTCGCAGAACAGAATTACGATCTCAGTGGCGAGTATATTGCTAAGCAAGCACGCCGTAGAGCCTTCGCCAAGATCTCACAGGACTTCTTTGACAGTGACGATTATGATGCAGGTGGACCACGCATTCAAGTTCGGACCCTGGATTTTGAAACTACCGAGGCGGAGCTTCGGTTGCATTCACAGGTACGTCAGCTTTCCCGCCTTTTGAACGAAGTCATGACAAGCCCCATTCTATCTGATAAAATGGGTCTGAAAGAGCGCCGGGCGTTTGCCGCCAGACTGTGGTCCCTCTCGTTTTGGAATACTTCGGCCTCAATGCCTTGAGGTCAAAATTGGTAAAAAGGGGACCAGCATGAGCTACTCAAACAGGAGTCAATGGAGAATTAGTGAATTTAAATATGGTCGGTTTGAAACGAGGCCATACTATTTTTGTATCGTAAAAAGGACACATATCAGCCTCAGTAGCCTCCAAGACCTAGTCATCTATGGGGAAGGTGGAGTTGGTATTCATGAAGGAAATTCCAATGTAATCCGGTGATGTGAAGTTTTCAAGCTCCAATGCATGAAGCTTCGATTCCATAAAGCTCCGAAGGTTGACATAGAAAGTTTTTCCTCTAAATCTCTAACTTTCGCATCCTCGATGTAAAGTTGATAAGATGAAATCTTAGCTAAACACTGTTATAATGATTTTAGTAATCCACTATTTCAGCTCTCAACTCATCCTATCCGGACTCCCAGAATTACTATTGTTAAGACGAAAATTCTTTCAATACTTGTGAGATCTCTTCAAATGATACGTTCAGGTAGGCTTGCTGATAGCCAGATGCTGAGATGCTGGAGTAAGTTGTGTCTTGTGGGCCTGGTAGAGAGCAGTTGATAAAATAAGGAATACGCTAAAGCCCTGAAAAGCTAGATTTGGCTCATTAAGGAGACTGTCAAGACTGGCCAGTCACTTTTCCATGTTATGTGAATCACTAAATTACATACTTTCGAATCTGTTAGCAACGTTTTGACCCCTCGAATGACTTTTACGAAACTCACAGGGATGAACAGGAGGGCACTTCTCTCTCATGACGTTTCCAGGCCGCCCCGTCCTCATATTCCAGGGCGATCCAACCCTTGCGCCGTATGTCTCCGAGGTACGCTTTAAAAGTTTTGCGAAGTCTAGAACAGCGGACCTTTCAAACGGCGTGTAGCTTTGTTGTGATAACGTGACCGACTGGTTTATCAAGTTAACCCTTCGTTGCTAACTAACTGGGTGGCATTTGCGCCCTGGGTTGGAAAAAATGCGGCTATTATGGACGATATGTTCATATTTTCGGGATTGGATATGGTCTTGGTTGCCTTCGCTACCACACCTAATCAGTCGTCCTCCTGCTGCTGATGTTGAAACAGGACTCCTTGCCCATGTCCCGTCTACCAATGCCTTGCCTGACATCTCGACAATAGGGAGATCGACAACTCGACCCGATGGATAGGAGCCGGGATATTAAGAAGACAAATGTGGATTTTTCTAGCTCCAGGAACGCCGAAGGCGAGCTCATCTCAGGAGGCATCACTGGGATTGTCGAGCTCCTTGACGATGGGACTGCGCTTAAAGCACCATTTCCAGGGTGTGAGATCGAAAATCATATCCTAGATATTGCCAAAGAAGCCGACATATACCGTCGTGTCAGACCACATAAGAGACTTGTTCGCATGTTAGATCATTGCAGGGAAGGACTCAAGCTTGAATATATGAAAAACGGGGATCTCAAGACATATCTCCAGTCTCAGAAGTCAATATCAACGGATATCAAATTAAAGTGGGCATATCAGAGGGTCATCCATTGCGATATAAAACCACGAAACCTTCTGTTAGATACGACTTTCGACATCAAGATTATTGATTTGTCTGGCTCTTCAGTAGATGGTTCAAAGCCGGCTTCTGGTGAGGGAAACCGGTTTTTCCTTCCTCGGCATTGGAAAGACCAGCCGACAGTCGCGACAGATCTCTTCGCACTAGGGTCTACTCTTTACGAAATTTTCCGAGGCGGGAGCCCGTATGAGGAGGTGCCTAGTGATAAAGTCGAAAGACTTTTTACACAGAAAGAATTTCCTGGTGTATCTTATATACCATGTGGACAGATCATCCAACGATGTTGGCTATCTCAATTTGGCTCGGCAACGGATGTGAAAACCGCCATCTTGGATATAATTTCCCGCAAGACCAACGCCGGCTGTAACTAGGACAAATTCCAAGTTATCTCAACTACCATGGGTGCGGAAGCAGAAAATAAAGGATGAACAGGGCGTGGTGAGGGTGTGATGAGAAATCCGTGAAGCTAAATGTGATACTTGAAATAAAATCTGAAGTAGCTTATCGAGCATCATGCTTGGGAAATGAGGCATAGTATGTCATGGAAGTGTACGGGAAGATCACAAGGCGATAACTGATCAATTCAGGTCCTCGTTACATATCTCGCATTTGTCAGTATCGCAGATTGGCCGGATGCACAGACGCTGCCAGTAATCGCATTTTCATGCAAAGATCTTAGGCTAGGAAAAGGCTATTATAAAGCATGGAGTTATGGTGCTCTCCAATAGACCACCATATATCAAGTTGGCCGGATAGTCTAGTTGGTTATGACGCATCGTTAACACCGATGAGGTCCTCGGATCGAGCCCGGGTCTGGTCACATTCTTTTTATTGTTTTTGTCTTTTGTCCCACCTCCGGTGGGCCCGTTCGACGAACGAGAAAAAAATAGCTCACTGCCGCCAAATTTTTACTATACCGAAGATCACGCCCTGCTTTTTGATTGATGTTTTGACCATAATGCCGGTGCCGCGTGTGGAGAACCCTCCAGGGCTGTTTCACGACATCCAGACAGCTCAATGCCTAGACGAGAGGCAAATAATAGAGAAGCAACCTTGGATTGTACTAGAAGGCAACTTGTCATTGGAGATAACCTTGGAATGATCTCAGGAGTGGCCAGGCCTAGCCTTGAATGATAGGGGCCTCAAGAGAACATATGTCTCCGATCCGTTACTTGATACATCCGTCTCGCTTTCATCAGATGCCCCCCATCTGGGCTGGGTCGATCCATCGGTACATCTTACCCAGGTAGGGCATTACACATCCACTGGAATGGAGCACACTAGCCAGGAGGCGGAATTCAACTCCATCCTGCGTCAGTGATGGCGATATTCAGGTTCCGAATCGTCTTGAAGTTATACCACTGTTAGGACCTGGGGCCTGTATATATACCTAGGCATCTATTACCTACCTAGTAGGTAACCTTGAAGTATGCCCAATAAGACAAGACTCAAGGGCAACAATCTTGGAAGCACGGCACTAATTTTCTGGCTTTGGTTCTAAGCACCGGAATCGTGTATCTTCGACACCTGGGCATATTCAAAATGCGTTCGAGCCATGCAGTGAGCAACTTGAAGCACACAATCGTTCGCATTTTCGCCAAGGTTCAAGTTTCAAACGATCATACTCGGGACAGATAACATGGTATTCTTCTGTTTAAATATTGCATCTGGTTTGTATCGGTACGGTACAATATCTGGGAACTTGAAGGCTAGGGTTGATTCCAACTTGAAGTTGGAGTACCCTCTCATTCTCCGAGGATGGAAGATTGTTGAACACCAATCCGAAAATACTCTATCTTTCTAAAAGGCAGCTGAAGGTTCCGCAAACACGAAGGGAGCCTGAAGACAGCCTTGGAAGGTGCACGCAAGCGATATACGTCTTTGTTGTCGTAGGCAAAAGTTAAATTTGCTTCCGCTCATCGATTAGTCTGAAGTCTGAGGTATTTCTGATTCTGCGATTATCATAGGATATCACACGGGTCGCATAGTATATCTCAAGCTTGATCTAAAGCACCGGAACATTTCAGAGTAATGCACCGGTTGCTGCGATCAAGTTTAAAGCCGGTATTTACTATAACAGCGATAGAACACATGCTTAGGCGCTTTTATACCCTCTCAGCTAGATCGCATGAAGTCAACCGTGCCAAATCTCCGCGGAAGATTACTTGACAGCGGAGATAGTGGGACGATGCTAACCCCAAGTCTCCGCCCAATATGGGTCTATGGAGCGAAGCCAAGAAATTCCCCGAGGCAAGAATCCCAAAGGACAGACTTCTGCATAAGCTGTTATAGAAGTCTTACTGTGTTAGATTAAGGAACGGCGTGGCTCTCCAATGAGAAATAGTCATCTCGGATTGACGTGGCTTGGCCAGGGTTATAAGAAGCTTTCTTGCCAATTTCGTGGCATCCATGGCACTGCAGCCAAGAAAATCAAGACTTCGGATTTTGCCGTAGGTTTGAATTTGAAGTATGCTTTTTGAATACAGGTTAAGAGCGATATACCTGTGGCTGCGGCTATACTCTCCAATCAAGAGTAGAGAATGTCTATCCTCATTTAGTTTTTGGTTCGAAGACGCGCAGATACGGGGGAGTCGGGTTCCACCATGCTGGCTATTTTACCCGGCCACCTTAAACCCTCCCCGCATCTCTCCCATGTTCGGGATCAATCTGGAGCCCGACAATTGAAATAGGAGAGGACGGGCTGGGAGTAAGTTCTTTTTCGTCGGCCAACATCCGAAAAGTATGATCAAGCCACCAATCCAGATAGAAGAGATGGCAAAGCAAAGCGACCAACCCCCGCGCCAAGCTTCGCCTCCGGCCCGCCGAGTCTCGGAAGAAAGGTTATTTGTCCGGCGTTGCACTCCTGATAGAGGCTCGTGGCCGACACGTTTGTTCGTACATGTTGCACCGTCCTTAACTAATGGTCATTGGTAATTGGTTGTTGGTTATGATTCGACCGAGAATCTCCGGCATTTGTGTGGTGTGTCGTTGTGCCGACTGAGCGAAGAAAATAGGCTAATTCGGCAAGAATCCCTGCCCGCGCCATAGGATAGGCCGAGGTAATCCATAGGCCGACCTACTGTATGTACTAGTTAGGGCCGATGGGCAGATCGGACGGCACGAGGACATGGGCTCTGTTGGACAGAGAGTTGAAGTGGGTCGCGGGGAGGGCTTGGGGATTCTTTTTTCTCTCCACATCCCCGGGCTGGGCAGATCGGCGGAGTAAGTCTGGCCCGATAGACAAACGAGTACGGAGTAGATAGAGAGACAAGTTACGGAATAATGGGAGTAATAGGCGAAGCTACTATGCGAGACGAGGACTTTCCGGAATCGGCGAATTTCTGAATCGCGGATTCTCCGGAAATTCCCCCCGGGTGCGACGTTGGAACCAGGGGAGATTTCCCCAGAGTCAAGTCAAAATGCGGAGAGAGGAGGAGGATGTCTTGGCTGGAAGAGCACAGGAACCACAGAAACGACGGGTGGCCCGGCGATGGGAACCAATCTGAAGGGACTCGTGAGTGGAAGGGGGCTCAGAAAAGCGTCATCGAGATAAACCTTGATGGGACAAGGTGCGCCCCCATTCAGCCACCAGAGTCCAAATGTAGCACAGACTCATGGACACCAAACAGGGAGAGATATGGCCACAATATTCGTCTGGTTGAACCCTCGAAGCCCACAACTGACAACTTTCCATCTCGTCGTGCTCCACCATTTACCTCCAACCGTCAAGATCGGCAGTCCTAACCCTGGTCGCCCGCCCTTCATTCGTGTTTGGCCCCAAAGGATGCTGACTCGCAGTACGCCAGACGAATGAGATGAAGCGGGGTTGATTCAGCGTGACAGTCCTTAAGTTCGAAGTTATTTGGGTGAGTGCTGATATCGTAGTTACTAGAGGTGAAAAGGGAAAGCCGACCTTTTCGGTATTTAATTCGGGCCTCCCCTTCCTTCCCCCCCCCTTTCAAGTTCAAGTTTCTTCTTCCCAACCCGTCTTTGTCTTGTCCTCCAAGGGTTGGCCTCCCCAGATTAGGTACTTTTACATCTGGATATCGGCGCCATGGCAGACACACACGACCATTCGTCCGTTCCGGTGGAGGTGGACCCGTACTCGCCGGACATTGAGGAGAATATGAGTATCGGCCGCTACATCGCGACGCGCATTCCATCTCTCAAACCCCCGAATGAGACCGGCCCCGAACCCATTTAAGGCTTTGACTCTACTGAACCGCCAACAATGGCTTTTCTTCGCAGTATGTACTTCCTAAGAAATACCCTCTACATGCAGACAAATAGCTACCATACATCCACTCCCACTATTCCTCTTCCTCCTCCCACGTCGCAAAAAAAACCCCCCCCAAAAAAGCAAAACTAAACTAACAATTTCATTCTAGGTTGCTTTCGCTGGATGGACATGGGACGCCTTCGACTTCTTCACCGTCTCCCTCACAACCTCTCAGCTAGCTAAAGCCTTCGACAAATCTGTCACAGACATCACCTGGGGAATCACTCTAGTTCTAATGCTCCGATCCGTCGGCGCTATCACCTTTGGAATCGCCTCTGATCGCTGGGGCCGTAAATGGCCATTCGTCGTCAACCAGCTACTCTTCGTCGTTCTCGAGCTCGGTGCCGGTTTCTGCCAAACATACAAGCAATTCCTGGCCTGCCGAGCTCTGTTCGGAATTGCTATGGGTGGTCTATACGGAAACGCAGCTGCCACCGCCCTCGAGGATTGTCCCTCCGAGGCTCGTGGTATTGTCTCCGGTCTCCTGCAGCAAGGTTACGCCTTCGGATACCTACTCGCGACAGCATTTGCTCGGGGCTTAGTTGATACTACGCCTCACGGTTGGCGTCCGTTGTATTGGTTTGCAGCCTGCCCGCCTGTTTTGATTATTGCTTTCCGTCTTTGCTTGCCTGAGACGGAGACTTTCAAGAGGAGACAGGAGACACGAAAGGAGGTGCGTGGCGGTGTTGCGGCATCGTTTATGTCCGAGGGAAAAGTAGCTTTGAAGCGTCACTGGCTTTTGCTGATTTACCTCGTCTTGCTGATGGCTGGATTCAATTTCATGGTATGTCTTTTCCTTAACATAGTCAGTGCTTTGAATGCCTCGAATATTTTACTAATACATCTATACAGTCTCACGGTTCCCAAGATCTTTACCCTACCATGCTGCAGAACCAATTCCAATTCTCCAAGAATGCCGTGACGGTAACGCAGGTCGTCGCCAACCTGGGAGCGCTGACTGGCGGCACTCTATGCGGTTGGGCTAGTCAGATCTTTGGTCGTCGCTTCTCTATTATCGTCATTAGCATTGTTGGCGGTGCTCTGCTATACCCATACACTTTTGTCACGAGCCATAACGTCATCGCAGCGGCGTTCTTCGAACAATTCATGGTGCAGGGTGCCTGGGGTGTGATCCCTATCCACCTGATGGAGTTATCCCCCGGTTCAATCCGCACCTTTGCCGTCGGCACAGCCTACCAGCTCGGTAACCTTGTTTCGTCAGCCAGTTCGACGATCGAGTCGACGATTGGCGAGCGGTTCCCACTGCCACCAACCGCGGAGGCTGCCAAGCGCTACGAGTACGGCAAGGTCATTTGTATCTTTATGGGTTGTGTCTTTGCGTATGTTATTCTGATCACGCTGGCTGGACCTGAGCGTCTGGGTCGTAACTTTGATGCGGAGCATGATGCCGATTTGGCGGAGGTTGCTGCTCATCGTGGTATGGATCGTGATGAGAGTGATCCTGAGAAGGCGACTGCGCGACACATTTAGCTTCTGAGTTTATTTATGCCTACCATCTATGAACGTGAATCTAAGAGAGATGAGATACCCCCGTGTGATGATGAGATAATTTATCAGATGTGGCCACTATTGGCTAGGCGATATGGATTGCGCAGATAGTGCATAGCTGATTAAATAGCTAATTGGATAATACCTGGCTAAGCTGAAACCAAAACGAAGAGCAATTGAGTAGTAGTAACTCATTCATCATGTGACAACCAGTCGTATAGTTAGAGGCGGGGTATAATTTTGAGTCCCCTAGCGAAGCCACTATCTTTATTTCCCAGTTTCAGGGCTTATGCCGAGGAAAGCCCGACTCGATAGTCGAATGCTCCTAGGAAATGTCCACATTAGCCAACGTCTCAACTCCGAGTCGAGAACCACGATAAACAAAAGATAGCAACGACAATCTGAGTCTGCTTAAATGAAAGCTCATTCCGGCCAGAAACCACCGGTCCAAGGGTTGAAGGGTTTCTTCATGTCGATCTGGGGCAATTTATAAGAAGTAGAGATGGGGAAAAGGGACCTCTTACCAGGACTGTTACTAACATCTAGTAAGCTGTGAGGTTGTCAAACGTAAGCTGCATGATTTACAGCGAGAAATGGAAGATTGTCGGCCTTTTATAGGCGATGGCTGACCCCGCAGTTCGCTAACATCAGATTCGAGTTGCAGGGGTTGTATGACCGTGCAGGCGAATCTTGTCTGTCATTGGTCTGCAATAGTAGTTTGAAGCTGGGAAGTTCCAGGTTTACCTACAGTTGCCGATGCAAAGGAAACTCCAGAGCTACAGAGGTATGAGTACTAGTATAGAGGATAGAATAGAGTAGTATAAAGTATACACTAGTGTCCAGGTGGTAACTAGATCTAAGATAACTAATTACCGAGATACTACTGGTATTAGGTACGAGGTGCTACAAGTGCCAGTGTGGGGTCATCTGCTTAATAAATATGCCTTGCTTCTACTGTGTGACTTGCTCTACGCGTCCTGCAGGTCCTTGAGGACTGGCAGTGGTTGCCAGTGGTTGCCTGGGGGGGGCCGCGTGTACAAGTTAACTACTAGTAGTTCATGTCGACATACACTGTTTTAGCTGCACAGCACAGAGATCAATTAGACTAGTAGCTAGTAATAATATTAGCTATAGCATAGATGTACAATTAATTGAATTCACTTAAGGTAGTTATAACTATAGAGTAGCACTGGCATAATGATAATACCACCCCACTGCCAAGCCCTTCCAAATGCGTCCAGATTCGCAAGATCTGCCAGGGAGATGATAGACCGGTTCTACTCCACTCTTCACCTTTAGGGTCAGGGTATTTTGCAGGGACTTTCAGGGACTTTTCAGGGACTGCCACTTGCTCTTAGACTGGGAACTCTCAGACACCACTATATCCCCAGTATATCCCCAATAACCCGCACTTTTCTGGTGGCAACTGGCAAACTTATAACCCGCTGCACTTTTTTGCCGCCAAGTCCACCACCAACGCCAACAGTCCCCGGGGCCGCTCCCGTCTCTCTCTCCCCCCCCTCAACCTCAACCTCAACCTCTCCCTCTCCTCCTCCTCCTTCTCCCTTCACATTCCACTCCCCCCTTCCCTCCCCTCCCCCCCCCTCCCCCTTCCCCTCCCTCCCCCAGCACAATCACGGGTCCTGTGTGGCCAGCCCTGCGCCAAGATTCTGTGCTGAATGAGTCCCGACTCCGCCTCCTCAAATGCACAGACGTTCGTCTGGCTCTCCTGTCGCGGACGACACTGACGATTCCCCGACTCGATCTCCAGACGACCATGGCCATCCGGTCGAGAATCAAGATAATTCCCGGTCGCAAATAGCCAGACACGGCACCAGCTTTGACTTGCGCCGCGATAACGGTAGCTCGACGCCGCGTTCCCGGAACTCCAGTCTGTGGCGCACTCCCTCCTCGCAACCTTCCAACGACACCAAAGCCATGCCATTGGACTCCCCGCGCTTGCCCATGGAGGCTGCCTCCCCTGATGGCCGTCGCACCCGTCAATCCCGCCAGAGGAGTCCCTGGTCGATATCCATCCTCACCGCGGTCATCACTTTCGCCGCTGTTGCCTTTCTCATCGCGATCTTTCAGTCGTTTACCGAACGCCAGGCTGGTCACAGTGGCTGTGGTGTCCCCATGATGAGCCCGACCTTTATCCGGATGCTGGAATTCGACACTGAACATACGCGCTTCGCGAGCAAATACAACCTGTTTCTTTATCGGGAGGAGGGCGTCGATCCATACACGCAGGATAATATCGGGGTAGGAGGATCTTTCAATCTTGATTTGTCCCAAGTAACACCCGCTGACCATCCGATCGCATTTAGTTAAACGGTGTCCCCGTCCTTTTCCTTCCCGGCAATGCAGGTAGCTACCGACAGGTCCGATCCTTGGCCGCCGAGGCTTCGCGACACTACTATGATGTGGTTCGACACGATGAGGACCGACACGCGAACGGCGTTCGTAGCCTGGACTTTTTCATGGTGGACTTCAATGAGGATATGGCCGCCTTCCACGGACAGACTTTGTTGGACCAGGCCGAATACGTGAACGAGGCGATCTCCTACATCCTGTCATTATACCACGATCCCCGACGAACAAGACGAGACCCTGCACTGCCAGATCCCAGCGCCGTGGTATTGATCGGACACTCTATGGGCGGAATTGTGGCTCGCACCACTTTGACCATGGCCAATTACCAAGCCAACTCGGTCAATTCGATCATCACCATGTCCGCGCCGCACGCAAAACCCCCCGGTTTCCTTTGACTCCGATATCGTCCACACCTATAAGCAAATCAACGACTACTGGCGTGAGGCCTATTCACAAACATGGGCCAACAACAATCCGCTATGGCATGTTACTCTGATTTCGATCGCTGGTGGCGCGCGCGATACTGTTGTGCCCTCGGACTATACCAGTATATCATCTCTCGTACCCGAAACGCACGGATTCACCGTGTTCACCTCTTCCATTCCCGACGTTTGGATTGGCATGGACCATCTGTCGATCACATGGTGCGACCAGTTCCGGAAATCGATCATCAAATCACTCTTTGAGATCATCGACGCGCGGCGCCCAACTCAAACGAAGCCTCGAGCGGAGCGTATGCGGGCTCTCAAGCGGTGGTACCTAACTGGCTTGGAATCTGTGGCCGAGAGGACCCTTGCACAGAAGGAACCAAACACCCTCCTCACTCTCGAGGACAATGCCAATACCATTCTCGCCCAGGGCCAGCGGTTGATCCTACGCGAGCTTGGCGAGCGACATGGCCCGGATGTACGCCTTCTGCCGATCCCTCCGCAGGGCGTCTCCGGCAAGAAGTTCACCCTTCTTACGGATCAGACTCTCAGCAGCCAGGGTAATGTCGAAGTCCTGTTCTGCAGCGTCTTCCCTTTGAACAATGGTCGCTCAGCTGTCTTTTCGATGAACCTGGATTTCTCCGGTGGCACTGTGGGCTCAACTCGCTTGGCTTGCAAGAGTGCGGCAGAGGATGTTATCCACCTACCTGCCTCCACTCGCGAATCGAAGAAACCATTCGACCCTGTTCCGCCGTTTTCCTACCTCCAATATGATTTGGAGGGCCTTGCTGAGCATCAGTTTGTCGCTGTTGTTGACAAGGCCAATGTGCCTACTCATGGGTTTGTGGTCGCCGAGTTCTCGGACAGCTCGGACTCCATGCTTCGAGCAAAGGTTGGGCTAGGAAGCTTGTTGAGCGCAGGTCTCAAAATGCGGCTTCCAGCCAACCGACCCATGCTCACAGAAGTGAACATCCCGGCTTTGCATTCCAGTCTTCTGGACTACCGGCTGAAGGTCACACGCCATATTGGAAAGGATCAGAAAGAAGAACTCTTCGCTCCTCTGCTGCGTCAGTCAATCTCCGATCCTCACGAGTCGAAGTTTTTCGTCAACGTGAATGAAGTCAATGTCAATCTACACGGCGTGGCTCCGTTCATGCCATCTCCTATTCGCGAGCACGCTGCCTCGGGCGGTGTGTCATTCCAGCTATGGACTGATCCTAGCTCCGGCTCGACGGTGGATGTTTCTCTTCAGGTGGATATAACCGGCAGTCTTGGTGAGCTGGTGATGCGATATCGGACCATATTTGCCGCTTTTCCTCTGCTTGTTGTAGCTCTCGTGCTCCGCAAGCAATTCCAAATTTATGACGAGACAGGCTACTTTATCCCCTTCACAGACGGACTCGGCCGAGCACTCCGCTCTTCCCTTCCCCTCCTGTTGGTAGCCATGTCGCTTTTGGCATCTTCTCTTGCGACCTCCAAGGCTCTCCCTCAGTCCGATGATCCGTTCCATTGGCGGACGAACTCGACTGAGACCCCTCTCGATTTCACCAAAAACGATCTTCTCCTTGGATCCCAGGATGCATTCTTCTGGTTCCTTGTCCCGGTCTTCGGTGTTATAAGTGTTGGTGTTTGTGTTTTGGTCAATTACGTTACTCTTCTTCTCGTCAACATTTTCTCCTTGATTTACGGGGCAGTGCACAGCAAGTCGGGCTATATACGGCGCGAGGACCGAGGAAATCTTCCCATTTTCAACTGTCCCACCCCCGAACGACGAGTGATTCACACCGCAGTCCTTCTCCTTCTCGTCTCGACTATCATTCCCTATCAATTCGCTTATATGGTCGCCTGCATAGTGCAGCTGGCAACCACTGTGCGGGCCCAGTGGCACGCCAAGGAAACCAGGACCACCTCTCACATTAACTTCGACAACTACGCCCACTCAATTCTGATCCTCATGCTCTGGATCCTTCCGATAAATGTCCTGGTTCTCCTAGTATGGGCGCATAACCTCGTGGTTCACTGGTTTATGCCATTCTCCTCCCACCATAATGTGCTCTCTATCATGCCATTCCTCCTCCTCGTCGAGACTATGACTAGCGGTGCGATGATCCCACGCATCACAACTCGGTATGCAAAATCTCCCACTCAGCCAATTATCCACCAGTACTAGTGCTAACTCAAGCAGCTTCAAACACGTCACCTCGACGATCTTCTTCGCCATCGCAATGTACTCCGCTGTCTACGGCGTGACTTACGCCTATCTCCTCCACCACCTAGCAAATCTGCTTGCAGCGTGGTTTGTCGGTATTTATTTAGTCGGCAACAATTTCTCTCCGCGCCGATTATGGCGCATAATTGACGGTGATGAACCCCCCTCTGAACCGGGCAGTTCACGCCATGTGAAGAAGAAGCCATGATAGCCATTCTGGCCACATTGAACCCTTTATTCGGATATCGAAGAATCGAATAAACCCTTCCATTGTTTCTTTCCTTTTTCTTTTTTCTTTCCTGCTCTGTCGCGCATGGGAATGGAGTTTGAGCGTTTTTTTCTTGTTTTGGCCCATTGTACAGTGGAAATGAAGGTCCATCACGGCTAGCATGGCGGGCTCTGGCACCACACCTCATCACACCACCCACACCATCTAATATCTCCCTCCGACCCACCTGCGCGAAGAAAGGAAATGATTTTCCGACTCCGCGACTCTGATATTTTGTGGCTCGGTCTCGTTCCGCTCGATTTAGAGGTACTGCCTGTATATACCTCCCTGTTTTTGACGGTTGTGTTATTTTACGGATGCTGTCCTGGTTCCAAATAGACATTTCTTATGGGTGGTGGCGCTATAGAACCGTTTACAATGAGTATTTATTTTTTCCTTTATCCATCAGGTTACTGTAAATCTGTATCAATTGAAGAGCGGCAGATTCACTTGTTAATCTATGAGGGCGGTATTTTCCATTTCTCGTCTACAATCGCTTTGTCCACCTGGGTACAAACAAACACCACCAGGGCTACTACCATGGATGGCCAACATTGTGACGGCCAGGGAGTAGTAGTTACCTACTACTACTAGTATTTATACCTGACCACACCACCTTCAGTCCCCTGTGTTATACTTACTCCTTGCCCAGTTGGAACAACTCCGCAAGAATGGATTTTGAATTCACCCAAAGACAAGGTCGCACAACAACGCCTACAATTTCCTCGAGCCTCACATTCCAACTACTAGCTCTCGGCCTTGTACTGACTCAATTTTCTTTCTTCTTACACTTTATCATCATCATCCCTCTCATCTCGGTTTATCTTTTCCTACCCCTGATCCTCATGTACTTCATGTTCTTCGCACCCAACAGCCTTGACGATCCAAGTTCCTCCATCAACCGCCGCGCCATTGACGGATACGAATTAATACCGTACTGCGAAGAATATGCTTTGGAGGACGCTTTTCAGGTGCACTCAAACCCAACCTTAGAAACTTGGAGTATGAAGGCACCAGACGCTGAGGCACCAGAATTCCTCCTCTGTTCGACTTGAACCACCCTTCCTACTATACATTCGGCAAGTTGTGTTGTTGCGTTGGGATGCTGGAAATAAATTTGACTAAGACTGTGCTTATCGTCTGTGTTTTGAAATCAAGCTCACCGACCTTAGGGTAGGTAGTTCCATCAATAGGTTAGACGAGATAATAATCCGGTCCAATCTGCTAGGTATTCAGTACGAACCCTGGTGCTCATATAGAACTGCCAGTGCGTAGAAGATATTTGCAATCACGGAGTACCCTGTAGAGTACTAGTAGTACTGGAAATATCCACCCAGTCCAGCCAACACACCTGTCATGTCGTACTGGTACCTGTTCGCTAAGCCACGCATGTTAGGTACATACATATGTACTGCGTACATTCATGCACACCACCAGTCCTCAGCCCCCGGGCCTTAGCTCAGGCGCCCGCTCGCAGATCCCGAACTTGCATCAGCAAGGTTCCCCCTTTTTCAGCAGCGGAGATAATAGGTTCACGGACGGACCGAATGTATCAGGACAAGGGCCTGAGCGAGACGAGGCGAGGCAAATCGAAACTCGAAGGGCCCCGAGCATTGACAATTTTTTTTTTTTTTTGAAAAGGGGCTGGCTAGGGCTGGCGGTGATGGACAGGGACATGGACAGGGAAAGGATGGTCAGCGTTACACGGACGAACGACGAGTTCTTTCAGCCTCGAGCAGGGGGAGTGTAAAGTGGCGGAACCCTAGTACATATTACTCCGTACTCTACTAATACAGATAAGGTACTCTGTACTCCGTACTCTGTACACATTTGAACGAGATATGTATACTCGCATGTACGGAGTATTTGTATTCATTTTCTACGTGGATCCATCTACCCCGGATTCCACGCATGAAAGGGGGGAGGACTCCGATCTGGGTGGGCCCGGACTCTCGACTAGTCACGCAAGGGAGAGATTTTTTCCCAAGGGGAAACCTACCATGCCAGATTTAGAAGGGCAGAAGAAAGAAAGGGGGGCGCGATAAGGCCGCCCCATTGAAGAAACTACTGGGGCGATTTCTGGGGCGCATTTGATGCGAGCGTGGATCCACTTGACCCCGGACTTCAAGTTTATATCTATCAGTCACATAACATGGCAGTATACTGTGACGGAGTATGGATGGAGACCTGAGTAAGGAGCGACACAGATCTGCCAGTATCTGGAAATGACTACGAGACGACGTAACATGAACTCTACGAATCGAATCAAAACGAGGGTGATTAAAGGAGGGGGCAAACGGGCAAACGGCAACGCCACAATGTACTTTGGACGTGGAAGGACAAACAACTGGACAAATCAGATTCCGATGTAAGCGCAAAGAAAATTTCTTTTTTTTTCCTTGCGAGAAAGAAAGGGAAAATTTTTCTCCCTATCTGACCCGGATCCGGCTTTGGCCGCCTTTCCAGAAAAGAAACTAAAAAAAACCTGAAGCAGCACAGCCCATGTGAACCAAAGCGGTTCCAAATGACGGGGAAATGCCGGGACGCCAGTTGAAAAATCGAGAGGTCAGAGTCAAAGTTTGTTGCAAGGGTTGTTTTGGGTTGGCACAAGGGATTGTCGACCCACCCGCGCCAGCCGGAGTGCCGATAATGCAAATTTAATATTTTGCCACTTGTGGATGGGATGGGTATACTAGGCACTTTTGGGAGGATGAAAAGGGGAAAGGAGGAGACCTCCAACGCTAGAAGGACTAGATTTTCAGAATTGCTGGCTGTGTCAAAGAGAACTTGGAGTTTTAGGGTGATCAGATGTAAGAGACAAAATAATTAATTAAATATAGTCTATTAAAAAAAAAAAAAGAAAAAAAACCTTGTAGAATGCTGACCGATAACGATAAGGAGATCAAGCGGTGAGCAAAAAGCGGTGGAACATATGGAACACATGGGATGAACAGTACATTTAGTTAGTACTTTGTACTTTGTAGATACAGTGTAGACTGAGACTAAACTGAGATTGTAGTGTGAGACGGGTACAAACGGGAAGATTGTATCAGGATGACCTTAGGGTACATGTGAATATGATTCAGTGCAGGCAGTATCTACATGCTGGAAGTATACCCTAGCCCTAGAGGGGTATATCCTACTACTAGTGGGACTATTATTATAGAACATGGCAAGTGAAAATAGATGACCATTTGCTATATAATCAATATACTAGTCTACTGATCTCTTTGTTCAATACTGCTGGACATATTTACAGTAGGCTGAGGCTGGACTAAAAATATTCGTATTCGCGGCGCCACCGGATCATGAGTGGCGAGTCTGCAGGCAGGGCAGTACATAGTACATAGTACATACTCTGGAGAAGTATACTTCTAATAGCACTAGTACTAATTGAGCATACACACATGGTATGGGGAGTACACAATGTATACATCTATACTCCTAGTATACCTAGATAGTTCTAGTTCTAGTATATGTGTATACTAGTACTAGTCTACTCCTAGATAAGATATACACCTCAGGCACTGAGGCACCAAGGCACAAACGTGGCACTGAGATTACCAACAACCTCACATTCACCAATGAAATCAGTGGGATTCGGGAGACTCCCATCTTCAACCAATCACAATTCATCCAAAACCTACTAAACCCATTGCGGACTCTCCCCCGCCGCCGAAAAAAAAAAATTTCAGTAGCAGCCCTGGTTGGGCGGCGAGGGGCCACCAGCACCACACAAGGCGATAAATATCTTCCCCCCCCTTCCTATCCTAATCGCCCCTCTCCTCCTCCCCTATCCTCCCTCTTTCATCTTTCATCGAGGTCCTACCCCTCTCCTTTTTTCTGTTTTTTCTTTTCTGCATAGACAGATTAGACTCGTTCTGCAAAAAGAGCGATTGCTGCGTCTTTGAACAGCCGACGCAGCCCCGGGCCACACAGCTCAACAGTGATACCCATAGAAAAAACTCTTTCTTTACTCTAATTCACCCCCCTCAAAACCGCCAAAATTTCCTCCAAAATGCCTGCCGCCGTCGCCTCCTCTCCTGCTACTACTAGCAAGGAGACCGCTCAGTCGGTTGCTGTCCTCGAGGACCTCTTCAAGACCCTCAACGTCTCCACCACCCCCGATGAGGCCAACGCCGCCGCTGGCAACCTCGCCACTCTCTTCAGCGGTCCCATCCCCGAGCAGGTCCTCCCTGTCAAGGCCGTCGAGAACTTCAAGAAGGGTCTCGGCAACAAGAAGGATGCTCTCGCTCGTGAGCGTGCCCTCCAGGGTATCCGTGCCATCGCTTCCCACCAGTCTATTGCTCCTGGTGTTGAGCCCCACCTTGCTGCTCTGATCGGCCCCGTTCTGGCTGCCGTTGGTGACAAGCAGATCCCCGTCAAGGAGATGGCTGAGTCCACCGCCGCTGCCCTGGTTCAGGCTATCAACCCCAACGCCGTCAAGGCCATCGTCAAGCCCATCCTCGAGTCTCTGCAGAACGCCCAGAAGTGGCCCGAAAAGATGGCTGCCCTGAAGTGCATTGAGATCCTCATCGAGACTGCCCCTGCTCAGCTCTCCTTCCAGGTTCCCGCCATCATCCCCGTTATCTCTGAGGCCATGTGGGACACCAAGGCCGACATCAAGAAGGCCGCCTACTCCACCATGGAGAAGGTTTGCGGTCTGATTGCCAACAAGGATATCGAGCGTTTCATTCCCGAGCTCATCAAGTGTATTGCCAAGCCCGAGAACGTCGCTGAGACCGTTCACTTGCTCGGTGCCACCACTTTCGTTTCCGACGTCACTGGCCCTACCCTCGCCATCATGGTTCCCCTGCTGGACCGTGGTCTCGTTGAGCGTGAGACCGCTATCAAGCGTAAGGCCGCTGTCATTGTCGACAACATGTGTAAGCTGGTCGAGGACCCCCAGATTGTCGCTCCTTTCTTGCCCAAGATGTTGCCCGCCCTGAACAAGAACCACGAGACCCTTGCCGACCCCGAGGCCCGTGAGAAGACCAAGCAGGCCCTTGATACCCTCTCCCGTGTTGGTAACATCGTCGATGGCAAGATCCCCGAGGTCTCCACCGCCGGTGACATCTCCACCGTCTCCGCCATCCTCAAGGAGATCCTCGAGGAGAAGCACAAGAACACCATCAAGTCCCACGAGGCTGTCATCGACTACGTTGCTGCCATCGCTGGTCAGCTCGTTGACGAGAAGGACTCTGACGCCACCACCTGGACCCAGAACGCTACCTCCTACATCATCGCCATCGTCGGTGAGGCTGATGCCAAGTCCATTGCTGAGACCCTCCGCAAGAAGGCCTCCCCCCGAGGCTGCCGCTGCCGATGAGATGCCCTCTGACGAGGAGGACGGAGTCGACCTGTGCAACTGCACTTTCTCCCTGGCTTACGGTGCCAAGATTCTGCTTAACCAGACTCACCTGCGTCTGAAGCGTGGCCAGCGTTACGGTCTGCTCGGTCCCAACGGTTCCGGCAAGACCACCCTCATGCGCGCTATCAACAACGAGCAGCTTGAGGGTTTCCCCAAGAAGGATGAGGTCAAGACCGTCTACGTCGAGCACGACCTGGACGCTGCCGATACCGAGCTGACTGTCATTGGCTGGACCAGCAAGAAGCTGATTGAGGTCGGTCTCACTCTCTCCGAGGAGGAGATCCGCAACGCCCTGGTCAACGAGTTCGGCTTCCAGGCCTCTCAGCTCGATGGTCTCATCACCTCCCTCTCCGGTGGTTGGAAGATGAAGCTCGCCCTGTGCCGTGCCGTCTTCGAGAAGCCCGATATTCTGCTTCTGGACGAGCCCACCAACCACTTGGACGTCAAGAACGTTGCCTGGTTGGAGGAGTACCTCAAGAACTCTCCCTGCACCTCCATCATGGTGTCTCACGACTCCCGCTTCCTGGACCACGTCATCCAGCACGTTGTCCACTACGAGCGCTTCAAGCTTAAGCGTTACCGTGGTACCCTGTCCGACTTCGTCAAGCGTGTCCCCTCTGCTCGCTCCTACTACGAGCTCGGTGCCTCCGACATGGAGTTTAAGTTCCCCGAGCCCGGTTTCCTTGAGGGTGTCAAGACCAAGTCCAAGGCCATCATCCGTGTCAACCAGATGTCCTTCCAGTACGAGGGTACCCCCAAGCCCCAGATTCGCGACATTACCTTCCAGGTCTCTCTGGGTTCCCGTATTGCCGTCATTGGTGCCAACGGTGCCGGAAAGTCCACCCTGGTCAACGTCCTGACCGGTGAGCTGATCCCCACTGCCGGTGATGTCTACCAGCACGAGAACATCCGTATCGCCTACATTAAGCAGCACGCTTTCGCTCACATCGATCACCACCTGAGCTCCACCCCCTCCGAGTACATCCAGTGGCGTTTCCAGACCGGTGAGGACCGTGAGACCATGGACCGTGCCAACAAGATCGTCACCGAGGATGATGAGAAGGCTATGGACAAGATCTACAAGGTCGATGGTACCCTGCGTCGTGTCGTCGGTATCCACTCTCGTCGCAAGTTCAAGAACACCTACGAGTACGAGATCTCTTGGGCTCTTGGTGACAACGTCGGCATGAAGTCCGAGAAGTGGACTCCCATGATGTCCAACGAGAACACCTGGTTGCCCCGTTCCGAGATTATCGTCTCCCACTCCAAGCAGGTCGCTGAGGTTGATCAGAAGGAGGCCCTCGCCTCCGGTCAGTTCCGCCCTCTGGTCCGTAAGGAGATCGAGCAGCACTGCGCCAACTTCGGCCTCGACGCCGAGCTGGTTTCTCACTCCCGCATGCGCGGTCTGTCCGGTGGTCAGCGTGTCAAGGTCGTCCTTGCCGCTTGCTCTTGGCAGCGTCCCCACGTCATCGTCCTGGATGAGCCTACCAACTACCTGGACCGTGACTCCCTGGGTGCTCTGTCCAAGGCTATCAAGTCTTTCGAGGGTGGTGTTATCATCATTACTCACTCCCGTGAGTTCACTGAGAACCTGACTGAGGAAGTCTGGGCTGTCAACGACGGTCTCATGACCCCCTCCGGCCACAACTGGGTTCAGGGTCAGGGTTCCGGTCCCCGTCTGGACGCCAAGGGTGACGACGAGGAGGACAAGTTCGATGCCATGGGTAACAAGATTGTCACCGAGAAGAAGAAGAAGCTTACTGGTATGTTCATACACATTTCAATGACCTTGATCTTGATTGATGCTAACTTTCTTTCCCAGGCTCTGAACTCCGCAAGAAGAAGAAGGAGCGTGCCGCCCGCCGCAAGCGTGGTGAGGAGGTCTTCTCCGATGAGGACGATATCTAAATTATCTGATAGAAGAGAAGAAAATTGGGTTCATGGTGTTTATGACATGTTGATGAATTTCTTAGTCGTTGCTGAGATAAAAATACATTTCTGGCTGTTCATATAATTGTTGTGTCCTTCGTAGTTGCCTCACCTCAAGTAGATTTAGACCTAAACCATTGTTATCATTACCTACTACTAGTACTTGATATCTATTCCAACCTGAAGGTTCAACCTAAGTGCTCAGTGAGCTTTTCGGGAAAAGTGAGGCCCATCACGGTGCCCACCTGGGCAGGTGGTGACTGGTGCTGCACTTCAGCCCTGTATACCGAAACATGTTACACCAACTCGCTCTGTCTCATGATTTATTGCGACTGATGCACCACTGGATATCCGGCACCCTTCTTTGCGTGAAGTGTCGACTTATCTCGTTGCTCGTTGCCTACCACCTTGGCTCGGCATACTAGTAGTATGCTATCGTTGGAAAAGGTTCCCATAGTGGCTCCAGGGAGTAAAAAAGGCTATTGGACACACTTCACCATAAGACGGAATCATCCATAAAGTCAACAAAAGGTGAAAAGGCCTACAATACCGACTATGATGGATCAGAACAAAGCGTGCTGGCGCTGGCCGCAAGACTACTACTAGAACCGCCAGTGGGTGGTTTGTTTCCCTCTTGCCTCATTTGCACCTCTTCACTTCACTTCACTTCACACTTCTTTCCACCACAGATACTTCGTCTCTCACCCATTATCCCCCGCTTTTACTGACTTTTCCCAAGAAGCCATGGATTCATTTGTGAGTTACAACTCGAATTATCTCCGTCTCCGACCACGTACTAAAACACCCAGAACACCGGACCCAACGAGCCGCAGAAAGACCAAGCCCAGACAAGCCAACTCGAGCCAGATCAATTGGAGCCTGAAACGCCGAGCTTGAACTTGCTGGTAAGCATATACTCGCGCCTATCTTATCCCCGTGCAATGACTGACAGCCAACCCACGTATCAGGACTGTCCCAACCTGTGGGATCCATGTCTAGAACTCAACCTAGACACACTCTGGGGTGTCGATCTGACAGGAGTCGATCTAGGCCCTGCCCCAGTATTAAGTCAAGTTCAACAGCAAGACACAATCATGACAGGGACTACCGATCCTAACCAACAATCTGTCTCGCGAATAAACGCCCAAATCCAACCGCAAGCTCAAGCCCAACCCCAAGCCCAACCCCAGACGACAGCCCAAAACGAAGCAGACAGGGAATGGAAAACATTCATCGGGGAAATGATGCCGGACCGAGTGCAATTGGTAGCGCAATACAGCCGTGACGCCCAGTATCATCAGTCACTTTACGCCCAGCAACATCAGCAAGGCTTCTCCTCCCAAGCAGCAGCAGCTTCCTCTACTTCCACGCCAACAGTATCAACCACAACCCCAACACCAATGAACCAATTCGACAAATTGCTGCAAAACCAGCATCCCCAAACACCGCAATCAAAACAACCCGCAACCCGACAAGACCTGGAAAAAGAAGTGAACGCCCTAACCCGCCGCCTCGCCTTGGAAAAGGACTATCTCTGCGAGCGCAATAATAGACTCAACTTCTTCAGCCAGTGCCTCGCAAGTTTGCGGGAGATTCTTCAGCATGAGCGGTTACAGGGAAATGACAAGGTTGGACTCGAGGAGTGGATTGCAGATATGGCGGTTTTGGTTCATGATTTACGGGTTGCTATTGATGGGGACGAGGAGTCGATTAGAGAGGTTGAGGGAAGATTGAGGGCGGTTTTTAGCGAGTTGGGTGCGGTACCTGCATAGGAGAGAAAGAGCTCTGCCTTCGGGAGGGTTTGGTTTGGTTTGGTTGGGTTGTATTGTGTTCTGTTTCGAGGTTCGTTCTGGGTTTGTGTTGAGCGAGGAGAAATTTGTGCTTTGTTATTTTTGTCTTCTCTCTGGTTTGAGCCTCTCGGGTGCTCGCCATTTGTTGTCTTTGCATTGTTATGGGGGTATGGGTGTCAAGTGTTGAGATAGGATGTACTGTACTAGAGTTATTTTTTTTATTGAGGGACAGAGTCCTGCAATTTGGGAATGTCCTAATAAAAGTGTTCGTTTTCAAATTACTTTCTCTGGATTTGTTTGATGCTCTAGGGGCTATTGAATGATCTAACTCCAGGGCTTCTCTATTTTTTTCAGCGGGCTGGCTTAACATTCGAGTATTTTCCTAAGCTTGATATTCCAAGGTTTCTGGTGTCTAGGAAATTCATTCAGTGCTATTTTATTCTAAGATTCCTCAAGAGTCGACCGCACTTCTAAACTTTCCACCGAATTCATTGTTCAACAAGCAAAACATTATCCAGAAGCTATCGGTTAGTCAATCAGAAATCACTTCGCACTTTCTTTTTGTGATCATCTCTTCCCTAACTCTTCGTCCTTGATTCCTTGATAAATCTACGTCCGCGGCTAACAACCTTTGCTTTGCTCTCAGATATTCAGAATTTGAATATCAAAGGTCAGCCCATTCGGATTTTACCATCTACTAGCATCACTTCTACCTCTCCCAGCAGCCTATACTATCTGAGACTATACCTATATCTACTTCACTTCTACACCTCCTTTCCATCTACATCTCCTTTCCACCTGCATACATCTTCATATCTACCTCCTACCTATCCACTTCAACTTGCACATCCTTCAAATCTTCACACCTGGGTATTTTCTCCGTCTACAACTACTTCACAACTACTTCACACACGATATCTCTCACACTATCATTCAGACTTTATCCAAAAGCTTCCTTTCTTCCAGCATCCCTCGATTCGACTATCATCTACCACTGCTCTTTACAAATCTTGACTCCCAACTACCGATTCATCCCGACTGCCCGCCGCGATTCCAAGAAAATCTTCGGTGTTATTCTTCATCTCACTTCAAAACATTACATCCAGAGACTCGTAAGAATACGCTACTTCAATGGTACCCCGCGTCCTTGACTAATATGCACAGTGAGCTTCATAGAAAGCACCTGAAAACTTATAAAGGGGATCTCCTACGACTTCTACCTCAAGAACCTTCCAGCAAGAAGGCCAAGACATCCCAGGATGGTACGGACGATTCAACGGAACTTGGAAGCGATAAAAATCATCTCGCCAAAAGTCAAGAGGCGTTCGCAAATTACTCGAAAAATTTCGTCGAGATATGGAGGGGAAAACCCAGCCAAAATGTGCTTGGAATTTTGCACGAGATTTCCGAGCTCGTCAGGATGAGCAGAGATAACATGACCATTAGTCCCATGGTTAAGGCGTCTGTGGTTAGGCTTGCAGGTATGAAACTTGACTCTTAATGGTTCGGCGAAACCTTAGAGTACATGGATGAGCATCACCAACTAGAAGATTGTCTCGGTGTTCCATGCGAGAAGTGGTCTAGTGTATTCCGCGCGGCTACCGTTGTTCGAGATCTTGCAGATATTGCCGAGCAAATTGAAGCACGAAAAGTCAGTGAGAAGGAGATAACATGCGAAAATCTGCGATGTCTTCTTCTTAGCGTTGCGACTATCTTCTATGGGGTTGAGGAGTATGATTTTGAGCCTAACTGATATCAGATGCTGGATGTTCCGCCTGATATGACTTCGTTTTGCTCTTTTCTTAAGTCCGCAACAGCAAAGCTTTATGGCTTCATTTTGAGTGGTATTATTGCGATTCTTCGGACCAGACTGAAGCATGGATCTTAATTATTTATGGGGATTCGGCATGCGAGCAATGGTTTTTAGTAATCGGTTTACTCATTTTCTTTTTTTCGGTTTTCTCTATTTTCAGCTCCTTTTGTTTCAATTCTTTTCTTGCCTATTCTGAAATTAAAAAGAACATGAAAAAAAGAAATTTATTCGTTGAAGTAGGTAGCCAAAAAATTGATTTACCTATACATACGTCACCGATAATGCATAAATTTCTGGCAAATTCGAAGTAAACTGGTCTCAAATGCCGATAATTTCTATCGAGGAATTGAGCAATCTCAACCCCTTCTCCTAACACTACGCCAATGCTCCATGTCGCTCCCAAAAACAAGTCTCGAAAATTTCTAGCTCATGAACCTCATATCAGACATTAACGCCCCAGCGGTGATCAAACTGTGCCAATGAAAATTCCAGCTGTGCTTTAGTTTGTTCCCATGTTTCGCTTTTTATCTCTGCATCTTCAATATGTCGAAGCGCCGCTCGCATCACATAAGCCCGACTTGGAGGTAATGACTCAACCACAGATATAGAGTGCCCATTCTGTGTAGCTGCAATATCCTCCACTATGTTTACAAGGGTATCCAATGCCGACGATGATATCTTGTGCCATTCTTCAGGAGACTTATGTCGACAATGGGTCATTTGTTGGACTTGCGTGAGAATTTCCCAGTGTAGGGTGAAAAGTGCCCTGGTAGATTCTTAGTCAAAATTATGACCTTAGATTCACAAAAACCGACCTGATAAGTATCGCGTTCGCGGTACAGAACTTGCCCCATTTCCCTTGGGATTGTTCCATAACGATAGTCAGAAATGTACGGAGTGTATGATCGAGTCCGTCAAGTTGGATTAATTTGGCATCAATATCCGTGAGCTCGATTGTTTTGAATACTTGATCCAATAGCCAAGCTGCTTGTGCTATACAGGCGTATCCTCCACTCCTAATGGCGTCTTCGGCGGTGTCTGTAGGCTGGATGGGCCTGAATTGATTATTGTCTTTTGGTGAGTATGTTTCCCTTGGTAGTTGGGTGTGGATATCTGGAAACCTTGCCGCGAAAGGCTGATCAAAATCGTCAAGCTCGCAGAAGAATGTTCTAAAACATAGGTCAGATTTTCCAATAATTTTAGTATATTTTCTGAGTTCATACCTTTCGCAAATTGCAATTCCCCACCATGTATTTGCTTCCTCTTCAGCTTGAAGAAAATTATTGCCTTCCAGCTTTGGGTTCGGATTTGACAGGTGAATACGACACGCATAGCCCATCCTTGCACATAGACTTATAGACGCTAATGCATTCTCCACTTTTCCATTTGAATATTCATACGTGGCAAGAATGATTCCAGTTTGAATAAGATGCAGTGATGGTGGTGATGATGAATGCACTTGCATAAATATTGTCTTTGCCGCTAGATAAAGTGAAGATTGATTGACCGAACTTTTATTGTGCGTTGGTTCCTCGGGGAAGTATGTAGTCAAGGACATAGCCAGAAGTAGTGTAGAAAAACCAGCAGATGGTGGTGCCCCAAAATTAAGCAAGTTGTCGTGAAATCGTGAGCGCGATATGACAGGAATAAACGGGTGAGTGCCTTGAAAGTATCGAGCACTGATATCATCAACAAATTGGCCCGTTTCTCGTATTATTCTGAGAGTCTGTAGGTAGATGGTGGAATCTAAATTTGTCGGGTCCGATGACAGAACATCCGCTAAGGTGCTTGAAACCAGAAGAGAGGAGCGGATTATCGGATTGTCGGTAATCAAAGCCGATTTTGATCGGACTTGAAGGTGAATTTTATCCTCTGCCGCCGCATATTGGCAATCTAGGTTTTTTCTGATAAAAGTGTTAATCTAAGATCGACCTCGCATTGGAAAGACTCACGACTTGCAATAGCCACAGCAAGGCTTGACTTTATCGCATTTCTTCTTGCGTAATTTACAATTCACACAGACCAAGACTTTCATTTTTTCGTCGCGATCAGGCTCAAGCACGTTGGATTAAATAACTTAGAGATCAAATATTCAGTCAGAATGAAGGGGATCCGACGTTGAAACCCACTAAAATATTACAAATCGATGCAGAGGGGACGAAACTGGTATAGCGGCGCCGACAAGTGGGTCAAACTTGTTGTCGGCCGCCGGTGGGCCTGCTCACTCTGAATGAAAACACATCAAGGCTGTCGGACTAGAGCGCTGTCGGAGGACGAGCGGCCGCTATATGACTGGGTCTGAAAGATCTGATGGGGCTAGAATAGTCTCAAAAAAGAAGAATATAAAGATGCGATGATGTCCTTGACAGATGTATTCAGCAACTTCCTTCCCAATTTCATTTTCAAGTCTTTGCTATAACCGGATGTCGATCGAAAAGGCACAAGCTTCTGTTACCGAGGAGAATATTCCTCCAGAGGGAGGTCTCCGAGGATGGATGTGTGTTTTGGAGAGCAACACTAGCCCTTTTCTCTACACTCGGCTTCTTGAACGCGTGAGTAATTTTGTACTGGCAGATGTTAGAGTAACACTCACCTTCAAACCAGTATCGGCGTGTTTCAAACAATCTACCAAGAAACGAGTCTGAAGGAATACTCTTCATCAGAAATCTCATGGATATTTGCCGTCCAATTATGCCTCATGTGGGCCCTTGGTCCACTCTACGGGCGTGTCATCGACACTTACGGCGCAGCCCCGGTACTAATTCCATGCAGTACACTCTGCGTCTTCGCTCTTTGTATGACCAGTCTTGCAGACAAGTACTACCAAATATTCCTTTCACAAGGCCTTGCTTTCGGCATCGGGGCTGGGGGTGTATTCTGCGCCTCGTTCGTCTGCGTCGGGCAATGGTTTGTCAAAAGGCGTGGGCTAGCGATCGGCATTGCAAGCTGTGGCTCCAGTATAGGTGGAGTTTTATTCCCCATCTTTCTGGATAGAATGGTAAAGAATGTCGGATTTTATGGAGCTGTTCGATATACGGCTTTGTTTGTTGGGATCATCCTGGCTGCGTCTTGCTTCCTGGTTCGCGCACGATTGCCTCGAAAGACCTGGAATCGCGAGACGCCGTGGCTCGATGTGACTCTGTTCAAGCAAAAGCAATTTGCAGTGTACACTTTGGGGTCATTTTTTGTCATGTCAGTCATTCATACTGCTCCTCTGCAAAAAGAATAGTGTCATCTCTAACACTTTACAGGTGGGGACTTTGGGGTCCGTTTGATTTCATTTCGATTATGGCCCAAGCGCGGGGCTTCTCTCCCACGCTATCTCTTTACCTGATCTCTATTATCAAGTATGACGAGCCGGCCCTTCCGAGCGTTTTTTTTTCTGTTTCATTTATCTAACCTACCAAATACAGTGCCACCTCTATACCCGGCCGAGTGCTCCCGCCGTATCTCGCCGACAAAATCGGCCATTTCAACGTGTTGTCCATTTGTGCTATGCTGACAGGAGGCTCGATGCTTGTTCTCTGGCTGCCATTCAATTACTACCCGTCACATGTCGGCATTATTATCTTTGGGCTCGTCTATGGATTCGTCAGTGGGGCGGTAGTGAGTTTGCTAATGCCGTGTGTCGCCAAGTCTGGCAGCATCGATACATTGGGCCAGCGATTCGGAACATATCAAATGGTGATTTCTATCAGGTAAGCTGAGCCTCTTTTTTGTGGCGCGAATTCTTGACTCACTTTTCTTCCAGCTGTCTCACAGGCCTGCCGATCATGGGTAGTATTCTGTCCCGACAAGGCAATGACAACTTTGCTGGTCTGCAAACTTTTGCTTCCGCGGCAGCATTGCTGGGGGGTTGTCTCATTGCATTGTCGACATATTTATTGGGCTCGAGTCGTGGGACCCGAAGAGTCTGAGCTCTTGAATAGCTATTCAACTGACCGGGCAGATAAGCGAGCTCGAAGGTGCCGAGTATGATACTTGCCCGGAGCTGGTAAGAAGACAGACTCTTCATGGATTCCAAAATTTAGAAATGTCCCAACAATGTACCACTTGGAGGCATTTTAACCTCATAGTATTACGATATGATTAACAAAGAGACCTTTTGCATCACGTGTGAGACAAGACATTGTGAAGTCTGTCTTGCGATTCTGGTCTATCTTTCATCCATGGATTTACGATGGTTTCAAAACCCACCACCTGGAATGATTTCGTTTGCTTAAGGTTTTTGTTAGAAGTTTTCCATATCTTAGATCGAGGGCTAGATTTGTTACGATTGTTTTTCAAGCAGCCTATCTAGCACATCCTCCTTATTATTCTATATCCATAGTAGTATACAAAGTCGATCAAAGCTGGCTATCCTGCCAGAGGTCCAACCTTGACGTCAGTTCTCCTTCGCAGTTCCTCAATCTCCTCTTCCTTTTGCTGAGTCTTCCGCCGGTGGGTCAGCATCGTTTCGTATCTCTTCTTGCCTCCAAACTTCAACTTCGTGATCATGTCAGCCGCCTGACCACGTGTCAGTCCTTCCTGGCTAACTTTTTCTGTTCGAATGCGAGCTCTGTTCAGCATTTGGATCTGAGAGCTTGTCGCTGGATTCTGGCGCCACGCTTTCCGGGAAGAAATGTAGTGTTCTTCGAATTTACTGCTGGCGAATGTGTCGCCTGCTCGTACAGCCGTCTCCAGATCCGGCCCGGAGGCGATATGTCGTGGCTTGGTGAATGTCGGTTTCTCGGTGACGGGGTCCTTGAATTTCATGACGTGACGCACAGCGAACCCGTCTGTCCCCTTTTCTCTCTCAATGGCTAACCACCCGCTTGAATCCGAGAGGATATACTTATCATCACTGACACGCACCCATGAGTATCTGCTTAATGACCTGATATGCTTTTCGTATCGTGTGTCACCGAGAAGATCGTAGATGCTGTCGTATTTGGTGAACTGTAATTGCACGTCCTCGTCGACATCGTTTTCCAAGGATGTAGATGATTCCAGTGGGCTCTCTTCTTGCTTGCTTTCTCGTATTTCTTTTGCGGTGGTGTTGTCCAAAACCTCATTTGGATCAAGGCCGAAGAGGGTTGGGGTTGATAGAACACCTGTTTCCAAGGATGCTACCATATCAATTACATGACAGTTTTTCTTTCCAGGAAATAAGCGCAGTCCTCGTCCAATCATCTGAATGAGGAGGTTACGCGACCGAGTTGGTCGCGCCATAACAACACAGTCGATATTCGGGATATCAGTGCCCTCCGTAAAAAGACCACAGTTCAAGAGCACTGGAAACTCTTGGTTTTTGAAAGCCTCTATTTGCTCCGCGCGGACGTTTTTGTGGGTGTTGGAAGTGATATACCGAGCATCAATACCCTGCTCACGAAAGGTCGCAGTAAGCTGTTGTGTATGTTCGATATCCACGCAAAATACAAGCGTCGATTTTCGATCCTCGGCATTCGCCATCCAAGCGCGTACAGTGATATTATTCGTGTTCGCAGTATTAACCGCTTTTGACAGTGACCCGAGGGCAAAATCTCCGAAGCTGTCCTTCTTAACTTTGGAGAGATTGGCTCCAGATTTGACGGTGGTAAACACCGCATCGGCCAACCAGTTATCTTCGATCATGTCCACATAGTCCTTGTGGTAGACAATATGGTCAATTGCGGCTCCCAGCTTGAGCCCGTCAAATCGTGAAAATGTCGCCGAGACGCCGACCAAGACGGGAGCATCGGGGGAAGGCTCACTCAGCCCGAAGTGAGCCAGGGCATCCAGATAAGACCGCGCAACAATGTGATGCGCTTCATCCACCAAGATGAGCTTATAATCAGCAGGGTCAAACTTCCCAATGCGCCCACGAGCAAGTGTCTGCACCGAGGCGATGATGATATCCCCGTGACCCGTGGCTTTATTATTTCCCATCTCGATCTCCACAGACAGATTAGGGTAAGCAAGGCGGCAATGCCTCGCAGCTTGCTCAACCAGTTCACGTCGGTGAACAATGATCATGGTTTTGGTTGCCCTTGCATCACGCGGTGGTATTCTGTTAATGAGCTGCGTGAAAATGACCTATAAAGGATATCAGTATCAGATTTTAGGAAGGGGCTGGATAATTGCATATCAGGTTAACCAACAGTTTTTCCGGCACCAGTAGCCAGTGAAATCCCTAGCCTTCGATGTCCTTTGTCCAAGTATTCAAGAACTGACTGTATGCATTCCTCCTGATAGTCGCGCAAGATAATACTGCTCGACCCGGGTAATAGCGATGGCGATGGTGCCCCTGAATTGAAACGCACATGTCGCAGGTAATGGGAGGGTATAAATCTTCCTGGAGGCCTCCGCGGCCGCGCAATCGACAGCAGCCCAGCCCTGCGTACAAAATCCATGCGGGTTGCAAGATCGAGGCTGGTAGCTCCGATTGGCAATGGCGCCGCCCCAGCCTAAAGTGCAAACCGCGCAAACACTTTCTTATCGCGATAACCAGCGACTTTTTGGTGGAGCTGCAAGTTCAACTTATTTTTTTTCTCTCTTTCACTCGAACTCTTCGACATTTTCGCGCAGGCGCAGCTGTGATGTTTACCTGCGGCTCGTTCGGACGCGCTGCGACTTTGCCAGCTCTGCACGATGAGCAGCTCCTCTGCTTACGAACCCGATGAAGACGACTCCGAGCTCGATTCTGACACTGCGTCGGGGCGCGCGCGCCAGCAACGGTCGACCTCGCGAGGTCGGACTCTAAGACGATTCTCTGTTGATTCGGAGGATGAGAATCCTGAGACCGAAAAGCTTCAAAAGATTAAACAAGACCGCCTCGATGCCCTCAACGACCTATTCCAAGATATTGGGCCGAATTCCCTCGAGGGTTACACTCGACTTCTCGCGGAAATTGAAAAGAGTTATGATCCTAGGAATGTGAAGGAAGATGATGAGTTATTGAATGTCACACAAGATGGTGCGGTGGTGTGGACGGCCACGGAGAAGGAGGTTCTATACAATTTCCTCGATCGAAAGAGCGCCAACGGAATTAAGGAAATCGCAGCTGCAATCGGTACAAAATCGGAATTGGAAGTGATGGAACATCTCAGGGTTGTACAGAGAACCATGAGAAAACGACTGGACCAGCGACGTCTCAGGTGGATTACTGTGGCTGAGATCCCCGCAGCAGTCGAAATCGACGAGGGATGCTGTGCTGAGCAGGAAAAATATGCCAAGTACTTGACCCTCAAAGATGCCATTGCAGACGAGCACACCAACCAGCTCCACTACGGCGATTATGGTAAAATCGGCGAGACCGAAGCCCAAGCCCTCGGCAATGCAGACTCCGAAACTCCCTTGCAAGGCGATCTTCAACTCGCTGCTGGTCTATTCAATACGTCGAATTGGATCTCCCTGTCTAAAGACCTTTTCATGAACTTCGGTGGCGAAAGGGAGGAAGATGATTGGAGAAATATTGCTGAATCGGAAGAGGACATGCCCTCAATCACCGCAGACGCAATGATGGATTTCTCTGCCCTCGCGACAAGTCTGACCCGCCGTTTAATCCAATCTTCAATATTCATGACTGAATCACGGCTACGTACTACCGGTATAAGCTCGGATACCCAACGTGAAATCAAGCTTGGAGACGTCCAAACCGCAATCGAAGTGTTGAACTTGAAGCGCAAGCGACCCTCCTTCCTGGAACTTGCGCGTCGAAATCGAATGGTCATCGGCGCATTTCCCCCACAAAGAACTATCGCGACACGAACCATCGGTTATGGCGAGGCAAGGAAAGTCCTTAAGTATAATGATAAGAAGTTTTATAAAACAGCGCATGCCATGGAACAAGAGAAGGTTTCGCACAATGATGCGGGTCAGACTGCGGTCAGTGAAAGGAACGAGCATTCAGATGAGGTCATGGATGAAGATGGTGATGACTCTGAAGAAGATGAAGAAGACCCCGAGGACGACACGGTTATTCATGCGCAAAACGAATCCAGTCACCCAAATATCTCACAAAATCCTGAACTTCTACAGCCTGGTATCTCTGATGGCCAATTAGCTGAAGACAAGGAGGAAGAAGAGGCCGACAACTTTGATCGCGAGCAAAGTCGCCAGGAAGAACTACGACTATGGACTATGTTTGAGAAACTCCCACCGCCCGCCCTTCTTATTCCCATAGTTGAATTCCTCCCTAGCCTCAACGAAGACAGGAAAGAGGCTATGGACGACGAAAAGGACGACCTAGCACAGCATGGCATCTCGGAGCACAGGACCCAAGAAGACGTCGCCGATTGGCGAGACCATACTCTTTACCGAAGTGAATGGGAACAATATGGCTCCGACCTGGGAGATCTGGCGGAGGAACTGGTTCAGAATACGAGGAAGCGTCGCCGCGTCGAGGAAGGTGATGCAGAGGATGACGATGACGATCATCATCAGTATGATAGTGAGAAGAAGGGTGAAAATGAGAAACAGCAAGGGAAAATAGCTGGAGGCGAGCCCGACGCGCCACCCGGCGGATTTAAGTCTGCTGCCATTATCGAGAGTGACGACGATGGCGACGACCAAGCTACCGACAGCAGCAGTGGCAGCGGTAGTAGCGGTGATGGCAATGGTGAAGGCAGCCCCGTCGACAACAGTGAAAGCGATGACAGCAGTTCAAGTGACGACAGCAGGGATCAAGAAAGAGGAGGGAATCAAGTCACAGTCTCTGCTCCTACGGTTCCGCCAGCAATTTACATCAACAGTGACGATGATGACAACACCAGAGTTGGAAACCAAGAGAACGAGGCTGGAGACGAAAGTTCCACCGACTCTGGCTCTGGCTCTGAATCCTCCGATGGGTCTTCCTCTAATGACGGCCTCGGTCCTGGACATAAAGAGCAAGCGGCCAGAATCGAAATATCCAGCGACTCTGGCTCAGATTCTGGCTCAGATTCTGGCTCAGATTCTGACTCTGACAATTCCTCCTCTAATGACGGCCCCGCTGTTGTAAATCTGGAGCCCGAAGCCACAATTGAGATATCAAGTGATTCAGACTCAGAATCAGAATCTAATGCCGACTCGTCCGATGATTCTTCCTCGGAAGATTCTCCTCCAAGTCAATTGCCTCCAGCCACCCCTTCAGATCCAATGGATCTAGACGACGAACCTCCTGCTGCACTCCCGCCTGCTGGCTTCATGTAGAGAGCAGCCACGACATAATCACAACTTAATAGCTAGTCGAACTACCACAAACATCATTACATAGCCAAACCATACCCATACCCAATCTACAAGTTCAAGTTCTACATTCAGGATACTTCAAGTTTCAGACAATCTTAGAAACATTTCCATCACGGACATATGATTAGAAAAAAGGGGATAAACACATTGAACGAATCAACACTAACTCCCAACATAATAGAAAAAACTGCGCCTTTTCCTAGCCAGATAAGTTCAAAGAGAATATTCATAACACCGCCCAGCTCCCACGCGGTTCGCTTCGATCATCCAATACAATTCCTCCCTCGTCCCCATCTCCATCCCCATCGCCCCCATCGTCCACCCTCGATATTCCGACCAGCACCTCGTTCGACCATGATGCCTGACGTCTGCTCACTCTCGCACATGGGATGTATCGTACATGCATCGAGAAGAAGAGTCTCTCCTTCACAGCTCAAGCGTCTTAAAGTCGGCGCCGCCCTCAGCGCTCAAAGGCTGAGCTCCAGCCCGGGCATCTCCACCAACAGGCTGGAAGCTGTAGTGGTTTCCAATACCAGCGGTAGCGGCGTTGGCGAGCATGCTGTTAGTATGCTCGTTGGGGCCTTGCAGACTGACAGCCTGGAGAGCATCCTGTGCTTCCTTAACGCGCTTCTTAAAGGACATGCGGTCCAGGAAGAGTTGCTGGCGCGCCTGCTCTAGCTCACGGCGCTCGGCCTCAATAATCTCCTCCATCTCGTTGAACTGCTGCAGCTTGATCTCGAACTTTTGCAGAGTCACGTTCACTGCGGCACCGACGAGGCGGGTCATCTCGCGCTCCTCGTGAGAGGCGAGAGCTCCGGCGCGCGCGGCAGAGGCGGCCATTGCAACGGTAGACAGAGACTCCTTGGGCTTCTCGCTTTGTTCGGCTTCGCGGACGGTGTCCACGTCCATTGAGTCTTCAGCCTTGACGTCTTTGCCCTTGCTGTCTCCCTTCTCCAGCTGGCTGCGCAGCTCCTTGCGGATTTCCTCGACGGAGCGGCCGGCGGCAGCCGCAGCCACGGCGGGCTCGGCCATCTGGGCAAGGAAAGCTACTACCGACAGAACGGGGTTCTCGGATTGGCTGATGGGATCCCTGCCTGCTGTAGTGCGAATATCGGGAATATCTTCAATGTATTTATCCTCGATTTCCAGGGAGAGGAACTTCATCACGCACTCTTCGCGGGTTCGTGTACCCACGTGGTTTGCGATCTGCTCCCAGTTCTCGTCGAAGTTCTCCAGACCCTCCAACAGAAGCAGGAGTTCTGAATCAGCCCACGGGGCATCCTTGTCTGGAACCTGGCTGTGGCTCTTGTCTTCCAGCTTCACGAAGTCTGAGGCATTATGGCTTGAGGGCATGCGTCCTTGGAGGAAGCAGTTGGGGCAAAGGTCGTATTTAGAGTCGGGAGTTGTCGCATTAGCTGATGTGGGTGCAGACTTGGCGTAATGGAATCGAAGCCTTGTGCAGTCAATGCCACAAGAGAAGCAGTGAGACTTCTTCTTGGGCTCCTGCTCAATACCATTTGTTCCATCACCGTTGGTCTGTTTGTCGTCCGTGGAAGGAGTGACATCCTTGCCCTTGTTATCGAAGATATTGCGACGCAAGTCGAGGCCTTCGCCTTTAGTCGCGGGGGTCGAAGAGGCGGCACGGTCTGTGGATGGGAGGGTCTTGCCGGAGGTGACGGTAGGGTTAGGACCAGGCTGGAATGGCTGCAATCCGCGAGGAGTATCGGCAATAACGCGGAAGTGGCCGGTAAATGGTGGTCCAATATTAGAAGGGCGGGATTGAGGATCAACCTGGACATGTTAGCCGGATTTGGAAACGCAAACTAGACTATTACCCCAGATTAAAGGCAAACTCACCTGGTAATTGATCAGACCCCACTGCTCAAGGAAAGAGTGAATACGCATGATGGCGCAAACATCACCCGCCAGGTTGCGACGGCAAGCAGTGACCGTCAAGTATTCGATAGGGTTCAGACGGTAGGTGTTGATCATGAAATCACGGTAATCCTTGTAGGTCGCGGGGGTCTTGCTGCGGTTGCGTCCGTTGAAAAACTCCGCAATGGCCTTCTTCTCGATCTCGTGGACGGTGTTCATATCAAACCAGGTCGCGTAACTGGGGAGGATGATGGCGTGGGTCTGGGTGACAAGCTGTTCGCGGGCGGCGGCCTCCAGCGAGGACTTAGAGGGAGCAGGCTGCTCTTCGCCAACGGCATCTTCAAGGCCTTCGCCAGTCTGCTCAGGTGGTTGCGACTCTCCGGCGGCGTCTTCCAGGCCTTCAGTATCGCGTTTCGCATCGGTCTCGGTACCGCCCATCTCCTCGTCCTCCGGCTCGACATTGTCATTGCCCTTGGGGGAGGCAGGGGCATCAAGAGGGTTCTCGGATCCGGAGTTTTCGGCCTTCTTCTCGGGGGACTCTTGACGTGACTGGGCTTCTAATTCCTGGGGTAAGCACTGACAAAGGATCCAGGGAGGTGGCTGGAAACGACGTACCTGATGCACTGCCGGCATTGGTGATATCTGCGGCGCCCTCGGTGCCAGTTACGGGCTGAGCATTCTCAGATGCCGCGCCGGGGTTAATTGAAGTGTCGTCCATGATGATTTGACGAAAGATAGCTGCTGTCGCGGGCAGCTGAAGATCGACTCCTTTCGCGGTCGTTCGCTGTGGTTCGCTGTCGACCTTGCGCAGCGCAACTTGGTTACGCGTGGCAAGGGCAGGTAGTTGGAAAAGAGTATTGGTCGGATGAAAAGGCAGCCCAATCCAATGGGAAATCAGGCTAGAAAGTGATGATTGGACCAAGTGCTCGATCGCTGGGGGGAGGTGGATGTCGCGCCTCACGGAAAACTCGCGGTTGCTGCCAAGAGATCCGCTAACCGAATTTGGGTTGGCGTGATTTGGTGTTGACACCCTGTGCCTCAGGCATCAATATTTAACGTGGTTGGTAAGCGAGCTGCGCATGCAAGCGAGCTGCGCAGCCGCCCACTTTTTCGCGTCCTCCCGCGTTCATCTAATTTCTATCAAGCACTATGCCTCTAATTCGTCTCCATTCAAGCCAAGACTCCATCGAGAGAGAGGGCCGTATATTACTTGCTATACAGGCTATTCAAAAAAAAGAAATTCCATCTATACGCGAAACAGCGCGTCGCTTCAATATACCCGAATCTACACTACGTACGCGACTCCGCAGTACTACAAATCGCGCTGAAACTCGCGCAAACTGTCATAAATTGACACAGATTGAAGAGGAACTTCTTCAGCAACGGATACTATCGCTAGATCGACGTAGAGCTGCTCCTACACAAGCTCACGTACGAGAGATGGCTAATTTGCTTCTTGCAAAGCGCGGTTCTACCCCTATCCAAACCGTCGGCAAGAAATAGGTATATAACTTTACACAACGTCATCCAGAGCTTAAATCTCGCTTTTTACGGCGATATAACTACCAGCGAGCACTACAAGAAGATCCAAAGATTATTCAAGAGTAGTTTAACCTTGTTCAAACTACGATTCAGCAATACGGTATCCTCACTAAGGATATCTATAACTTTAACGAGACTAGTTTTGCAATAGGCCTCTGTACGACTCATAAAGTAATTACTCGATCAGAATACTATAGTCGGAGATCAGTTTTACAGCCAGGAAACCGCAAGTAGGTAACCGCAATTAAGTTAATTAGCGCTTCAGGATAGGCTCTTCTACCAATACTTATCTTTAAGGGTAAGCAATATAACCAAGCGTGGTTTAAAGAGCTTCCGTACGACTGGCGCTTTAAAGTTAGCCCAAATAGATAGACATCCGACGAAATAGGTCTTGGCTGGCTTCAAAAGTTATTTATTCCGTCAACAAATAATTATACACACGGGTAATATCGACTCTTAATTCTTAACGGACACAGAAGTCATCTTACACCAGAATTCGACCAAATCTGTGCAGATCATAATATTATACTGATTTATATGCCTGTATATTCTTTACATCTTTTACAACCACTTGATATTAGATATTTTGCTGTTTTAAAACGTGCATATAGCAATTTGGTTAGCCAGAAAATACGACTTAGGATCAGCTATATCGATAAACTTAATTTCCTTACAGCTTATCTACAAGCTCGTATCGATACATTTAAGTCAGATACTATTCAAAATAGCTTCCGAGCAGCTGGATTAGTACCTTTTAATCCTAAATCAGTTCTATCAGAGCTCAATATTCGACTTTATACACCTATACCTCCTAGAAGCCGTGGTAGTCAAGCAAGTACATTTTGCCCACATACACCTGCAAACGTCAATGAGCTTTATAAACAAGCATCCTCAATCAAAGCTTTCCTAAAGCAACGCTCAAAAAGCCCTCCATCACCTTTACAGACCGCGCTAAACTAGCTTATTAAAGGCTGTCAAATTACGATGTAAAACGGTATCTTGCTTAAGGCAGAAAATAAGCAGCTACGTAATAAAAATACTATACAAAAGAAAAGCGTGCTTGTACGACTAGATGGATAGCTCACGAGGATGGCCTATCTGTTCAAGAAGCACTAGAGCTCGAGGAAGCTCATAATGCGTTCTTTCGGGCAATACCAGGTCCACGCGTACCACCAGCGCAGGGTACGCAAGTACCAAGGACGCGGGCCTTACCTAAATGTGGCAATTACAGTGAAATAGGGCATAAGAAGAACTCTTGTCCAACTAGAAAATAATGAATATAAAGGCGTTTTGGTTGATATATATATATATATGGGTAGAAGAAGTAGGCGGCTGCGCAGCTCGCTTACATGCGCAGCTCGCTTACCAACCACGTTAACTAGTTACATCTAACTAACTATACACTTGCAGGGATGTACTTCTAGTATGTCGTACATTTTGTTTCATCGCTTGAATCTTGTTACAATATAAACGCAGCTTTGATTAATGGGACAATTTAGATAGGCATTAGCGCGAAGTCTTTTTATCCCACTCCACATCTCCACTAAGCATCGCTGCTCAACTACTCATGAACTACAAAGTGACATGTAACGAGTTACTAATTAAGATCTTATTCTCAGATACACATTCCATACAATCATCTCATAATATACTAAGCTCACAATATTCCATCTCTATGATAGAGCAGCCATCGCAGCATTGCGGGCGTCCAGGGCCGTCGCAACAGAGGGCTTAGCCTTCTGACGGTCCAACCAAGCCACAAGGTTGGGATATTCGGAGGTGCTGATACCCAGGAAGTCGGTAATACCGAACCAAGGAATAAAAGCAAGATCGGCATAACTCCACTTGTCACCAACCAAGTATTCCTTGCCCTTCAGGGCGCGATCCAGCACGCTCGAGACACGGCGAATTTCATTGTAGTATCGCTCCTTGGCGCTCTCGATCTGCTCAGGGTGGTAACGGGTGAACCAGATAGCCTGGCCAAAGTAAGGACCCTGGCCGCTCATCTGGAAATGCAGCCACTGCTTGGCGAGGAAGTAGTCCTGCGAGCCGGAGGCAAAGCTAATGGTGTGCTCCTTGTCATAGGTCTCGACGAGGTATTCCAGGATAGCACCGGATTCCCAAAGGGTGATGCCAGTGTTGGGATCTTCAATTGCGGGGACTCGGCCATTGATGTTGATGGACTCGTAGGGCTCCTTCTTCATATCTGGGAAGGCGACCTCCTTGGTCTCATAAGGAATGCCGAGTTGCTCGAGGACAATGACAACCTTCCATGGGTTGGGGCCGGGGCCGTGGGCATAAAGAGTAACGGGCTTGAGAGACATGATTGTTTTTGGTGGTGAAGGCTGGTATATGGAGTGAATGAATTGAGTTGAATTGAATTGAATTGATGCAGTTAAATAAGAAGCCAGAAAGGCACGAAATGGAGATCTTAAATCGCCCACGATCCCGTATTCTGACTTCATAGTAAACTCCACTCCACTCCATTATTCATGCCTTCGGCTCGGAGCTTGGCTTACAAATGATAAATAAGGCCCACACACCGTGCTCGCACAAACAGTGCGGAACGGATGTGATTTGTTCCCGCGGATTCTCAGGGGGTTCCAATTAAGGTCAATTGAAGCGCCATCACCCCGCGTCATTAGCTGACAGGGTGATATTCTATCTCCCAAGCTATGGGATGCCCTAATCATCAGTAAGCAACCACCCGCATTCGGCCGGAGTTAGTCATCAGGGCCCTATCCCCAACGTCCGATCCTCAGTGCAAAATGAACTGCTGCTGCAGGGGACATATCATTTGGCAATGTGATTGAGACCAAGGGTGAGACGGATTTCATCCCAATCCCCCGGCCTGCGGAATTCGGGCCTTGAGCCTCATATCTCACTCAGCCGGACGATGAGGGGCAAGCTGGTCTGTAAGCAATGGTCAGCAGAGTCATTGAGGGGTATAATAATGGATTTTATTAAAGGGTAGCCTGCAGTAGGAGCAACAGAAAGGTTGATAGATACCATTTACGACGACTATCCTCCGCGGTTGTGAGGGATACAGTGCGTCTCGAAACTGGTGCCATCACCTCCACTCTTTCATTGTTTCTCAACCCACGATGTCAATATCAACTACTCTATATGATAAATGAACCAGGTATATCAATATTCCTGTATCAGTATCAATATCATGACTTACTCTAGGAGAAGGGGGAGCCGATGACAAGCTGCGGGGAGTAGGTGACGGGCTCATCCGAATTCAAGTTTCTTCACGGCCCTAGACTGCTGCCTAGAAAGTAGAAAATGAGTCAAAAGATTTGCGAGTAGGCACTATCTAGCCGCCCTCGCACAATATTTATATTTTCCAAGGTTTGAGTCATAGCCGGAGATTCCTGCGACCAACCAACTGTGATGTTTTCAAGGCGGCCGCGGCCACCGTGGCGGGGGTCATCGAGACCCACGAATGACTGTCGCGACATTTCAGCCCCCGAGACTAGCATCTTAGGCTTTAGCCAATAGTTCTCAGTAAAGAATCTGAGCCTGCCTTGGACCTTTGCATAACTGCAATCATTGCGTCAAGATCATCTTTCATCCCGCAGATCCCTAGAGGCTCAACCGAGAGAGACGTGCATACAAAAATAACGAGCATTCCCACACGAAGCTCTACTTCAGCAGAATTTTCTTTGGTATCCAAAACATTCATAATGTCGTCCTACGGTTGCTTCTATCGCCTTCTTAGAGAAAACGATCGCCCTGCGAAGAGCTACCTCCCTCAGGTGAGGCTCGATATCCATGCCCATGTACTCTCTAGCAACACTCGAACGACCATCACCCAGACCTATATAAATCCATCCAACACCGAATCCATCCCAGAGCTTTTTTATTCTTTCCCCCTCTATGATGGCGCCAGCATCGTTGGGTTCACCTGTCGCGTTGGCAACGAAGTGATCCGTGGACAAGTCAAACCGAAAAAGAAGGCCGAGGAGGTCTATCAGGAAGCCAAGTCAAAGGGACAAACCGCTGCAATTTTCGATCAATCCTACGATACAGCCGATGTCTTCAAAACTCGCCTAGGAAATGTTCCTGCTGGAGGGAAGGTTCACATCGACATCATCCTAGTTCAGGAATCCAAGCAAGATGTCCAGACAGATGGAATTCGATACACAGTACCGATCGCGATCGCCCCACGATACGGTACTCAGAATGACGATCAGGCCCCTAGCGCGCCCGAAGGTATTGCTGTCAAGACGGCGATTAAAGTTGATCTGGTTATGGAAAAGGACTCTGATATCCGCAATATTCGGTCGCCAACTCATCCTATCGAGGTTACTATCGGTCGGACCTCGACCATGCCAGAAACTACTTCCAAAGCGTGCTATGCATCTGTCAAACTCCGGGAGAATGTGATAATCCAGGAGGATTTTGTCGTGACGGTAGGGTCAAGCAAGAAAGATCTTCCCTTTGCTTTCCTGGAGACACACCCTGTGCTGCCAAACCAGCGAGCCCTGATGGTTTCTCTGATTCCGAAATTTGGCTTGCCCCAGAGTGCTTCTGAGATTATCTTTGTGATTGATCGCAGTGGCAGTATGGAGGACAAAATTCCAACCCTCCGATTGGCGCTCGAAGTGTTCCTCAAGTCCCTCCCAATTGGTATCCATTTCAATATCGTGTCATTTGGGTGCAGGAGCAAATCTCTGTGGCCGCGTAGTAAAATTTGTGATCGAGAAAACTTGGAGGAAGCTCTGAAGTACACAAAGAAAATCAAAGCTGATATGGGTGGAACTGAAGTCTTAAATGCTCTCCGGGAATGCCGTGGCCAACCGTTACCAAGACAAAGTCCCCGAAGTCCTCCTCCTAACAGACGGGGAAGTGTGGGACCAGAACGCTGTTTTTGAATTCGTGGGCAAGGCCGTGAAGGAAAGTTCGGCACGGTTTTTCACTTTGGGTATTGGAAATGCTGTCTCCCATTCACTCATCGGCGGAATTTCTCGAGCAGGCATGGGGTTCTCTCAGTCGGTCCAGAACTATGAAGAGCTAAACAAAACGGTTGTGCGAATGCTAAAAGGTGCATTGATGGCGCGCTTGACCGATGCCACCTTGGACATTAACTTGCCAGATCTCGAAGGCGAAGACTTCATGGTGGTTGAGCCGATTGAGGAAGACCTCAAGGACGGTCAGGCAGAAGGAACTAACAAGCCGATCAAATTATTTGACGACAAGTACGAAGAATCTGACAAGGTTGAAAATGTGCACCAACCTCTTCCAAAAGTCACTGCTCCGAGTATCATTCAAGCACCTGTTGAGCTACCCCCGCTTTTCCCATTCATTCGATCCACGGTCTATATTCTCTTCTCTGGCGACGTCTCTTCCTTTCCGGAGACAATCAAACTCCGTGCGAGAAGCGACCATGGTCCTCTGGAACTAGACATTCCGGTCCAAGACATCGGACTCGGCGAAACCATTCACCAGCTGGCAGCCAAAAGGGCGATGAGCGAACTGGAGGAAGGACATGGTTGGATTCACACTACCAAGGATGTTCACGGGGATCTAATCACAAGCAAGTGGGAAAGTCAGATTGAGGAGCTGGTTCAAAATGAATGCGAGAGACTTGGGGTGCGCTTCCAAATTGCTGGAAAGCACTGCTCCTTTGTCGCAGTCCAGGACTCCCATCAGTCCGAGGACAAAGGTGCAGCTCGGGTCTCTTCCGGGGCCATGGCAGGCGATGAGGATGCAGAACTCGTTGACTGTCTTGAAATTTCGGACTTCGACATGTGCGATGCAGGACAGCCTCTTGCTGCCAGCGCTTCGCTTGCCGTTTGCCTTTCGTCACCCGCTTATTGCCCCGAAGGTGAATCAGACGAAGACATGGGATTCGGTCTTTTTGGTGGATCAAGTGAAGATGAGATGGCAGAAGAGGAGGATTCAGTACCACGACCAGCAAAAAAGAAAAAGAAAATGCGTCGCAAGGCGGTTGGTCAATTCTTCGAAGAAGAGGCGGGGATTGATGAGGATGAGGAAGAAATATTGAATTCACATCCCAAGGATGATTCCTCTGGACTGCATGCGCTTATATCTATGCAAACATTTGATGGTTACTGGGATTGGAACAATCAGCTTCTTCAGGCACTTGGTCTCGAAGCAGAAAGCGCTAAAGCTAAACTGCAGACACGCTACAAGGATTTGGCTGGGAACAATTCTGATATTTGGGGCCTGCCTGTCTGGAAGGAGGTTCTTGCTACTTGTCTTGTGGGCCACTTTCTGCAAACGCAGCTTTCGGACTCGAAGGATGTATGGGAGTTGCTCAAAGAGAAGGCGGATACTTGGGTACAGAAATCTTTAAACGACCTGAATGAGACGGACCGAAAAACTTTGAGGGAATTGATCGACGAAGTAGGGATCTACTTTTAACATTCTCTTCGTCGACGAAGGCTGCCTGTGATGAGTAGCCTAGATTTGTTAGATTATGAATCTTGCCAGAATGTTTAAATCAATACCACATGTCGAAGACAACATCTTGCCCACCCTCCTTGTCGCTGCTGACAATTCTATTGCTGACGAACCACCCTCACGGTTCTAGGATTCGGTAGCGACGCCCTTGTAAGGATTCGTGGAGACGCGACAAGCCATGGTCCGCAACTGTGAGAAAGGGCGGGGATGATGTGCTGTTCACCAAGACCGGAGGGCGTGTTTTAGCGCGACTATGTACAGTCATTCCTCCCAACGAACATCCAACATCCACTTGATTCGAACCGCCCTAACCAAGCCTCTCGGGCTTTTTTTTTCTTGCAAGAACTGGCCAGAACTATTAGATCGACAACTCCAATTCGAACTTTTCATCGCCTCAATCAAGTTACACCAACTAAATGGTCCCACAGGGCGATCTAGCAGGGCTCGGACTAGTGTCGGGGTAAAAAATTGAACGTCGGACTAAACGTCGGACTAAACCCAGCCAGCCCTATCACGCCACTGAAATGAAAATAGGACAAAGAGAACAAATACAACAAACACAGTCGATGCAATCATAATACATGAAACATGTAGATTTCAAAGCAAATCATCTGAGCCTCAAGCTGGCTCATAAACCACGGTTCTCGACAACCCCGCGCTTTTGACTCATCCAAGCCACTTCGTAAAGCACCCCAACGAATACGAATGGACGATCTCCAAACGTCATAGCGAAGTTTAAGATACCCATTGCAATCGTAAAAGCAAGTAGATAATACGGAGTTATACATCATGGCTAGGTCTCGCGGCTAAATGTCTAACTTCCAGGAATCAGTTAGTGTAAACCGAATAGATCTAAAAAAAAGTATTCCGTGCTCCGTCACAAGCACCGACTTAAAGTGGAGCCACCCGGGTCGGATCTCCAGGGCCAGATTTTGTACTCCGTACGGAGTATCTGGAGGTCATTTTCCATCCTTCGGAGTTTAAATTCATGCCAGCTGGACCACTCTTTCCTCAAATTAGACTTCAACGGCAAGGCAGCAGATCCAAAGAAAGCCATAGCTACTATCTCGACTTCCTGCTGCCTGACTCAAGCATAGGTGAGCCACGCAAGCTAACGGTCGATCGGTCACGCCCTTTCGCTTATTAGGAAGCCCGTATTGAGTGCCCGACAGTCCAGGCCCTCCAGCCCTAGAAATCACAAAAATAAGCCGCTCGAAGGGGCAGCAGGACAGCTCGATGTATGGACTAAAATACGGAGGGCTCCATACCCAATAGAATATAGGCTCTTTGGTCTCTTTCTGTTCAATCATATTTTTTTTCCTCAGGCACTGCCCTTCCAAGGCTCATTAAATCATGTTGAATAATATCATAGCCAAGAATCAGTTATATCTCTTTAGGTGCCCGCTGTATTGATGGTGCAAAGTGGGGGCTATCCGGATTGGGAGCCCGCGACATCGCAGTTCACACTTCCAGCTCGGTAGTCGTTGATCCAGGGATTTACCTACAAGAATTCGCCAGAACAGTCTATGCTAAGGCCTTCATGAAGACATCCAATTGTCAGCAGCTTGATTTATCAGAAATCCTTGGCAAATCTTGAACCGCGCCCTTGGCTCGTATGTACAAACGATGCCATTGGATCCACAATCCAGAACTCCGACATCTACTCCGACGCTTAGTCCGCTCCACCTACCTCTGACGTCTCGAGTGCTTTGGGTTTCTTCCACATGGTGAGAGTCAGTCGCCTAGGTGGGTCTATGTGGATCTTTGACATCTATTTTTTTTTCTTTTCGGAGTACATGACGGAGTAGTAGTAGATCTTATAGGAAATATTATGTGTCTCTCTCTGCTATAAAGACCGCAGAACCACCCATCCAAAAAGATCCAATCCAGAATCAAATCAGCCTTCTAAACAAACAACCCCATTCTTGGTTGATCCATACTCCATTCCAGCTTGAAATCAGCATATCTATACCAAACTCAAACTCTACTCTACCTTCTGGACCTCCTTCAACCCAACCATCTCTCTCACCATCACCATCATCATCACCACTACCAAGATGACCAGCTTCGTCTCATCCGGCTCAAAAAGCTCCCAGGGCTCCCAGATCCTGAGCGATACCGCATCCACACATTCCACCGTCTCCACCGCAACAACACTCAAGGGCGCCGACTCCCCCAAGCAAAAGAAGAAGTTCTTCTCCTTCTCCAAGGCTGAACCGCAGTCTATCAAGGGGTCATACCAAGCCCAACAGGCCGTGCACAACGAAGCTATCGCTAGCTACTTCTCCCTGCGCTAGTCCCTGTCATACTCTGCGCTTGCCCTTTGCCAAGTCATACCTTGTTTTGACTTGATCCTTCACGAATACAATACCCCCGACTCCGACTGCTTCAACAATACCTTGCACCTCGCATCCTTCGTCTTTATTGACTTCGATTTCAACTCGCCTCGTTTTCTCTCGACACTTTCTCCTTTCTGCTTGCTTGATTTGAACTGCGTCATGATGAATATGAACATAATAATACTCCGTGAAGAATGTTGCGCGATACTTGTTTGGCTGTGAAATTTTGTATAGAATTATTGCTTCGTTTACGCTTTATCTGTGGTTTTAATCTAGATTGTTTGGTCTTTCTACTAACTAGTGTCTTTTCAAGTTTGTTTTTAAGCAATACATGATATTCGCTACATCATTTCATTCCTCCTAATCTTAATGTAAAGTCATCTCGAAATGCAATTATCTGAATATTTCTGTAAATAGATACAAGAACTGCCCACTGAAAACTAATGAATGGTATACCACACTAAATAAACCCCCGATTGTCCGGGTCAAGAAAAAAAAACGCCGGGATAAATGCCCCATAACACTCACACAACTCACAGTCCAGCCATCAACTCACTCATCGAGATAGGCTTCCGAACCGCATTCGAGAATCCTTCGTGATACGTAACCCAAACCTTCCTCCCAGCTTTCGACGTATCATCCGACGGACCTCCCTCAGACTCCCCATCTTTGCCACTCGGACTGGGCGTCTCAAGAATCCGCCCAAAGAAGTCCCGCTTAACAAGACCCTCTTTTATAGACTTTTTGGCGGCTTCGCCTGGTTGCGGGGTCTTGCCGAGTGCGTATTTACCACTGGCAGAATGTTCGGATTGCTTCCGCATTGTCTCCTTGCGATATTCTTGGTCCAGGACCTGGCGGACGGCGTAGCGAACGGGTGCGTTGCCTCCGGAAGATGCGCCGGGCATTTTTGAGAATGAGACAAGTGAGTCGATCGGTCTGTATAAGTTTTGTCAGTTTGCCGATATGACTGTCTTTTCGTGGATAAGGGGGCTCTTACGGTTCCATTCTGTAGGCCCAGCCACCGTGACCACCACCTTCTTGCTCAACTCGTACTTTCTCAAATGTCACACCCATACCGGCCATGACGCGTGCGGCGGATTGAACAAGAGCGCGTTCGGACTCCTTGCGAACGCTGGCTGCGCTTTTGTTGTCGCCGCCTGTTCGGACGATGACGGGTTTCACGTCTGGTGAGAGCATGCGGACTAGATGCGGGACGAGGTCGGTGATGACAGATTCAGAGGACCGGAAAATGCGGTTCATAGGTGCTGAGAATGAAGTGTGGAAGCCGTTCAAAATTGCACGGTTCGCTTTCATTGCTTCGAATGCGGCGAAATCGGCTCGGGGGCCGGAGAAAGGGTGTTCTTCCTCGGCATCCTCATCATCTTCATCCTTTTCTGTGGCCTCGGTCTTGCCTGCGGCAGAGGCGAAGAGATGGTGGAAAGCCAATACAGACTGGCTCAGGTACGGGCCCAATTCCCATTCTTGCTGCGAATGAACCTTCGAAGAGATTGTGTCGTGAAAGTGGAGCCATTCATAAGCAGCACTGGGCTTGGAAAGAAAGGTGTCATCCTGGTACTGTTGGATGGGATATGCGGCAAAACAGTCGTTGACACATCGGTCATGGTCGCCGCTAGAGTCGACCATCTCTCGCAGGCGGTTAATGGCGTGTCTCTTGCGCAGATCGGCTACACCAACAGGTACCCGTGTGTTCGGTCCGTCGTACTTATCTTGGAAGGTCATTCCCATGGGAGTATCCGTGAAGCCTGCACCTTCAGTAAAGACGCGGTTGACAATCTCGCGGACACCTCCACGGCTCATTTCTTTGAAGAATGATCCACCCTCAGTCGACGCACTGAGAACTCGTTGCTCTAGCCAATTTCGGGTCAGACGCAACGCTGTAGGGCGCTCATTCCGTAACTTATGGGCAACCCATTCTGCAGCTACCAGCACGCTGCGAATATCACCCTCCGCAGATCCGGTATTTTTGTCTCCGCGCTTTCTTCGGCTCGCTAATCCCCAGGCTGCTTCGCAAAGTCGTCGGGCTCCATCGCCATCACAGGGAATTCCTTCACGATTGAAAATACTCTTCACTCGTTGAACGACATTATCCAACGGAGCTTGTCGAACATGAATCATCTCCGCGATAGATGACGCTCGTAAAGGACGGAGACTGGGGTGGTAAAGATCATTGCAGACCAGGATCAAGGGCCGAAGGAAGCGGAAATTATCACCCTTGCGCTTTTTGCCTCTGTTTTCTTCAGTCTTATTTGAATTCCGCTGGTCGAGCATGACGAGGTCGATTAGGGCCTTCATGAACCCACCCTCGCCGCCACTTCCGGCTCCGCCAACAACGCCGTCGACTTCATCGACAACGACACAGACAGGCCTCGCAGCACGACGGACTTTATTCTCGCCAACTTCCACATTTGCGCCCTTCACGTTCTCCGTGGCCAACGCATCGCGAATGCGGCCCTTAACCACATCTCTACTGCGTTCGTCACTGGCATTGATCTCCAACACCTCATAGCCCGCCTGTTTGGCACAGACATGGGCCAGGGTCGTCTTTCCAAGACCAGGTGGTCCACTTAACAAGAGCACTTTTCGATGAATGCGCTCTTCATC